CTCTTATTACTCTTATATTTGCAGAGCCTTTCTCCTGGTTCTTCTTCTGCATATTCTCAGGGAAATGAAAACCCCTCTGCACTGTATCTGGATTATTTATAAAGATTCAGGTTCATTCAATGGGGATCCATTTGACACACACACGCACACAATTTGTCATCCATGACCAGGTTCAGTGAAATGGATGAAGAGCTGCCTTCCTTCTGTGTCTCTGGGTCACAGACTAAGGAGGTCAGGGTGTTAGGTGAAGAATTAGTAGCTCCTTAGGAAACCCAATACCACCCACCTGGCCACACACACACACACACACACACACACATACGCACACATACCTAGACTGTGAACAACACAAATACACACAAAAAAGTAGAGCTGCAGTGATTCACTCAGCTGCCTTCAGGAATCATGTGCAGCCAATTAGAAGCTGAAGTCACAGAGAAAGAGAGAGAGAGAGAGAGAGACATATACACACACATTGGCACACATATCTAAAAAGCATTTGAGTTTTCAAAATGCAGTGTTCTTAATGTCTTATGTGTTTTACAGATTGCATTATTGTAAATTGAGTCTTTTAGTTGTAACACCTCAGTTTGTCCTTAAGAGGGAGACTCACACCACATATCAGATCTCCAGCACAGCTTTTACAACATTTAATTATTAAAAAAGTAAGACCAGTTCATTTACAGCTATTGTTACTATTGTATAAATTGTGAAGAATTAACTTTTTCTTAAATGCAGTTCATATCCATTGCTGCTTTTAGTGAAATCCATTATTCAAAATCTCAAAACTACACTAAAGCACTTCCTTTTGTATGCCTTAAATGCTTGTCCTGATTCAACACCAGCATTTTATTTATTTATTATTTCTAGACTTATGGTCAATTGGTATTGATTCAGCTATCCTGTTTAAAAGCCAATCAATTTATTTTCTATTTCCCTAAGAGGCATGGCAACCATTTTAGCCAATCTACCTGGAGTCCTGGTCCTCACCGAGAGACAGATGATCATGCTAATGCAACAAGACAGTTACACACAAAATACACACGCGCAAAGTGGTAGCCAAAGCATGAGCAAGCAACCATTACATAGAAATAAGGGGTCTAGGCAGAGTGGAAGAACTTGTCCTAAGCCTATTAATAGTATTAGAGAGATACTTGTTGGTAATGATTAAAAGCCACTTAGCGCTGGTGTATTTACCAAGAGGATCAGCCACAGCAGAGTTAAACAGGCCTGATGGATTAACTCAGTCCTGAGGCATACACATTGACCAGGAGAGAAGAGGGGAGAAGAGAGGAGAGGAGAAGAAAACACGGAAAAAATATGGTGTTGATTAACAATACCCTCTATTTTCCTCTACTGCGTCCAATATACAACTGATGGGATTTTTCTAAGGGCATCAAGAAGCAACACTTGCCTCATATATAAATTCACTTTGAGAATAGGACTAATATAGATTTTTTTAATTCAAAATGATTGCTAAAAATTAATTAAATTAACAATGAATGTCATTTCCTGTTTGATCATCATATCATGCTCATAGGTATCTGTACTTTTGACAATTTTTATTTCATGCAAGTACTGAGTCAACTCTATATTTCATAGGGAAATTATATAATATTAAAGTACTGCTTACATGTTTATCCATTAATAATAATGATTCAGTTATATAATATTGAAATATAACAATGACGGGGGCTGTGTATCTTCCGGTATTAGTATTAGTACTCTTACTACTTATGACTTACTTTTACTTAAGTACAATTTAGAACGTATTTCTACACGGAGGTGCTTATTCTTCAGAATATGAAAAATTCTTCCACTGTACACAAGATTTTTTGTGTGTAAATAGTAATCTTCTCCAAAATATAGTCACACTGATCGCACCAATGTTACCAAGGTACACAGATCACAAATCATGCAAATTGTTATATCTTGTATGACAAATACATATATACAAATATACGTAGCCCCTAGGCCCCACATGCAGGATTTCTACCCTCGTCTGTGCAGTACGGTGAATAATTTCAACCTGTTAGCCTACAGCATTTAAAATGACAAGCACTTTAAGATAGATGCATAACAGAAGTTAAATTCAATACAGAGCTGGGAAGGAAGCCAGACAATGTCTGGTACTTTGCCATCCATTTCCATGACAGACATCAAGGGCATTGTGGATCACTACCCAGCAATCTCCTGTCCTTAAAAGTGTGCTTTAAGCATACAGCATCTCAACTGGCAGCAGCTGTGCATGACCACAGTATATGATCTGACTTATGATTCGTGAGGACTAATGTATATCAAATTACTTAAGCTAATATAACGTGTGTTATGTGATTTCAATACATAACCAACTGGGATAAGTTTTGTAGAATGCAAACAACAGTATGATATTGATTGTAGTTTTACATTAAATGTTACATTATTTGTCTCCAAACAGAGACATAGGTTGATGTTTTTTTCTGACAATATGTAAAGGAGAAAATTGATGTAGTTAGTTAAAAATATATAACTACTTTTATTTGCCTTGTAACCTTTTAATTATTGGAGAGTACTTGTCAAAGACAGATTTCTGTCACTCTCAGAGATGTGAGATGTTTTCAACTTACCACCAAAAATGTGCACATCCTAGCCAACCTCTCACATTGAAGACTAACATACTGTATCCAATCCAGCTGTGAGGTGGGAGCTCCCAGATGTTACTGCTGCAGTGGCGTTATGTAAGTCAATGTAACCTACTGATTTCCCTGACTGTCACATGGGTAGGACCACTGGGCTGAGTGCTCACATACAAACACAGACAGATAGCGGATTACCCAAAGGATTTGCGGAGTAAAGCTGTCTTTTTAAGATGACTTTGTGACATTTCAGCTTTTGCTGGACATGCATGGTAGAAAAAACAAAAAACGATACTAGTTATTGTATGTGATAGATGAGTGGGACTTGAACCCAAGATGCTGCAAACTCCGTGACACACTGGATAGCTGACTCACAGAGTGGCCTAAAGCTATCTTAATCCTGGAGATAAATGTGTGTTGGTGGCATTTGGCTTAGCTTCGCTGTTTTTCCTGGTTTTTAAAAAGACTTTCATGATGGAAAGGCTTGTAGGAAGGGGTTTTGTGTGGTGTAGAGTGGAGTCACATAAGCACCTTAAGGAAAAATACGTGAGGGTATTGGAATCTATGCAAAAACATGCAAATACTTTTGTATGTTTCACTTTTTCATTTAGGCAACCAGAATGAGAAAGGAAAACACTTCACTGCCAGGCAGCTGTAGCCATTCTGCTCCAAACATAGCTGCTGGAACACATTGATTAAACAGGATCATTATAATTTGCCATTTGCTTTTCTTGCCATTGATAGGAACATCACTTCAGTGTTTTCAGTCATATACAGCATATTAAATCAAAAGTACACTGTAGGCTACAGCCAAACCTTCCAGATACTTAGATTTAGAATACTCTGAGCAGCTCTTATCAGCCCTGTGTGGTTTCATTTATTGTCTATACATTATTGACTGATGTACTGCCGCCAAGTCTCAGAGGAGGGAGGGAGCAGGAATGGATTCATCAGTGGGAGAGAGCTGCTAATACTAGGATGACCTCACTTTATGTGAGATGCCTTACAAGAGGAACAACAGGGGGACTGGATATGATCACTGAGAGATTTGGAATAAAGGAATAAAAGGCATATGCAGGTTTTATCCACCTAAAAGTTTCCTTTGTGAGAGCACCATTTTTTCCTAGTTTTACATGGTTATATTTATAATGTTTCATTCTAAATAGGAGCCACACAATCAATCAAAGAAAATGAGAGGAACTGAATGAGCAAGGGGTCAGGAATAAATATGAAAAGCACTAGTTTTACAGCTCATGTTCAGTTAGGACTTGCCCCAGGAGATGAGAAGCACATTCTCTCAGGCTTAAGATATCTAAAACACTCTTGGAGTAAGCAAATCCACTTTAAGTCTCCACTCTGTTGGCAAAGAGCATTCACACGTTTAAAAGTGCCAAGTAAGCAATTTAGATGTGACTCAGCACCCGCATTATCACTATTTCTTGTATACAGTATTAACAGTTTGCAATGGAGTGAGCACAACTGTAATATATACGCAGCACATGGTGGATGTTCAGAGCCATTTAGCACAATATGAATGGTCACTGATACTCTTTAGATGTTCATATTGTTGCCATGGCTGGATTAACTTGCCCTGAGACCCAGGGCAAAAATGAGCTTCTGGGTCTTCATTACAAGTATTATTATTAATAGTATCAATATCAGCTGAAATAATGAAGGCCTTAGAGAAGACAGGGTCTCTAGATACACCTTTCTCAATGCTGACATTTTTTCTTGTCATAGTAGGAAAAGCACAGGTGTTACTAAAACATTAATGCTGGCCCAGTTCTATTCAAGTGTCTAGTAAGCCATGGTTTGACAGTGAGCCAACATGCACACTACAAGGACTGTGAAACTGAAACAGTAAAAGGGAATTTATTTATTATTGATTTTATTATGGGAGCCACATTTTTATTGTTGCCAGCATGCACAATACATGGACCTTGAAACTATAACAGCAAAAGGTAATTTATTCATTGATAATTTTATTATAGACAGATAGATAGAACTTAATTGATCCCCGATGGGAAATTGCGATGTTGCAGCAGCAAAATTGATACAGATTACAAAATGTACAGACCAGACATAGGCTATTTACACAAACTAACATATAATTTCCTTTTTAAAATATATTTACAACCAATGTTTACAAATATTCAGGATGTGCAATTTAGTATCACTTGCTGATTTTGAGAGTGTTGAGTATGATGTTTAACTCTGTAATTTAATGTCCTTTATCATTCACGTTGTCCTTTATCATTATAGGGGGCAAATCTTTATTATACTTAAATCATAAATCAAGAGTCCGTGTATCTATCTATCTATGGTGAATGCAGACAAGCAGGGGGCGTTGAGAGGCCGCTAGAGAGCAGCCAGTGTCTGCACAGAGCTGTGTGCTGGCTGGGGGAAACTGATCGTGTGGCAGAGATGTAGTGTAGCTCGCTGGGACTCCGTTGCCAGCCGTCTGTCACTTATGCCGGGGATCATTTGTCTGACATTACCTTGGAATGGGAAAGACCAGATTATTGCACAGTTCACTTACACTGCATGAATGTGCCGCGTAATGCGAAAGAGAAGAGCTGCCTTTGGGGGGAAATATTTATGGTTCGGGACGGTTTTGTTGGAGTAGCTAGTTGCTAGCGCTGCTGGGCTAGCTGGGCTACTTGGACGCATTTTTGCAAGGATGCTACGGTGGATTCGACAGCAGCTGGTAAAACTGCTCTACTACATTTTCTCCTAACGCTAACTTAGCCCTCATTAGCCCACAATAACAGTCACTGAATACACGGCTTAGACCACGGGAGGCTTTATGAACTTTATGTGGATACAATTTAGGAAGCAATTCTAGCCAATTAGCTGTTGCCGATGTGTCCAAAACATTGTTGACTGTCTCGCTGTGATGACAGTCAGGTGTAGGTGTAGGTTGTGTTAGCTACCTTCACAGCTAGCGAACGTTAGCGTTAATTAGCTCACAAATCGTTACTAACGCTAAGCTAGTTGAGACCTAAACAACAAACAGGCCAAAGTTGAGTTCAAATTTGAGTTGTGAGTTGATTTGAAGTTGCTGATTTTAACCCCCCTTCACCTGAATCCTTGTCATTGTAAAATATATTGGAGAGTCAACTAAGTTTAACGCTAGCTAGCTGGCTAACAATGTCGAACTTGGCGAAGTTAAATAGTTTTGCTAACTCCGCTTCATCAAACGTTAATGTTAATTATTAACGTTTGCTAACATTAACTCGCACCACTTTAACTTAGACGGAGTTTTTTTTTATTCATTCTGTCCAGAGAGCCAGCAAACAAACTTTAACAACTGGTTAGACAACATTGGTGTGAACTCTCGAGCAGAGTCATTTAACATTACGTTAACATCTCACATTTTTACTTTCATGATAACTTTGGATCGGCTCAGTGTTGTCTTAATTCATTTCTTAGTGTAAACCTGTATGAAGTGGCTAAATGCAACGTTAACGGTCTTTCAATGATTAACGTTACATACGTGTAGACAGAACCCTGTATTTGCTGTAATCACATGTTGTTTGACTACAAACATGGCTGTGTGTTGACGCATTGCCAGTGCAGATGTGACTCACAGGAGGTAAATTGAGTTTTGAATTATGCTGGAGAAATGACTGATGTGTTTGTCAGTCACGCTGCAGTGACTCGATGCTTCTATTGCATGATTTCTGTGGTTGCTTCTGTTTGTAAAAGTAGAGTCTAGAGTTTGGATAAGAACCTGTATTAATGTACAGTATAAATGAATGAGAATATTGTGACTGGTAGATGGGTGTGTGAGAATGTCAGGATGTGTGAATGAATAAATTAGTAAGTTATAAGATTAGTCACACGTTCCTCAAACTGTTTCTGTCACTACAGCCAATCAGAGTTAAGGTGTTTCTGATCTCCATGTCCTAGTCAGGGAAGGGTTGGGGTAGAGTGACTCTAGCTCATCTGCAACTTTGTCAGTCCGTAAAAAAAAAAGAAAATAGTTTTCTTTTTGCCTTTAGAAGTTCATTTTGGCCTTCAGTTTTTTTTGAGCACCACAGAGATTTGCACTCCATAAAAATGAGATCCTCCCCTTAATTTGAGATAGCGCAGTTCATTTGACCCATCCCATATCATTGATCTGCCTAGTTAATTAAAAGTGTAATTAAAATGCATCTTAATACAACGGGCCTAATGAAAAGCTTTGTCTGGGGCTCTTGTCTTTTGATGTCACCTGGAAGTTAATGCAGGAATATTTATTCCTGCACATATTGCTTATCAGTTTACTTCTGGTGACACTGGGCCGCATTAAGGAGGAGAAGGTGGGGGTGTCCTAATTGGCAGTGTGGCATTTAATGTCAGTCTTCTTCCATCAACAGTGCAGACATCATGCTAGTAATGCTGCATATGTCTCATAATAATTACAGTACAAAAATCCTTTCAGCATGTTGTTCTGCAAGTATGACATTAAATGTTTATGCGCTCCAGTATTTCCTAGAAATTGCAGTGAATATATTTTTGCTGACCATTTTCCAAAGCATATCAAGTTTTTATATTTGGTCCATGCCTACATGCTATGAAAGTCAAATCATGTGCTCAGGGCATCTGATATGTGTTTTAGTGTAAGAAACTACCAAATTTTCATTTTCATAACTTTAGTGATATATTATTGTTATTGCTTTTGTATTGAGTTTGATTAAGACATACTTGGCAAATTAAAAATATTTAATGCAGCAAGGCTTGCTACTGCTGATGTAGTACTAAGAGGAAAGAGTTTTAGTCATTGCTTGCAACAGCATTTCCAAGTAATGATAACCTTAAAAACCAAAACTGGATGTTATTACATGGTTACTTTGATACCTTGTCAGCAACTGGATTTTATGCCAGAGTGACATGAAAAGAAACTTATAGCTGTGTAAGAAGTGGGCAATAGAGATGATTGTGTGGATAAATCTTATTTGCTATTTATTACATTGCATAACTATGCATTCCTGTTGAGCTAACAGAATGTCCTAACCTTTTAGAGTCCCATTCAGTATCACTCTCTGATTGCTGCGGCAACCCTAATTATCCGCATTAGTAAAGCAGCCATGCCACCTTAGAAAATATTGTTCCTTATGACCTGTAGGTCTGCTTCAAGCTATTAATTTAATGCCACTCATTGTGAGTTATCTGTTTGGCTTGCCTGTAATCATGTTAGTATTGCTATTGTCATCAGTATTGCTGTCAAAAGCAGCACATATCTGCTGCATCTGACTCTCTCTTCATGTTTGTATTAAGCCTTTCTGTCTTTACTGCTTGCTACTAACTCGACCTCTCTCCCTTCTCCTCTGCTTAGCACATCCAATTTGATTAAATGGGTCATAGTCTATGATACAACTTAGTGTGTTCACATGGTTGTGATACATTAGTCTGTCGCCTAGCCATTGTTCAGGGCAATAATTCATCCAAGGTACTGTGGGACTTGTAGGCCTAATGCATTGAGTAATTACTTCGTGGCCTACAAATTGATGGGGGCACTAGATTTTTTATTTTCATTGCTACACTGCCACTGGCATGAGAATGAGGCTTGTTATTTTCTTTTAGCTTATGGCCAATTTGGACTGGACGTGTAAAATGTGTGAAACAAAAAAATGTGATATTCAATGTTAAACCCATGGCCCAATCCTAATGGTCTGAAAGCTTTGAAATCCTTCTTTACCGCATCTGCTGCTTATTATAGCCTCTTTTTTGTAATTGTGATTTCCCAATTACATTGTGGTAAATGTAATTAAAAAATGTAATGTAATGGTTAAGTGCCCTTATTACGTGCCAGTCATACCTATCCGTCAGCCAAGTAAGTCATCGGCTCAGTGCAGTTTTCATACATACATTTCTGGTCAATATGTTATTAAGTAGCATGTAATAATATTTTATACTTTCTGTGAATATAAGTTCAGTATATTAGTTTGAAAACGGGACGTTGTCACATGTGTATCCACATGTGTAAGTCTGACCCAATTTGATAAATAATGTTGTATTTGGTTCTCGTATCGTGCGCTGGTTCGTTTCAGTGGATTTACCATAAAGCTTGAGTACGTGTGCTCTCCTAATTTTGGTGTGGCTAGCTTTATCGCCTTCTCATAAACGAGTGACAGAAACACTCAAAGCGGTTCAGACCGTTTGTTGCCTTTTCTAAGAAGCCTGTCACAGATGGAGTGGATGTACTTCGAGACAGCAGAACAGTGTCTGCAAACGTATGTAAGAGTTATGTATTTATCTCTGTTTCCTACAGAATGACAGTGTAACTGTGGCACTCAGGGTGCGTGTGCAGTCGATATTGACTAATACCTAATATAGAGCGTGCTAGCCTCGAAAAACCCAGGTGTTTTCTAACATTAATTTAGCTCTCCTTATTAGATAGGCTCCTTACATGCTTGCTAATAACTTTTTTTAATGCTGGGTCTCCGACATTGACAGCATTGTGTTGGACAGACTTGTGCAGCTGTGTTCATGAGGGAGAGCCTTGAGATTGTGGCGGGCTGCCACAAATAAATGAACATATGGGAAACACTGGATCTTGTGTAGAGTTGAATGATGGGAAGCATGCCTTGGGAATTAGCAATAGCCTCAATCTGTTGTCTCTGTGTTTGTTTGTTATTCACAAAACAAATGCAGCATGACACTATTCAAGTATAACGTCTTTGTTATTGTGTATATGCTCACATCAGGCCATTCTTGATTGACTAATGGTACACTTTATGATATTTACCTTACTCTTATCTGCTTTGAGTACTTGGGGATCTCTGCTAGTTGTGCATCACTGACATTCATAATCAAATCACGTGAAGAATAGGGGTGGGAATCTCTTGGCACCTCACGATTCGATTACGATTCAGAGGGCTGCGATTCGATTATAAAACGATTATCGATGCATTTTGATGCATCATTTTTTCTATACAGGATACCTGGATAATTACTAAGCATTTAATTTGCGCATTAAAATCCAAAAGAAACATCTCCTAATTAGCTTAAAAGGACTAGTTTGCATCCCCAATTTACTTTATTAACCTCAGCCCCATGGTCCCTCATTTCTTTAACAACCAGTTGTCAGACTCCTCTGATCAGGATGTACAGTATACAGGACAGAGCTGTACACCAGTTTAGTCTAAGCTTCTACCTGATGTTTTCAACCCTTGACTAGTAGGTTAGTAATGAGATACAGCTGATAATTAACATTACTAATTTAGCTGACGTTACAGATCCAAGGAAGCTTTACACATTACGTTACAGTGACAGAGCAACAAAAAGTCATCCAGGATTGAATGCCTTGGTAAAGAATTAGGTTTTTAGTATATTTATGAAAGTATCCAGACGTTTCGGATCTCTGTGGGGATGAGTTCGAGAGGGTGGGGGCTTTGACGCTGAAGGCTCTATCCCCTAAAGTCTGGAGTCTGGTGTGGGGGACAGAGAGCAAGCCCTTGTACAGGAGAGATGTTAGCTAGCGCTAACAGTAGTGTTGTAGTCAAGACCGCCCAAACCGAGACCAAGTCAAGACCAAGACCAGAGTTTATCGAGACCGAGACAAGACCAAGACTTTTAGGGGCTGAGAGCAGTTGAGATCAAGCCCGAGGTTTGGTTGCATTTGAAGCAATATGTTTTACTGCCAATCAAAGTTAGGATGTTAACTAATCAGACAATGCAAAAGCAATTTATTGATATTCCCAAAGTTATGGTCTTGACTGGTCTTGAAATAAAAACCTGAGTCCTCAATGTCCGAGAGTGAGACAAGACCGAATACAAATGCGGTCGAGTACAAGACCAGACCAAGACCATCAAAAAGTGGTCTTGGTTATTACAACACTAGCTCACAGCCTTCACCTTTCCAGCCGTTGTGGAATCTATAGACTTTTATTAAGGGAAACACTGTGACCTACGCTCTTTCTTATATACAGTCTATGCCTACGCTGCACGTTTACTACCAGACTGAAACTTACTGCTAACTGTCTGTCACCGTCATGTTCTGCCACTTACTCTCTCTCATTCGCTGCCTCACACACTGGATATGCAGAGAGCTGCCGAGCGTCTAGTGTTACCGTGCTCGCAGTGTGCGAGTTAAAATCATTACTAGCGCACTGATATTAATGATTGTGTAACAAATATATAGGGTGGTTATTCATTCCGCAGCGGTGGTGTGCTGAATACAGGCTGTTGTGTGCGCTCTACAGGCTGTCCGGGCGCTCATCAGACTGTTGGCTAATGTCACCTTAGTTAGATCTTATTAAATCTGCATGGCGGTGCAGAACCAATGGGTGAGATGCCTCCCTTAATTTCACAATGCAACATCTTTATTACAGTTACACTGGGCAGCTTTGTATAAGCCAGCAGTTAAACTAACTTAAGATACTGTGTGCAGCCATATTAATGATTAAGCAACTTAACTGATAGCTGGTTGATGTTGTGGTGAGTTAGAATCTCTGACTTGTGTAGACTGTCTGAAAAACTATTTGCAGAAAGGGAATGAGAAATTCAAGGTTTCTTACATGAATTGTGAAAAGATGTATTGAGTAAGACATTTACTGTCCTAAAGTACAAAATTACCATAATCTATCTGCAGGGATGCAATAGCTCATTGATCAATGCCAGTGACTCAACAGTTACTTTGTTAGATGTGGATATTTCTGGCTTACAAAACTCACTTCCTGGTTTGGCAGTGTCTGCAGGTTCACAGAGGTTGATTTTAAATTCTGTATTACTTATAAATGTAACTGCCTCATGAGAGCCACTCAGCAGCCAGGGTTAACAAACCGTGGTATTATTGGGCAAGTTCCTGTTTCCCGCAGCAGTTGGTAGAAGAGGGCAACTTTCAACTAAGAATACAGCACTGTACATGCAACTGTGGGATTCTGATGCAGGATGTTGCTTTAAAGGTTTTTCATGGTGTACATGCTCAGCTGACCTTCTCTCTGAAAGATTGTAGAGTTCTGTTCAAAGACTGATAAAAAGAAGTAAAGCGGCATTTTTCGAGCTCATAAAAAATATCAGCCTTTGGCGGCGGCGACTACACATTAGAGATGAAAAATATCTGGGTGCGTGGAGTTAGACAGAAGTGAGGGTAAAGAAATCCCACATGGACTAGCTTTTGAAAGCTGAGAGCAAAGTAGAAATGAATGGATCAGCGGAAATGGAAAATCCTGAACATACTGTTTTCATTCCTAAAAGTAGATCACTGATTTTAATGCTAGTCGATGACAGAAAGTGTACTGTATGCGTAAAGGATACATATTTATGTGAATTTTGTAAATTTAGTCTACAGCATCAGTAAGAGGGGAAAACAAGACTTTCAAGCTGTTGCTACTTTCATACATACCTGTACTTCCTTGACCTAAGTAGAAAAGTATTTATGTTCAGGTGAGAAAGTTAAAGATATCAATTTGATATGACTGTAGTAGGGTAACAAAGGTGTCGTCATTCTGCATTAGGTGTTAGGTGTGGTGCATTTATTTATAAACATTAAGAAATCATCAGCAGATGGAGAGCTTGAGAGAATGAAACAGAATAGCAGTAATAGTTTAAACGCGTCCCTCCCTGAACAGAGGTGAATCTGTGTGAGTGTGAGGGACGTGGACCGGATACATTCCTCTGTGTGTGCGTATGGGTGTGTGTGTTGGACCTACGTCATTTAAAATTTGCAAATGATTGCAGGAACTTGGCTTTAACCTTCTTAGTATAACAGTCAAGCAGAGTGTGAAGCACAGGACAATACCAGAAATGATGTTGGAGCCAGAAAAGTCAGTCAGTTACCAGAAAAATGTGTCTTGCTGGTCAAACATAACCAGGTATTACTGTTCACTTATCTGACTGGCTACTCAGAAATTTGCATTTTAATGGAAACATACAATAATGTACAGTAGAAAAGCAAGAGAAGTTTACCATGCTTTTGAAGTAGTATGACACTAGTGTAGTGTGGTGTTTCTGTCTCCGTTTTTCACTATAGAATCCTTTACGTCCCAAACTAACCTCTGCTGCACCTGACAAAATAATGGCCCATAGAGATAAGACTTTACAAGCCAAACAATACAGTAACTGAAACCACATTGAATAGAAGTTCAAGAAGTTGCCCCAGGTGGATTTTAGTTTGGTGTAGACTTTCATGGGTTAGTCATGCTTCTGCTTAATGCCAACTAAATAAAACAACTTTAAAATAAGGTCATAATATTGCTGTCCCTCTTTACCACTATCCATTTCGTCATTTCAGTCAATTGCTTATAATTCAGATTCACTTGAAATATCAGTAATCTTCCAGCAAAAAAGGAATTTGTATTTATGTTTCACATGTTTTTGACAAAATGGAAATTCTTATAATTTGATTAACTTAACTTTAGCCTTTCTAATGGCAGTGACCACGTGTGTAATTTACTACAAGGACACAAGACGTTGACAGTTAAGCTATAAATATTTGCCTTAACCTGTATCTTGTGTTTAAAAAAACTGTCTTGTGCACAATTCTACTGGTATCACTATAGGGCACTAATGAATATGTAAATTATTCATATGATAATTTCTCTGAGTTTGGCTAAAAAATGTTATAACTCTACTTTTTTGGTTGAAAAGTGATTTGAACAATGTGATCAAAATAGTTGTAGTTGTTTCTGTCAAATGTCCATCTAATCAATTAATCGACTAATTGTGTCCGCTTTACATTAGAGTACATGAAAGGAGGTCAAAGGTCCGCTTTTATCAACACTTTGCCCTAAGGTGTTGTTGTTTATATCAGTTGTACAATGAGAAATGAGATGTGTAAGAGTTATTATGGAAGTAACCTGTTGTCTCCTTCTTACCCTTTTCTGCCCCACCCCCCCTCTCTCTTCTCATATATCCTCCCTTCCCTCAGGGCTTTGACCCCCCTCATCAGAGTGAAACCAGGACAGTTTATGTGGCAAACCGTTTCCCCCAGCATGGCCACTACATACCACAACGCTTTGCTGACAACAGAATAATTTCCTCCAAGGTATCAAATGTTGTTTAAGCCTATATTCAGCATTTTCTCCTTGATGTTATCACTGCAAGATTTTATGTTAGGCAATATGTAAATTTGTTCTTTACTTGATATATTTTTATTGTGTATTGTCGACATAATAAAAGCAAGTACAAATTCTGTTCTTGAAAAATGTTTAACAAATATTATAAATCTTCAGATCTTTGCTTTATTGTTCACCTAAATGCAATAATCATGTTCTTAAATCCTTTGTCGTCACCACAAAAAACACTTTTCATCTTTAGCCAGAAGTGTAAATGAGATGTGATGGAAGCACTGTTTATTTTTTGTATTTTATGTATTTATTTGTGGTTTATGGAGTTTGAGGCACTTGACATGCACCATGACATTTCTCATGAGCCTGAGCATGGCCATGGTTTAAGAAAGTGTCACCTACAGAAACTCTAAACTCATTGACTGATTTCTGGCAACAGTTTGACCAGTTTTTAGAAAATTTCACCCTGAACTGTGGTGTGGTGGGAGGGTGACAACAAGATGAAATGTTGTGTTTCTGAGAGGATCACTTGGTCAGCTGGAAGATTGACTGGATAAAAGGATGATAATCTAAAGAGGTTGCTGCCTGCCACCAGCAGTGATGTCATTGATTAGGCAGTTGATTAGATGACTGACTTTAGGGTTTAAGTCACCTGAGTCTGAATTAAATTGATTTTAAGTCATGCTTTTTAAGAGACAGAAACAGCTCAATTCAATACAAGATTACTCTTGGTGTAGCTGTGTACTAATGGGATGACTTTCACCTTAAGGTAAAAGCAAGCTGTTAAAGTTCCTTAAAGAAAGATGTTTTGTAAAAAGAGTAAACCAAAAAGTGCAGCCACACTTTTTTTTCCCCCCTATCAACTATTCTTTCAAAACCATGCTGCACAGGAACTGATGAATTGAAACTTAACACTAAGAGTGAAAGAAAAACAGTCTCTGAAACAGCAGTAATCTGGAGAATGCTGTGTGAACGTCACCACTTACCAGAAGATTGATATCTCAGAATTTACTCATGCCATGCTACATACTGTTATCTTGGAGCTGCCAATGAGCAACATTGACAAAGTTAGCTTTGAAAAGTATGAAAAACTGATTTATTATGTACCTGTTTATAGTTGGATTGTTGCCAGCCAGAAATAGGCTAGTTTTACCTGCCTTGTATATTTGTATATATACATTTTACAACTCCTAAGTGCTCCATCTAGCATTCTGAGGATTTCATAAATGTGACTGAATGAATATTTAAAATGTACGAGTACAATTTCTAACCTTCAGATACCTGGCTTAAATAACCTTTCCTTAGTCTTTCTCTTAAATGTGTTTTTTTTTTCTCTTTCTTTCTTTCAGTATACAGTTTGGAATTTTGTCCCAAAGAATCTGTTTGAGCAGTTCAGAAGGATAGCCAACTTCTACTTTCTCATTATCTTCCTTGTACAGGTAATAACACTCATAAATGCGCACGCAATACTATTTTGCAGGTACATGTTCTCAGTCAGTGACGAGTCAAGTGTGACCTTGGTTTTCTTGCCCTAAATACACATGTAATTGTGTGTCTGTGGGTCAGTGAGTGACTGATGAACTTCTAGAGAGTCATGCCTTCACTATGCATCATTCAACCTGTTCTGAATGTAGGATTTGGCTTTCAAATTTCAAATCAGGCTTCACCTAATTTATTTGGGCTTGTGTAGTGAAGCCAAAGCAGTTGACTTGACTAAAAAGGATCTATTTTCAACCAGCAAGTGCCAATTTGACTACTTTTTGGATGGCCTTAGATGGAATTTTCCCCTTATTAAAACAAGCAAAGAAAAATTTTGTTGAAACCTGCATTTTAAACACACTCGAGGATCAAGGAAAAGCTACACAAATAGTTATCCATGTTTGTCTGTTGATGGCTTTCTTTTTTTGACTGTAACGCTTCCTCTGACTGTAGAGTTTCTTTTTCAAATGGAGCATCAGAAACTTTTCTTGGACACCATAAGCTCGTCGCTACGTTTGTTCCAGAGCCATTTAGACAGAGAGTTGCGTCATCTCTGTTTAACTTCAATTTAAGTGGTTTTATTGTCATAAATAAATAATATTAACAATATTAACTGTACAATAATAATAAAAAAAATGAACAATTCTAAGTAATAAACATTCTTTCCAATGGAACATTTTTATTCACAGCAATGGTAGATCGTGGACCTCTCTACATGGGAGAGCGAGCCCTAAACCGCACCAAGAGCCTGAAGCTCTGTGTTGAGCTAGGACGTGTTCATTCACGTTTTTTGAGGGATGGGCAGTTCTTTCATTGCTGTTTCTCAGCCATCATAATTGCAAAACCTCTGAAGCCGCGTGCTGAAGATATTGAGCTTGACTGAGTGAGAGCAAGGGCATCACTTTGTGTTAAAAAGTGGTGGGGACATTTAAGGGCTCATATTAGGGGTGTGACAAAACACTCAGTCCACGAGATGTGAGAATGCATAATATTGGAGTCACGAGAACAAGACAGCAAGCTATTCCAATGCTATTTTGAAGAAATATTCATTGATGAAATAGGCTTTTTTATTGGGGGGTCTAGGGGTCCTCTCCCAGAAGATTTTAAGCATATAACTCTTGATTTCCTGCATTCTAGAGACATTTTCTGCACCAATTTATGGTGGAAATGTCTCTTATTTACATGAAGGGAAACAAAATTCATGTGTTCGGTGACAATTCAGATTATAAAAATATTATCAGCAGCTTGATTTTTTTTAGCCTAAGTTACTTTTTTTTGGACAAGGCCGATCTGTTTTCTTGTATATTTACATTGCATTTCCTTTGTTTTCCTATTGTGTAAGTAAACCTTTCTCATAGAATTTTCATTTGTTATTTAACATTTCTTGTTACAAGCTAATTTTCAAAAAACATTTAGTAAATGTTTTCAAAAGTGGTGTGGACATGTCCCCAGCGTCGTCAGTGTAAATGACACCTATGAGTGAGAGCATGCGTGAGGAGGGGGGCTGTGCAGCATGTGCACAATCAGTGATTGACACTGTGTTAGCGCTCCTGGCTCTCATTGGTTCTTTTGCCGCGGGCGTAGTGGATTCTTGCAAATGGCATTAGGAGGAGCCATAGGAACCTGATTTAGGATATACTGTAGTGACAGTTCCAGCAAATATGCCATGTTATTTCTATATAAGTTACCTTCTGAACCTTTAAGAGATACAGTACATTTTTACTTGCCTATCTAACTAAACACTTTGTGAATCATACAGCCTATGAATGGAAAAAAATTAGTAATTTCTCATATTCTGTGTGAAAAATCAACTACCAGGAAGCAGATGCAGTTCTAGACGATAACTGCAATCTTCGTGTAATGTTAAGCTATCACATGTAATCCAGGAAGTAATGACAGAAGCATTAAGAGGACATACAACTGTGCTTCCATGGTCCGTACTTCTCTAAACTGTTAGTAACTAGTCTACAAAAAATGTTTTATATAGGGCACCATGGTGGCAGAGTGGCACATAACCTTTGTTGCATGTTAGATGCCCCTCTGTGTCACCTCTCATTTCCTGTCCTAAACCATCAACTGTCAAATATCAAATGTCTAATAAAGACAAAAAAATTAAAGAATCAAAAGTAAAATAGCACTTTTTTTAAACATTTGCAGAGGACAGTACCTCGGTTTACATTTTTTATACCACTGGAGTTTTTGGGAAAACATGTATAACCCACTGAGAACAAATGGTTATTTACTAATTCAGGTAAGGTTGGGAAAACTGAAATGTTTAATAGATGTTGCTTTTGAAGCTTTTAACTTCCCTGTGTGTGCGTGCGTTCGTGCGTGCCTGTAATTTTGAAGTGACTGTTAACCTTTAGGGGAAGTTGTAGGCGTTTCCTGTTTGACACATCAGCCACTACTTCTCTCTGTTGTCTTTGTAGTTTGTTTGTTTTATGTCCAACAAGACACATCCACTCTTACTGAGTGTCTGATGTCACTTTTTCTCCCTCTACACTTCTATTTTTTTTAAATCATACCACTCCTGCCTCTGTATTTGTCTTTCAAGTTAATGATAGACACCCCAACATCCCCAGTCACCAGTGGTCTGCCTCTCTTCTTTGTGATCACAGTAACTGCAATAAAACAGGTGAGAACACAAGCACACGATAGCTTCCTCTTTGTTGGGGGGAAAATAGGAACTAACATACATGCAGTAGTATTAAAGTTACATTTTACAAATTGAAACAAAGTCACAATGTTAAATATATGAAAATGTTAATAAGCTGCAATTGATTCAGGATGCTTTATTCTCTAACCAGGAATTAGCTTGCCATTGATATAAAAACATGCTTTTGGAATAAATTAAGCAGCTATTAGACACTTCAGTTGATCCATGAGGATCAGTTTTGCCAGCATTGCATCATCACTGTTGTTCAATAATGCTATATTCCACTGTGAAGTTGCTGTATGGGATCGGTTATGATGAATTTAATTTCTTCATAGGGCTACGAGGATTGGCTGAGACACAAGGCGGACAACGAGGTGAATGGGGCTCCAGTTTTTGTGGTTCGCAGTGGAAGTCTGGTCCAGACAAGATCCAAGAACATCAGGGTAAGATGACAAAAGCTACACTATAATGGAATTATATATTATTCCAATTATACCAGTTCAGAGCTTTACTTGCAATGCAAAGCATTATATATTTGTTCATGGGGGAAACCTAAAACCCAACTAATAATAGCTTTTCACAGCTCACAGTCAACAGCCATAGCTAACTAAACATAGCTTTGCTATTCCCAGTGCTAGTGGTTTTTCTGTAAAGCTCGTCTGTATAGAAAGATAATATAAGATCAGGCATGCAAACTCCTCACGTTTTGGTGAAATTTACCATTTTGAAACCAAAACTGGTCGAACAAGCTTTCCGTCAGAAAGCAAGCCTGTTGTAAGATAGAAGTAAGCTAGCTTACAATGTTAACTGTCCTGTCTGATACAGTAATGTTGCCAAGTTTATCAAAAATGTGCAGCATTAATCAGTACCTTTAACAACTTCTTGACATTTTGTTTTCCGTTCTCTCCCTGTGAACATGACAAAAGAGGAGGGAAGACTAAATCATGTCTGCATGTGTGCTGACCCAGCAGGGATGATATTACATGAGGAAAGTTGATCTACAGGAGAAACCTCTCTGAAAGCAACATAGAATGAGAGCCATACTGCGTTATATTCTGTTAGATTTTTAGATTTTAAATTTTCACCTGCCACCTGAAGTGTTTCCTTTACAATAACAACATAAATAAAAACATTTCCACCACAAATTGATGTAGGAAAGGCAGAAATTTGTGCAGAATATTCACCAGAATTCAGGAAATTAAGTGTTTAATGCTCTAAATTTTCTGTAGGAAGACACCCAGACCCCACCAACACAAATACTTTTTCAGCATAGATGATTTATAGAAAATAGTGTTAAAATATTGTCACATCAATAAGGTGCATCGCCACATCTTGTGAGCTAAGTGTATCTTCACATCCCTAACCTTATGTCCCCACTAATTTTCAACACAAAGTGACGCCCTTGTGTGTCGGTATCTTTCTTTTGTTGCAGTAGACGAAGGCACATTTTCTATACAATTTGTAACCTTAAAACAGGCTGCTCTTACACTGTCTCTGTATGTTTCTCTGCTTGCATTTGTCTGCTTGCATTCTTCTCATCTTTTTCACCCCTGACCAGTTTGCATGCCTGATAAGATATGGTTGTCAATGAAAAGAGAACTGTTTCATACGTTAGGATTGCAAGAAACTGGGGCATTCATAGTATTACAAACACATGCAATTGGAATGTTGGAATGGAGTAATGCATTTGTTGCAGTAATACGAGTCTCTACAAATGCCACTGTTTGTTTAATGTTCATGTTATTGTATTGGACAGACTGGCATTATTTGTCTTTGCAGTTAATTTTCCTGAAGGTCAATGACTTTCAGTGAGGGGGAAATGTATATTTAATATTTTTCGGGTTTCAGTATGGTGCCCCCTAGTTTTACATTATTTTGACTGAGCACTGTTGTCCTGCACTTTAGTTTATTGAATGAGCGCCCAAACAAACATTCACCCGGGAAAAGTGTACTGCTAATGCCAGTTTGCAGGCTAGATAGCTACTTTTACACAGACACTGACACACCCCTCCAGCCATCTTAGAAATGGAGCATTCATAATATTTCCCCAAAGGACCCTTTTTCTTCCTATTGGTAATATGAAACTATTAATAATACATGTAAAAAACATTATTTTTGTTTACAAAAATAACTACATGTTTTTTCAGTTGGGCTTGAATACAAAGGCACAGAGGTATACAAAGTCACTGGGCATCAGCAGAAATGTGAGAGTTGAATACAGTTAAAGTAAATTTTGGCATAAAACTTAAACATTATTAACCTGTGTGTGGGTGTGTGTTTCTGCCTGTCTGTCCAGGTGGGGGACATTGTTCGTGTGGCTAAAGATGAGACCTTCCCAGTTGACCTGGTGTTGCTGTCGTCAGATCGTGCAGAGGGCACCTGTCACATAACCACAGCCAGCCTTGATGGAGAGACCAACCTTAAGGTCAGTGTGTGTGAGTGTGTTGGCTTTGGGAGTACAGTGTTTCCCACAGAATTAGATCCTATTTGTGGTGGTAGCTTATATACCCCATATAAGGTGCTCCTCTATAAATATTTCAGTGCCAAGAACTGGTTGGACTGTTCAACTTTCCCATATGTGTTTTTTGGAAGTTTATAGGTACCCTGTTTTGCTAATACCTCTGGTCCAGACTGTCTTTGCTCCTCCTTAGGATGAGCCCTTTAGACACATTCAGAGTCAGAGTTGGCGAGCAGTTGATATGGACTAGCAGCTATGTACAGCGTCATAGCTCGACTGCCCAGCTCAGAGTGTACACAGAGAGGAGGGGCTATCAACAGAGACCGGTCTGTCTGAGAGCTAAGCAAGGAAGGGCTGAGCAAAACAATGTGCTGTGGGCCTCTACAAAGAAATGAGATTTTACCCATTTTAAATAGTAAAAAAGGCAGGTAAATCAAAGTATGGGAAACACTGGAGTATATGTGAGAAAACTGGTGTGGTATGAAAACTTTTAACAGCTTAACCAGTAACAGCGTGTTCTACATAGAATTTCCATTACAAGTGCAAACAACCATTTGATTGAGTAAACAAGATAGCTGCATATCCACAACCAATCTTAGCAATTAAAACTGCGCAAGCCAACTGCTCCATCTTAAAAGTGCCCCCTGGAGTGTAAATAAGCAAAAGGTACGTTCAGTACATTCAGTAAAAAAAGTTCACTTTCACTGGTTTTCAATAAAGACATTCAGGTGAATTCATAATGAATTGCGACCGCTGACAGTACCATGAACCGTGCATTATTTGCAACCGCTATCTGCCCTGTCTCAATGTCAGATTCACAAAAGCTATTGTGCAAATGATATTACAGCGCATACACACCCACAAAGTTTTGTAGCGGGGTGCAGTTTGCCCTTGTTTTGCATCAGATAAACATCCATCTGCAAATTTTCTGTAGTGGACCCAGTAATATTTGTTTGGTTGTTCTTAGTGTACTGAAGTAGCCTTTCACACAACATAGTTAAGCAACTATGAGAAGAGAATGTATTCCAATTATAACTATTCTAATTATCTATTAACCCCCCTCCTCTTTCATTTGTTTCTATCTGCGGGATATCCCTCGTTTTTCTATGACTCACTCTGTACTGAGTGTTTTGTCAGTGATGCGTCTGAGTGGTTTTCTCTCCCACTCTGCTGTGTGCTGGACTGTTACAATGCATAACCATCATCTCTGCTTCTCACAGCAGTAGGTTTTATGTTTTCCATTTTCATTGTGGTGAATATCAGGTATTGTACTATGTCTGCCATTTATTCACCGCTGACACGATTACTAGAAAGTCTGTGCATGATGCCCCTTATAAATGTGCTTCAGTTACCACCAACTCTCTGAAGACTTTCACTCTAACTGCATGTGGCTATTAGCACTGGTGTTTGTAAATTGGACTTTTTTTTCAATATGCCTCATTTGCATAGAAAAGGGCCACTTTTGCACCAGATGTATGCATATTTACTTTTTTAAATATGTGCAAATAGCACCGAGACAATATTTGCTTGGCAGCGCTTTTAGGATGCCTTTCACCATTTGCTGCATTTCTGTAGTTACTGCCACCAACTGTTGATCAGTGGAATGGTGTGAACTGTGAATAACATTGTTGGGAGACATGTTCATCCTTACATGTGTGCATGATTCAGACAAAAGGGTGACCCACTCATAAAAACCTTACTCCATCCATAGCCCTACTAATGGTGGATTTACTGCAAGTGGATTTTGATGAATGGACTCACGCACAGGGAAAGAGATTTGATGTCATACTGATGCTAATGGAACCCATATTAAAGCTCTATGTATGGAGAGAACCTCTAATTTAGATAGAGAACAATATAATTTAAAAGCTGTTTATTAGAAATTGTTTGCATATACTAGGAATCTGTCTTTAATTTGTCAGAAAATAGAGTTTGGTTGGCAGACCTCTGGGTATCTGTCACATGACTAAAGCCAGCTTGTGTGTGTTTCAGGTATATACATGAAAAAGTCTTCAAATTACTTGGATTTGATTATATAGGGTTTACCCCCAACAGTCTTGCCAGAGGCTATTTTGCTTAATTGTCTCTCTAAAAACACACTGCTGCTGCTGTTAGTTTATTTATACCGCATGGTGGGTGTTTAGCAGAGATTCTCACAAATCTTTGAGCTAGAGTCCAAGTCAAGTCTCAAGTTACTCGTGGTTATAATGAATGTTGTATCACTTGCTGCGTTCAATCCAGGCTTCTTAGAAAACTGCATGGCTATAAGGGATTCTGTAGCTGTAACCTGTTTTTCATTTACAGAGCCCAACCATGTAATGTGCAATGCAATTAATGACAGCTTATAAACTAATGCAAGTCAGCACCAACTGCAGGTTCTCAAACCCAGTGTAACATTATAAGGATATAAATCTGAGACGTTACATGATTTACAATAAACCTGTAACCTGTTCGCAGCCACCGTTAATAATTAACGTGATGGCAGCCAGCGGGACGTAAATGATTACATTAATCGACATCCAAGTTTGGCAAGCAAACAAATGCTCATTCATCTTTTCATAACGAACGACAGTTGGAGTTAACCTCTCGTAGGACATAGCTAAAGCAAGAAGCAAGCTAATGTTGCATGGCCAATGCTGAGCTTAATATGTTTACTAACCTCAGGTTACTAACCTATTTTGCATTCAGTACTTCTTTGTTTGGCTCTTGTTGTATGAAGTTTTAAAGCCAAAGCTTTTGATGAATGGCACAGCAGCTGCCAGTGTTTGTTGTCCTCTCTCACATGTGGCAGCAGATATGTAGTATGTGTTACGTAGGTAATACCCCACATCATAGCCTGATGCACACCTACCCAAAAATGTAACTACATCACGATCAGCTCAGTTTCAGTTGCCATTAGCCATGTTTCCATCAATGTATTGCATTAGAAAAGCTTGATGGAAACAGCAAAATTCACGCTCGCTTGAGGTAGTTTTTGCCTTTGTCGAAAAAGAGTAAATGCGGTAAATGGGAGATGGAAACACTTTTTCCGAATAAGGTCTGACGTAGCGAACTCACAACTGATCAGCTGTTTCTGCTGTCGGCGTCTTGCCCGATTGTGCAGAGTTCTGCGTGCCTGACGAGAATTTCATGCACCTCGCAGCTGTTAACGCTCATTTTTGCTGAGAAAAGAGGTGGATGCAAATCTCGGCAGGTAGCCCTCATCATCATCAGGTGCATCAATTCTCGGCAGGCATGCAAAACTCGGCATAACACCGGATATTCCCATAAGGCAAGGCAAGTTTATTTGTATAGCACATTTCAACAACAAGGTAATTCAAAGTGCTTTACATAAAACATAAAAGCAACATAGGGAAATTTAAAAAAAATACACATTAAAATATAATAAACGTTACAGTGCAGTGTACAATCAGGATTAAAAGAGTTAAATGGAAAATAAAAACAGGCTGAGGTGTTGAGCAAATAATTGAGTTACAATTATTTTGAAAAGAGAATAAACAGAAGTACACTCAATCTACTCTCTAGCTAGTCTGTACTCCGGTCTATAGCAATCTTTGGGTCCACTGAAACTCCAAAAACCCTCGAACACTACAGAGAAACCAGGACATGTTTTTCCGCAGGCCACTTTGATCCAGTTATACTCTGAACCCACCTGCGCGTTTACAGGTGGACAGAGGTTCCTGCAAATCACTCAGGTGTGAGATTTAAGACCATTTCCTTCACTCTGTTCAATCTCACTCTCATTATCTTTTCACTCAATTACCTACTCATTTCTCACCGTGTAAATATTAAATTAAAAGCAATGGTAAAAAGCTAAAAACAAAGAAAAAGAAAACGGGACAGTAAAAGTTACCGCATCACATGCGGAGACATGGCTGGCAACTTGCCCTCTTGAAACACATTTCTGAGGACCTCTCTCCATTTCTCTTAAGATCAATGGCCATCAGGTTCATGCAACTGGTTTTGTTTCTGGTTTGGAACACATACGTCTTGTTTATTACAGCCATGTGTTATGTGACGTATGTGTTACTGACGTAACTACGCTTGCCGTAGCCTGGTTTATTCGCTCCAAACCAGCTGATGGAAACGCACATATTTCACAATTTCTATTTTTTCTCTTTTTTTTGCGACATTTCAAAAGTACGCTTAAAATTCGCATGACAGTTAGATGAAAACATGGCCATTGTTAATAGGAACCTACACCAAACATTTACCCATTCGCCCTACGCTGGCATTCCCCTCCTTTGTATGGCCAGGTAAACAGTTGAGGTGCAGCCTCCTTCCCGAACCAGTTGTTTTCTAAATAGGAAGCTTTTTGTTCTAACTATAGATCTATTTGTTCATGAGTTTACCGTGTTCGTTTTTGTAAACTGAAAAAGTATCTTTTGCCCTGTATGTATGTAGACTCACTACTCTGTGGCGGAGACCGCAGTGTGTCAGTCTGTGTCCCAACTGGAGGCTCTGCATGCTGTGGTGGAGTGTCAACAGCCAGAAGCTGACCTGTACAGGTAAGCGGCACCTTAACTAGTGAGAACATGAAAAGACAAGTGTGAAGTCACATACAATAAAGAAAGAATACTCCCAAGTAAACGCGTATTTGTATTAGAAATGAAGAGTGTGCCTTTAGAATCCTCAGGAAGATTTTTGTGTTTATAAATTTTTTTAGCTTTTTATTTAACTGTTAATTGTTACACTGTACACGTACATAATACTTTTAATTAATTTCATTTTCTGGGGACCCCGAAGTAACCCTGGAAGTGTCCAGATACTTTGTGAAAAACCACTAGAAATGCCCTGCCAGAAATGTGTTATTCAGTGGATTATGGGGTGAGATGGCTTCATCACCTCTTCAACAACCCCTCTTCCTCTTGTCGGTCTCAGCTGGCTACTTCAGGATTGATCAGCGTATTTTTAGATCAGGCAGTTTGTTTCGGTGGCAGTTTTCTCCCTTCCCCCACTCTTGGTTGCTGTGTCTCTCTTTTAACACTAATTCTGTTTAAATGCACATACCTGACCCAGCTTTTGTCAGCTTTCTACAGTAATCTCATTTCTTGAACATCATATTAACCAGAAACCTGGTTTCCTTAATCAGATTAAGGGATTAAGATAAACATTAGTAGACTTCTGCTGGAAGAACCTGATTGTATACGCTTTACCAGGTTTCTTATGGGATTATTCTTAACCAGTGTGCATGTGCTCAACAGACACTCCAGACAGGGAAAGGACTGCTGTGGCAGCAGTGCAGCAGGATCAAAGTAAAGATCTGTACTTGGTCCAATACATACTTGTTTTTCATATAATTTAATCCAAAATCCAACTAAAACGGAAATTGGAAAAATGTATCAGTTTCCTCTGAACAGTTTTTTTTTTGTTTAACATTGAGACACATTCTCACAGTTAAGGAAAAGCTGTAGACTACCGAGTAACCAGGTGTCTCAGATTTCCTGTATTTCTAGAATTTCTTCTAGCAGCCTGGTTTTCCGTGTGCATGTGAGTGTAGTTGCTGTCTCTATCACCCCACTCAACTAAAATGCCTCGTGGTGTTTTCTAGGTTTGTCGGTCGGATTACAGTGACTCAGCATGGAGAGGAGATAGTCAGGTGAGACCAGCTTTATCCAGTTGCATTGCACAAAATTTAATTGATAATTATATGTTGTCGGAAAAGCTGAAGATACCCCATGCACAGCAGTGCTTCTCTCCTGTTTGCCAGCTGGTACAGAGCAAACCACATTAAACCAGCCTTCTGATTAGTGTAAGGCCTGGCACCAAAGTCGCAATCAGACAAATAAATGGGACTGTAGAGGGTGAAACAGGAAAGCATATCTGTGTGTTTAGTTATTTTTAGGTTACAAAATGTTACAACATGATTAACCACTGGTCTAAAGAGACTTAGCTGTTTGAGATATTTAAACAGCACTGGACTGCTATGCCACCGGAAAAAAAAACATGCAGCTAAATAAAAATGATTAATTACATGTACAGATTAGAAGATGCATGAGTCTTACAGGCTGTTGAGTTTATTTTAGTTGTTGATTTAGTTTATATCACATTCCTTATGTGTTTTGTTTGTGCCAAAATGTTATAGCCACATCCATCTTTCGCTGTATTTATGTTGTTTTTGTTTGCTTATATGTCAGACCGTTGGGTCCAGAGAATTTGCTACTGCGTGGAGCCAGGTTGAAAAATACCAAAGAGATTTATGGTGAGTCAATACAGTTGGAATCAAAAGAAAGGGTCCTGCAAAAGCAAATCCTCCACCTGAGAGGCAAACAGCTAGGGGGTAAAGAAAAAAAAAAGAGAAGACATGATCACCATGGAAACATGGATGATTTTGGTGTCTTGTGCAGGAATTCATGAGTCAACCAGTAGTCTAATGGACTAATCTCCCACAAGCCTGGTATAATACTTTAACCAACTGTTGCAGGTGTGGCGGTTTACACAGGGATGGAGTCCAAGATGGCCCTCAACTATAAGTGCAAGTCCCAAAAGCGCTCTGCAGTAGAGAAGTGAGCACTTTCTGTTGTCTCCCATAGTAAAGAAAATATTGCTGCTATATGCTGATATGCTTAGTTTAACATTCAACTTTAAAATATGTTCCTGTGTCAGGTCCATGAATACCTTTCTAATCATCTACCTGGGCATCTTGCTGTTTGAGGCCATCCTCAGCACCATCCTGAAGTACGCCTGGCAGGCTGAGGACAAATGGGGCGAGCCTTTCTACAACCAAAAGACAGAACAAGAGAGAAACAGCAGTCCGGTTAGTCTGCTTTGCATTAAGCATTAGGAGAATGTATTCTTATTGATTTTGTAAGTAGTACAGATTATAAGCTGCAGAGATAAGACAAGGTAAGATAAGTCAACATTCAACTTCCTTCCACTTTCATCTACTTGCCAAATAATGACTCTCTACTGCAGACATAAATTAATAGGAAGATATGAAGATGAGCCTACACATGTAAGCACATCCTAGAAGGGTGCTGGTAGGGTGGTTTTAGGATTTGTAGATTTTGTGACGAGGCATAAGAGAGGAAGTGCCTTTCATGGGGCAAGTCTGCCGACCTATCAGCCTACCTGCCAACACTAATTAGTCAGAGAGAACAGCAGCATCTATGTATTGAGACAAAGGGGAAATATCACTTCCCTTCTCCCTGGAGACAGAGAGAGGAATACTAGCAACTGAATGCAATGAATGGCTGTGTTTTTAGACTTAGGATAACAGGTGCTCCAGAAACCTGCTAGCCCGCTACTATATTTTCTGTTCTATATTTCCTGCCTGCTCCTAGACAGTTAATTTTATAAGTTTAATTTCTTTATTTTGTTAAGTAAGTTAGTCAGAGCTAATTTACAGGTCTACCGTGTCAAACTTGTTTTTTCTATAGCTGCTGAAACACCATCAGTCTGTGTGGTTCACAAGTGTATTAAACACATTTATTTTGCAATCTAAATCTTTTAAATGTGGATGCAAATAGGGAATCAGAAAACAAAAAAATATTGATGTAACGTAGGCATCCCATTTCTCCAAATGTGTAAGTGTATGTACAGTTGTTATTAGACCGATTGTGCAATTTGAGCAATTAAACCTTGGACACTTGATTCATATAATTCATGTAGACATTTCAAAAGTTCATTTAAATTTCACATCCCCCTCAATTGTTTTTTCTATTATCTCTATTATAACTCTCTCCATCTTGCTTCCAACAACAATTCAGTGTTTACATTTGTTATCCTGAAGTGTAGGTGACACCTTACTGTCTTGTTTCACTCCTCATTTTTGTCCTCATTGACCTGCCCTCCTCTTGTGTCTCATTCTAATAAATTTTACTCATATCCTTCTTTAGATCTTGAAGTTCATCTCAGACTTCTTGGCATTTCTGGTCCTCTATAATTTCATCATCCCCATCTCGCTGTACGTTACTGTGGAGATGCAGAAGTTCCTGGGGTCCTTTTTTATAGGCTGGGATTTGGACCTTTACCATGAGGAGAGTGACCAGAAAGCTCAGGTCAACACTTCTGACCTCAATGAGGAGCTGGGACAGGTATGGAATAGAAATGCAGGAACACATACAGCAAGGGAGTAAAGATACACACACACCGCTGGATTATTATACTGAAAAAAAAAATCTAAATAATAATACACTATTTGTCAGATGCCAGATCAGAAAAATACTGGAACTTAAATTTGAAAGGATTGCTATGGCACAGATTAATTAAAACACTGTATTTCAACCCTTTCCCTGAACTGGAGAAGTACTTGACTTGATTTATTTCCTCTCTGGAGTAGTAATACAATAAGATGACAACTGGCAAATGTACTTTTACATCAGTGTGGGGAAGTGAAAAATAACTGAAACGATTTACAGACTGTACAGACAGTCACAGACTAATAACAGCACTAATAATGACAACACATTCCTCCTGCTGATAATCCTATGCATAGACAAAAAAAAAACAGTTTTGAGGGGTTTGAGATGGTCATAAGTGAGATTTTTTTGTTCTCCGGGGGAATCATTGCTTAGACCGGGCGCAGAATTTCATAGTTACACGCTGACGCATGTATCAGGGTGTCCGCGGGGTCTTAAAAAGTCTTAAAAGTTAATAAATACATTTTGCGAAAATTAAGGCCATTAAAAAAGTATTAAATCTTTATCGCCATTTAACAAGGTTTTAAATGTTGAAGATATTTTTTTCAATGTGAAAATCCTGTTTGTCCAAAAGTTTGTTTGCTAAAAGTGTAGATCAGAGGTCACTAATAGGCGGACCGCGGTCCGGATCCGGACCCAGCCGCCGTCCTCTCCGGACCGCCGACCTACAGCACATTTATTATTGAGACTTACTACCTCGTGACGGAGCGTTTCTATTTTAACCCGCGCAGCTTTTCTAGCATTTACTGTACTGGTTTAGAGGACCAGGAAACTCACAGACCAATCGCATGTGCTCCAATCGTCTCATGTGACGCTGCTCAGCCAATCAAATCTGTGCATACCGAGGCTTGCGAGTCGAGTCCGCGAGATTCACCAGAGACGTTTTGGAAACACACCCGAATTGAGGAGACGAAAGATAAAAGAGATTTCACATGACTTTTAATCAAGAATGTACAGATTTTTACATGTACATTCCTCCCACGGGCAGTTCAAAACCAGAATATCTCATAGATCTCCAATATGCTAGCTGGAGCTCACGTTTCTCACTGAACAACAGAAAGTAGGAAAGTGGTAGCTCTGTAAGAGGAAATGAAAGAGAAGAGGAGGCAATACAGCTGTTCATTTGTTATGATGTGTTGAGTGTTTATTATAAAATTGGTTAAGACTACACTTCATCACTTCAAGCTACACTTTTTATTACATTTTTTCTAAAAATTAGGCACTTTAGTTTACCTAAATTTAGAATTTATTATTTGAATAGTTATTATTTATTATCCCTCCAGTTTGATGTGAAAACTGACTGAAATATTATTTGATTTGACAGTCCGTTGTTGACTAAAAACATGTGTTGATACAACTATAGGTTATAGTACTGAATGATAACGCAAGTTCGTCGTTTTGATGTTCCGGACCTTTGCTTCAGGAAATTTTCTCTAACTAGACCTCTTTGAAATCTTATTGAATACCCCTGGTGTAGATGAACATATTTATTTATAATGCATAGCCAAAACTACTAGACAGGCAGAGAGCGACTGTGTGATTCGTTGCTGTAACGCGCAGGGATCTACCGAGCGCCTATTTCTCTCTTAAACGCTCCAACAAATAGATCCGTGCAAACCGGAAAATAATTTACGAATACAACCGACCGTAATCTCCCACCCCGCCGGACCTGCAACGTTAATCGTCCGAAACATAGTCGGAGTGGCGATCAGTAGTAACGGGATTAACCCGGTTGGCCGGTCGCTCTGTGGCCACCTGAACAGCCCCGTTCCTGAAAAACTAGAGCGAGATGCGCCTCCAGCAGCTGAATCGGTAAGACAGAAGACAACAGGGAAAATTAAAGGAGCGCGTGGGTTTGGCTAACGTTAGCTGGCTATTTAGCTAAATCTCTGCTTTTTAATGAAACACGTTCAACACAGATCAATCACAGCCTAGATGGAGCAGGATTTTTAAAAAAAAGTTTGATGTGCTGCAACAAACTGTCAAACAAATGTTGAACTCCGTGTTCTGCATAAACAGTTATGATTATTGACGAGGTAGAAGCCTGCATAAAATCAAGGTTGGAGATTCACGTAGCCTGGAGCATTTTTCTTGTACAAAGTTAATGAATAAAAATCAACCCCAAACTGAAACAGCTGTAATTTGAATTAATATTACACTAGTAGTAAGTTATATACTATTATATGAAATTATATTGAACATAATGAATATATTAAAATCAAACTTACAGTTTACTATTAAGTTAACAATGTACTTTTAACTTAATGTTATAATATTATACTAATACAGTCATTTAGACTAATTCCTCCTCCAGGTTGTACCTGTGCTACACCGCCTACGTTACGTTATTCATCACTCAGTTTATTCTCTTCATCTTTGTTCCCTCCTGTTGTATTGATCAAGTTATCACACATATCATTGCAGGCAAGCTCACATTATCTAGTTTAAACCAACTAAAACAAAATTACACTGTTTCACATGATTTGCTGTAATATTGCGTACATAAACGGCATAGCTTATGTAAGACAGCTGCTTTTCGCAGGAAATCTGACCAGTCCTTCACACAGAGAACAATAGGCCTATAGTATTTAAAAACTCAAAAATTTCCATTTTAAAGGTGTGTGGCAGATTTAATCGGTTACAGCTCAAAGTGGCGCGGCAGTCTTGAAATATGTTGAAAAAGTCTTGAAAAGGTCTTAAAAAGGTATTGAATTTTACTACAGGATTCCTGTATATACCCTGATGTATAATGAAATCAATGTATTTCTGTAACGGTGACGTTATAGGTGAACGTTATTCCTCCACAAGATATTCCCTCATATCCTACCTTTATTTAATCAGGTTATCTCTTTTGTAAGAGGGAACTAAGTACAGCAGATAGAAAGAAAAACAAACACAGCCAGACACAACAAAAACACAGATAGCATCACAGACATCATTAAATAGATTTGAAGATAAAAGTTTCTATTATATGATTTGGTCTTTCTGTTTCCTAGGTGGAGTATGTGTTTACAGATAAGACGGGTACGCTAACAGAAAATGAGATGCACTTCCGTGAGTGCTCAATTAATGGAATCAAGTACCGGGAAGTTAACGGCAAACTGGTACCAGAGGGAATGACTGACGATTCACCAGATGGTTCTACGCCTCACCTGGTAACTCGCATACATACGCATTACATTTATTTTCTTTTGCAGACACGTACTGTACATACATATAAGCTGTTCTCACTGCTGCCATCAAACAAGCACAGCATATGAACAAATCAACCTCAAATGTTAGGGATTGCTTTTACCAACAATAGATAATTAGACTATGCACAAAATGTGCAAACATTCAGGATGTGCATTATAAGCTCTTCACCCAAATTAACCTCTGCTACAGTTAGAGGTTGCTTTTTGAAAATGAAGTGACTGGTTCTGGTCCTTCCTTTCTCATCATTCCCTGTTGTCTCTCCATCCAGATCGGTGATGAATTGTTATTTCTCAAGGCAGTGTCATTGTGTCACACGGTTCAAATCAGCTACGACCAGCCAGACTGCCTGGGTGGGGGAGGAGACCCATTCTCCCAGGCAAATGGTTTCTCTTCCAATCACATGGAATACTACGCCTCATCACCGGATGAGAAATCTTTAGTAGAGGCAACAAAGAGGTAAGGTTACATAGAGTTTCTTTAAGAGACTTCTCCTCTTCTTTAAATTTCAAATTGTGCACAGGTTGAAGAACCAGCTAAGCTAGTTGATTCACGCAATGGGGCTCCAGCCTGTGCAAACTCATTTGACACATACCTTGCATAATTAGAAGTAGCTGTGCTCTGTGATCAGTGACAACACATAAAATTAGCAGCAGCTATATTCCTTTGGTTGTGGTACTGGGATTTTGTATTTTCAAACCTGGATTGTGTCTGCACTGTTCTATAGTGCTGGCGTGGATTGTTGAGAATAAGGTACCTGAATCTGTGGTCTCTCCAGCAGTGCCAATCACTGTTATTTCTATTACTGAAAGCAGGGTTGGGCACACACCTGTAGCTGGAACAAGTCAACAGCTAAAATCTGAAAGGAACCAAGAAACACAGTAGTCAGTGAAAGTTGAGAGAAGGAAATGTTTGAGAAAAATTACCCCTATCTTCCATGTGTATTGTGGTGATCCATAAGAGCTTGTAGTTTCACCATATTGCATGGGTATGTGATTGTTACAACTCAGGAAATGTGTACATTCCTGTCTTTACTTAATTGTGTGGTGGCCTCAATGATGCAAGAAAATTAAATTTATCACAGCTATTGGTTATGTGTGATGACCATTTTCTTCAGTCTACTCCATTTCTTGATCATTACACTCTTGTGAATCCTGGCCATTGAAATTTCACTTGCCGTACTACTTGTTCCGATTGCGTCAGCTGCTAAGGGACATTGAAGTACTTTGCACTAAGACAGTGGCTGACTTTTTCTTACTAGCTTGTTGTTCATTTTATTGTCACAGGAAAGTAGTGCAAGCAAAAATTTAATGAGAAAACCCTCAAGCACTGTGTGTGAAATAGCTCAAAAGGGGAAAAACATTAATAGAAAGTGACCAGTACCATTATTGATGAATAGTAGCGAAGGAAGCTAAAGCTTTAAAACCTCCTTTGAGGAAAAAACTAAATATATATATATATATATATATACACTATTAGGAAATGTTGCTGTGTAGAACCCATCTAAATTGTCATACTGTGTTGTTTAACAAAGCCAATGTAGTTTTCACACCATCAAATTCAATTATGTCAAGCAGTGAGGGGCTGCACCCATGACCCACTGTCTCCATGCTCCATTGAGACTGTGTTGATTTAAACCGAAAGGTGACACTGTTGGTTCATAACCACAATAAATAACACTCAGTTAATGTTACAATACCATTACAATGGCCGACAATGTACATTGATTGTATATTATAGGTAATTGTTTTTACTGAAATGTGACACCAGTGGTCAGATTACACAATACATACAGGGATTACATATTTTGGAACTGCATTCTGGTGTTTAAACCATGTAAGATCCATTGGTTTGATGCTGTGGCTCATTGTGGGTCCTAGATGTTATTACATTGTTTAGAGTCTAGGTTTTCTCTTTGTTCACCTGCATTTCTTTAGGTTGTCCCACCTTTTAAACCTTAAATACATGCCAATAACCGTAAGCACCAGCCCCTGACCCTGAAGAAGATTAATAACTGGATGAATTAATGATTGAGGACACTATTTTTGTGGTGATGCAGCAATTAGTGCAAGCCTCTTTGGGAAGAAGCGTAAACAGGAAAAATGAGGCAGTGCAAAGTAGGGCTGTAACTTGTAAAATGATGAATAATCATCTTCACTTTTTCCCAAAGCCCAAGATGAAGTCTTCAGATGTCTTGTTTTGTGCATAACCCAATGATATTCATAGAGTAAAGAAACAAGAAAATATTCCAATCAATATTCCATCAAGAAGCTGGAATCAGAGAATTTTCTTTCTTAAAAAATAACTCAAAAATTAATGTTTAATGTGTCAGTAAAGCAGTCTGCATTTATCTGTAAATCAATATGATTTATACTGTATAAAAATATTCTCCTTCAGTTAATTAAATCCCTGCAGCCATCTGAAGACAGTAGGACACATATGTTGACATATCTGCAGTCTTAACTTTTTGCACAGTACCATAATGCACGGTGGTCCACTGTTTTCCTAGATCAAATCATGTGCAAATGAAACCAGGCAGGCTGCTACAAAACCACACACACCTCGACACCAAACAGGTCCATTATAAATCTGTATTCTATTCTGTATGCCCAAGATGTTGGATTTTAGTGGTTCATTTATTATTTTATTTTTAGCTTGCATTATTAAAATAGGGCCACGAATGGCACAATTACCTTTAACATCTCCCAAACTCCAAATTGGATTTTCACACAGTTTGTAAAGGTCAAATTGTCCATTCACCCAAGAATTCTAGCTTTGACTGCTGATTTGTTTTCCTCAGGATCGGAGTGGCCTTCAGTGGCACCAGTGGAGACACCATGGAGATCAAAATATTTGGAAAGTCAGAGAGGTACTTCCAACCCTGTGCATCTCTGAAATTACAATTACCCATGAAATAAAAGCATGTCATATTGATTGTGAAAGATGGTGTGTTTAAGCTACATGTGAAAAAGTCTGTCCTGTGAGTCCAAAGTGAGATTAACATGAGCATCCCTCTTTGCTCTCTCAGATATAAACTGCTCCATGTATTAGAGTTTGATGCTAACCGCAGGAGGATGAGCGTCATACTACAGACCCCCACAGGTAATTCCACGTTAACTACACAGTATTTTTAGCAATATAAACAAAAGTTTGACTGCATAATTAACAATGAAAGGTTGAGAAAAGCAATTGGATCATTTAGTGAAACAGAAACAGGATAATATTTATTTATTAAAGGATTTAATATTTATTTCTGTAAATGTTTACCTATCATATCTTCTTGCTTTTTGGCCTTTCAAGGAGGCAATGTGCTGTTCACCAAGGGCGCCGAGTCGGCCATTTTACCTTTCGCTACCAGTGGTGAGATAGAAAAGACAAGATTGCACGTTGACGAGTTTGCCTTGGTAAGAATATTTGTAAAAACCTTTTGGAAATATGTGTGTTGTTTCTATAGGTTCTGTAACAGCTTGTACCTGTTGCTACTATACATATCTGTTCAAAAGTCAGCATTTGTTGCAGAACATATAATTTTTTAATTATTGAATATGCAGACAATCTGGAGTTAAAGTACATATTTTTTTATTTTAGATTAAATGTACTTTATGTACACAATGACAATCAAATCATCTTTTCCTAATACCAAGGAGGGTAGACAAGCAGATGTTTCTATCTTTTGAGACACATTGAATAAACTTAATATACAACACTTGCCACATCAACAATCCTCTTCAACCTTATAATGACATCTTCAAATATCTGACTCAGAAATGCCTCTTGATCCACATGTTCACAGTTGTGTGTCTATGTGAGTAGGCTTGGCATTTCCCGGCATTGTAGTGATTACTTTTGGCTCTGTCACTGTCTGTTCCCATTAGACCATAAATTTTTCACCACAACAGCCACATACATACACAAATGCAAACACACACATATCCAGCACCCACGTCATGTCATCGGACGTCAGTACCCAGGAGTCTGTGCTGTGGACTGGGTTGATTTGTGGTCATCTGTCCCTCTGGCTAGTTTTGTGATTTAAATCAACTCTTTGATAATTTGTTTTCTGTTCTTTCTCTCTCTGCTTCCATTTGTCTCCCTTTCCATTTTTGTCCTATCTAAATCTTCTTGACTTCCTCACGTTTACCTTTCCTCTCTACACACTTATTCTTTTATTTTGACATGAATAATTTTTTATCATTTTTTTTGTTATGACTCATTTCTCCTGTTTTTCTGTTTCTCTACCCATCACCCACCCTCCTCCTCCCACTGTAGAAAGGTTTGCGGACCTTGGTGGTAGCATGTCGCCACTTCAGCCCAGAGGAGTACATTGATGTGGACAGGCGTCTGAACGCTGCGCGTACCGCGCTGCAGCAGAGGGAGGAGAGACTGCAGGAGGCCTTTAGCTACATCGAGACAGACCTGCAGCTGCTGGGAGCAACGGGGGTTGAGGACAAGTATGTAGACTAACGAATACATTTGAATATATTGGGTGTTGTTTCTCCTGAAAACCAGTTCTCATCCGGCTATGCATATGTCCCATGATTTTTAAGTCTTTAACGTCAAGAAGAAATCTTATCAGTTTATCATTCCAAACAGAAAGCAGTACTGGTTGTGTTTAGCTTACCCTCTTTGCTCGCCTATAATATAGTTGTGTATGTGCAATGTACTGTGTATTAACTGATGCATAAATAGGAATAAGATGATTCTGTTTTAAGAGTTGCTGGCTTAAATTACAGCAACTATATGGAATAGGTGATTGACTATTATTCAGAAGCCAGTTCAACTGCCTAATTACAATGATATAAATATAAATTTATGTAACACACATACCTCTGGCAGTGAGTACATAACATATACTTACTGTTTGGATGAAACATCTGTTTTTTTTACACATGGTTAGCTTTAACGTCAATCGAATGTAATGTGGATTTTACTGCCTCCTTTGAATTTTTAGCCTACCTAACGACGTGGCTACATGGATGGCAATATCAGTCCACCACTTAGGTTCAGACTCTAAAATATCTCAATAACTATTGGATGGATAGTCATAAAATATGTTACAAGATTAGCCTGTTGACTTCGGTAATCTCCTGACACCACCAGCAGATTTAGTTTTTTTAGTGAAATGTCATGGTAGCCACTTGTTTGATTGCCATGTAATTTGGTACAGATAGGTCCTCCAGAAGATAAATCCTAATGACTTTGGTGGTCCTGTGACTTCATCTAGTGCCATTATCAGTTCAGAATGTTAATTTGTCCAATAATTTGGGTTATGACCAAACCTGCAAAACAAATGACATTATGATCAGTTAAAAGTTAAAAATAAATAAAAATATATTATTATGTTACAGTAAATAAGTATTAAAACTGTGGGAATTAAAAATAGTGTGCCATCAAAGAAAAACTGGGGCGTTATAAAACAGTAGATAAACAGAGTGGACAGGAGAATCTCCATCAGACAAACGATGTATAGTCAGCAGAAAGACTGAGACGTCACCTCACTGAGCCTCTCTGGAAATTAATGTTTATATTTGTTTGCTTCCGCTCACCATCTGCTCCTCACATAAGCTCCTCACTTCTCCCACTTTATCTGTCTGAGCTCTCTCTCTCTTTTCTCTCTACTGCTCTTTTTCTGTGTCTGGAATGAATTCCTCCTCAGGCACACATGGTCACAATCAAATGATCTCCTCTATTATGGAAGACGAGAATAAAATTTCCCTCTGTTTTGAGTCTAATATGAATAGTGTAACGCTGATAGGCATGGTTATTTTAGATCATATTCATTATCTATTAACATCTTTATGAATATGACCTGAGGTCAGAAAAAAAACAGTGCTGCCAAATTTCAGAGCCAGTTTTCACCCTCCTCCTCTCATCAGACATGGATAGTGTAGAGGCAACTATGGAGCCTTTAGTTTCATGTGCTACTGTTGAAGCAGTCTGTTCAAACTACGACTACCTATTTGTCTAACCATAATGTAGGAGATTGATTTTGTTTGCTTGTGTGTTTTGCCCATATTCACACACCTGTCCAATATTTTTTATTTACTTATTTTATTTTACCTTTATTTTACCAGGAAAGAAATCCATTGAGATTTTTAATCTCTTTTACAAGGATGTCTTGGCCAAGATGTGAAAATAATAAAAGGAGTATGTAGAGTTATTGCTAATCCTTGAATAGGTGTATTGAATTATAGTTTACTAACAAGCCTTGAGGGCTTGAGCACATTAATCACCAGGTTAAAATGCCAGCTAGATTCATCACCTCAACCACAACTAATCTAAATCAAAAATGTCTTCAGGTTTACGTTACCTGGAGTTTGACACGATGTAGTTATATATATAGGTATCACTGGAAGCTTTACATATACAGAATTTGAGTACATGGTAAATGTATTTTCTCTCCCTTGTCTTTCTTAGACTCCAAGACAAAGTCCAGGAGACCATTGAGGCTCTGCGGCTGGCAGGGATCAAAGTATGGGTGCTGACAGGGGACAAACATGAGACGGCAGTCAGCGTCAGCCTGTCCTGTGGCCACTTCCACAGAACCATGAACATCCTGGAGCTTCTGCAACAGCGTTCTGATAACGAGTGTGCTGAGCAGCTCCGCTTACTAGCCAGGAGGTAAGTGCTTTGTGTGATGTACTTTTTACAATAGTGTATACTCAGAATATCTTAAAATGTATCTTGGAAGCCTTATATTATCAGCTCAAAAGTATTTCTGTGTGATGAATATACTAACTTGCCATATAAAAGTACAACGTATCTAAACTAAACATTGATATAGCAAGATAAAGTGCCTTTGAATTGACAGAACAGTCTCTCATATTCTGTTTTTTTCTGACTCTTTCTCCATTTTCCCCAGGATAAAGGAGGACCATGTCATACAGCACGGATTAGTCGTGGATGGGGCCAGTCTGTCTTTAGCATTGAGGGAGCACGAGAAACTCTTTATGGAAGTGTGTAAAAACTGTTCAGCTGTGCTGTGCTGCCGCATGGCCCCGCTACAGAAAGCTAAGGTACCAGTCCTGTGTCATACACGCACACACCACCCACCCAAATACATACCCTCATGTCTAAAACGACTTTTTGGATGGTCACACCATCATGGGGGGTGACATTTTGTTTGTTGACTAATCAATAGAATATTTTGAATGTTTCTAACATAAACTGAAATAGGAAGTTATTGTATTAATAATAGAAAGCTCACATATTATGGTGTGTTCATGTGATATGTACTTCAGTCAACCCAGATGTCAGTGTTCCTTTTTCAGGGTGTCCGCGGGGTCTTAAAAAGTCTTAAAAGGTGATAAATCAATTTTGCCAAAATTAAGGCCATTAAAAAGTCTTAATCGCCATTTAACAAGGTATTCAATTTTGAAGATATTATTTTCAATGTGAAAATCCTGTTTGTCCAAAAGTTTGTTTGCTAAAAGTGTAGATGAACATATTTATTTATAATGCATAGCCAAAACTACTAGACAGGCAGAGAGCGACTGTGTGATTCGTTTCTGTAACGTTAGGCGCAGGGATCTACCGAGCGCCTATTTCTCTCTTAAACGCTCCAACAAATAGATCCGTGCGAACCGGAAAATGATTTAAGAATACAACCGACCGTAATCTCCCAACCTGCTGGACCCGCAATGTTAATCGTCCGAAACATAGTCGGAGTGGCGATCAGTAGTAACGGGATTAACCCGGTTGGCCGGTCGCTCTGTGGCCACCTGAACAGCCCCGTTCCTGAAAAACTAGAGCGAGATGCGCCGCCAGCAGCTGAATCGGTAAGACAGAAGACAACAGGGAAAATTCAAGGAGCGCATGGGTTTGGCTAACGTTAGCTGGCTATTTAGCTAAATTGGTGGCTTTTATTGAAACAAATTCTACTTTTCATAAAGCCGATGCTCTCGTCAGTGTCACTTTTTGTGAACAAATTTTACTTTAATTTTACTTCAAGATTCCTGTATATACGCTGTTTTTTTTTTTTGTCCAGGTGGTTCGTCTTTTCAAAACATCCCCAGAGAAACCCATCACCCTAGCTATTGGGGATGGAGCCAATGATGTCAGCATGATACAGGAAGCTCACGTGGGCATAGGTAAACACTCACCACACACAATATGGTCTCTAAGTCTTAAATTGTATTCTATAGTAAGTCCCCCATTGTATGTGTGTGTGTGTGCATGTGTCTCCAGGTATCATGGGGAAGGAGGGTCGTCAGGCCGTGAGAAACAGTGACTATGCAATTGCCAGGTTTAAGTTCCTGGCTAAACTACTGCTGGTCCACGGTCACTTCTACTACATTCGAATAGCTACGCTTGTACAGTACTTTTTCTACAAGGTAGGACTTAGACATGATTACAAAAAAATGTCTTTTATAAATAGCTACTGTATAAAAATCTAATGTTTTGAAAAGTGCTGTAAATAAAATTAAAGCATTTTTCAAAACATTGGACTCTTTAGGTATAAATTAATAATAATAATAATAATATAAATTCTTTAGGAGGAACTGGTTTTCATTGATACACTATACTTATTTTGAGGTTTTGCTTCTCCCTGTCACACAATTCCAGAAATTGAATTTTACATGAGCTGTTAACAAGACTATGTTTGACCATGTCTCCTTTCATGCATTGTTTTTAATGTTCCTCCCCTTCACTCTATCTTTTCTAGAATGTGTGTTTTATCACGCCCCAGTTTTTATACCAGTTCTTCTGTCTGTTTTCACAACAAGTAAGTCTCTTTATCTCTCCATCTTTCCGCTCTCTCATATGTCATTGCAGATTTGTTTGTGGTTTTAATGTTGCACATGTAACAGGGCTCAATCTTCTCTTGACTATCCATACACAGTTTATAACACCCTCGTTAAATCTCTTTTAATCGCTGATAGTGATACGAGCAAACGGTCTCGGCGTTGTGTTTTGATGATGGTAGTGGACTAATGGCTATTAGCTAACTGATAACTTGTTTATTGCTGCATAGCACTTTGAGATCTGGGGGATACAAGCCTGGTCTCAGTAAAACTTTTTAGTATTAAAATAAATAATTATCAAAGAATACTTAGTAACCATTTTAAGCTCAAATTATGTATTATGTATATATTCAAGAGGCATATGTTACACACAGTCTCACAGATTTGTATTTTTAATTTGATTTTATTGTTTATAAAAGTTTTAAAAGGCTCAACAGGCAAGAACGTCATTGAGATTATGTCATGACTTGTACTCAACACTTGGAGTCAATAAAAGATGTAATATTTAAACAATTAATCTCGCATTCTGCATTTAAATTCTTCAAATATTTATGCAACATAGCTGTAGAACTTGTGTTAAACTATTTCTCAAACATTTCTTAAGGCATTAAATATGTTACTAAAAGTTTAGTCTGTTATTAAGGTTATTACATTTATCAAATAATTTGTAAAATATTAGACTGTATATAGTGTAGAGATAAGCAGGGTGCTATGCCACATTTATAACCTGTAATGTGTCTATATTAGAAGGTAAGATAAGCCTTTATTAACCCCAGAGAAAAACAAGGAAACTAATAGGGCAGTGCAGTCTCAAGCAACATGACATAGGGGTGTGTCTGAAGTCAGATTAGTTGACTGCCATTCTTTTCTGCCTGTGTGTCTGACACTGATTAATCCTTCATTCTGTTTTGTTTACATTAGGTTAGATGAGTTAGGTGTGTCAATTTAAGATAATAGGTTGTTGTTAAGTGAAATGTTGTCTTTGTCCATCCCAGACTCTGTATGACAGTGTTTATCTGACACTGTACAACATCTGCTTCACCTCGCTGCCCATCCTGGTGTACAGTCTATTTGAACAGCTGGTCCATCCACACGTACTGCAGAATAAACCTGGCCTGTACAGGTAAGTGTACATGTCATCTACAGGTACATACTACAGATTAGCATTAACTGTTCGGGGGAGTCTGTTTTGGTCAGTTTTCATATATTAAAAAGAATTTCTTAACATGTGTAGTAAGATCAAGCAAAAAACAAAAAGTTTGAGTTTGTTGTAGTGGCAATAAAACAATAATGATAAGTATTGTGATATAATTTCAGTATCAATAACAATGTGACAAATTTTCAATAAATTTTCAGTAAATGTTTGATGTAATTAAAAATGAATTAGCACTTAACTTTTCTGTTAAGATATTTCTTTTGTTGAGGAAAAGGGACTGAAAAAAGATTTTTACTTTTACTCATGCATATTAAAATTACATTTTTAATTCTGTGAATTAACAACTATAAATGTATTCATCAGAGTAAAATATGAAAGTCAACTTTGATACAGTATATCCTAAGAAAAAAAAATTGTATCCTACAGGGACATCAGCAAGAACTCTCTGCTATCTTTCCGGACGTTCCTGTACTGGACTCTTTTGGGCTTCTGTCACGCCTTTGTCTTCTTCTTTGGATCCTACATACTGATGGGAGAAGACACCACACTTATGGGCAATGGACAGGTGGGTCTGTGTGTGTGGTTGTGTGTGTGTGTGTGTGTTTATAGTGTACTGTATGTTTATACTCCGTAGAATCCCTAGGAAAGAAATTGGCTTGCTGAGATGTATTAGGAAAATATTGCTTTAGGAAATGAATGGTAGGTTAGAAACAAACGCAGGACATTCTATGTGTGTGCATGTTATAATGAGTTATTTTTATTGATGGGGCTGGTTGTCTGCTGGTCTTTCTTCAGTCACTCCTTCCCTTAATCCTACTCTTTTTTTTATCTGTCTCTTCCTCATTCTGTCTTTTTGTTTAACAGTCTTTTATACAGTCTGTTTGTCTCCATTACTGTGCCAGCATGTATGTCATTCACTTGTTAATAAGTAAGTTCTTGTAATTTTATCTTGCCTTCTTATCACATCTTCTGTATCTCTGGTCATTCATAAAACCTGTTTCCTTGTCTTTTCTTTTCTGCTGCATATCTTTGCTATCTTTCTCTCTGTTTGAAGTTTGGTATTTCAGAAAGCACTCACTCCTATTTGCTTGCTTGTCTTTTTCTCCTATCTTTTGTTGATTACTCTTTTTTTCCTTCTGCCTTCATGCTGTGCATGTCTTCAGATCTTGCGAGCTAACAGGCAGCTGGTAAGAGTCTGCTCAGTCGAATGCATGTCTCCTTGGGGAGTTAATGAGAGGACTATCAAGATTATTCCTCAACATGTCTTTGTCTTGCTAATGATGATGAAAATTTATTTTAATAGATATGCACTATAATATATTTACAAGTTGCCTAATATTGAGTGTTGTCCTACACTGTACTGAATCACAAAACACCGAATTTGTTTTCCTCTTTTAAATACTGACATGAGCTCTATGATGGCAGTTATAAAACATGTAGTGGCTTATTGAATACTGATGATTGTGGTGAATTGTTATCACTTTTGATTCCTCCATTTTCTGTGGAAGTTTGATGTGTGGTCAAGTCTCTTGCTCGATTACAGTATTAGTTAACCTTCTGTTGAAAAACATATTGATTCCAATTTTAATTTATTTTCTTAAACCTACTAAGAAACAGTAATGGTCTATAGAAAAACACATAGATTTATCATAAACATATAACTTAAAATGTATGCATCTTGTGCATTTGAATAGTGTAATAATGTCAGGCTGACAGATGCAGAATTTGTTTCCCACCCTGCTGGGAAACCCTGAGTTTTATCTCCATTCCACAACTGACGCACTGCTCACCTTGTCCCACCTGTCCTGACTCTTAACTTTTGTTAACTTTTCGGTTTGACTTGGAACAGTTTCTATTATTATATTATCCAAACATTTTGTGACTGGTGTTTTTGTTATCCATTATTCATTGAAGGAAAAATGCCCACAAAATATTAAAGATTTATATTTGAATGTTTTGCAACCTTGTACTAACCGAATACTGCTGAGTCAAAGAGGAATAACATTATGGTTATTAGTTCATTCGTGTCAGCAAGAAGAAAAAATTGCAAGGTATCAAGCTTGCATATAAACAGGTCGACCATACAATGATCCTACTACATTGTAAGATATGCATGCATGTAAACATAGCTGCGTTTTCTCTGTTTTGTCATCGCAATTTATGAACAATTGTATGTCTTATTTTGTAGATGTTTGGAAACTGGACATTTGGAACGCTGGTCTTTACTGTCATGGTCATCACTGTCACATTAAAGGTAAATTACATCAATTGTTATACTCTGTTAGCGAAGGAGTAGCCAGTGGTTTAAGATACCAAATTATCCTCACTGAGTTACAGGCATACTATGCAGGATTTTTCAGTAGCTGATTGGGAACACACCGTTCAGGTGGTCAAACAGACACACCAAGTAAGGAAACCTCCCGGGTCTTAAAAGTGAAGCAAATGTGGAAGTGCCTTAAACCTGCATTCTTTCTAATGGCCAGCAGGGGTCAACTCCAAGGTTTGCAAATAGAAGCCTCATTGTATACAAGTGTATTAGAAAATTACCCTACTTCTCACTGGATTTATTACCTTATTAAACATTTTCCTAGCCAGTTGATAGTCTCAATTGTTAGTTTCAAGTCTTCTTCAATACAGCATGGTGTTCATTTTTTTAAGGTGTGGTTAGGTCCCATTTAGAGAAAAATAGATGATAAAGCAGGGAATGCTTTAGCGTGTGGCTACCTTGTGATTGATATGAGGGGGGCCATGACGACCTGCTAAGCGTAGCAATATGTATCCTCCCCAGCTTGCCCCTCTCTTCCAAATTGTCGAAAACTGTAGTCCACACTCTTTATATATCTATGACACAGACAAAGGACAGAGTAGAGAGACAGTGATGTAACCTTCTCACTACATTTTACTGTTACAGGCTGGGGGCTATACAACCACTGCCCAAAGGTTGACACCCAGAGTGAGTTCCTGGTCTCAAATGGTTTAATGCAGCTTTAAGATGATGGTTACTGTGTGCATTAGCTGAGAGCAGTGTAGTATGTTTTGGTCCACAGGGACACATTTACATTGCCACCGTCCCAATATGAAATACAGCATGTTGTGAAGTATTATGATGATGTCAGTGGCCATTTACAGGAGAATATTTTTTTCTTACAGGTTGGGGTCAAGGTTATTTTTTTTGTTACAGCACAGAGGCAGTTTGCTGTAGTTTATTGATGCACTGTCCCTGTCTCAGTGTTTTACACACAGCTTTCTCCCCCCCCAAACCCTGTGTGTGTTATCACAGCTTGCTTTAGAGACTCATTTCTGGACGTGGATGAACCATTTCGTGACGTGGGGTTCGATTGCCTTCTACTTCATCTTTTCTCTCTTCTATGGAGGCATTATCTGGTAAGAAGAGGTTATTTTTCAGGAAAACAACAAAGTGAAATTTTAAGTGTTGAATCATTACATTTACATTGTTCTATATTCTTTCATGCTAGCAATGTACTTTGATAGTTAATGATGGAAAATTAAACCAAATGGACAGATTTTGGTCTACAATATTATTTTCGTTTAAAATGCCAAGACAAGGAAGACAATATACACTTTTTTTTTTTTACATCTAAGACCAAAGTGAATCTCATATTCTGCAAATTATACTGTGTATATATTGTGTTCACATATTTTTGTGTAGCTTTCTGAAAACCTCTTTTCAACACACTTTGGAAGAGGAATTTGCAGCTCACATTTTTGCTCACAGTATTGAAATAGTTTTCTCTAGTCATGGCAGTGTTGATTAAAATTTTAGTAAAATCACATTAAAGGGGCTTTGTGTAAGTTTTTGATTTTAATAAATCAAATTTTCATTGCCTTATTGTCAATGGGCTCAAAACTCACTTAGAAATAACACGCCTGTTTTCTCCATTGCTTGCATCAGCCACTATTCTGCTTTTAATGTGAGGTCTCCGGGTCGGATTCAGCTCTGTGCGCGTTCCCGAGCCTCTCTCTGACTACAGCGACAACACGGCAGCTAACGACATGCAGTCCACTAACACCATAAAACAACCAGCTCACAGCAAAACACAGGCTCCACTTAAGGATACAAAACAACAATAAAGGTTTATGTGCTGAAGCCCATCAGACCAAACAGGTTCAGATGTCGAGTAAGAACAAAGTGAGCATTAATAATGCTGGAGAAACACAGAGAAAGTCACGTTAGCTCGCTGGTTAACGCCGAGCAGTTGCTAACGTTATCCGGTGCAAAGTTATATCGCTTTCCACATTAATTTACCCACTAACGCCACCCATGTTACTATCCTGTGTACCACAGATATTATGTCAAAGTGTCAAAGCCAGCAAGAAATGATGTAACGGTAAAAAGCAAATGTGGAGCAATTTGTTTATTATCCTATCATGATGCAGCCAGCTAACGCTACATTAGCTCGGACCTGCCTCTGTTGGCTTTGTAAAGTTTAATTTATATTTATTGCCTTTTACCGATACTCAGGTACACAGCATCTCTACGTCTCAGTCGCTGTAACTAACACGACCCACATAATATCCATCCACTGACACTACAGTAAATTTACTAACTGTAGTCTAACTGTTATAATATTCAGTCCAGCTCACTACCCGTTTCGTTATCATCCAACACATTTACACATTGCTGAGCCTCCAGTGAAAGATACACAGATAATAAAGATAGTTATTGAAGGCAGCAGGCAAGCTAACGATGTAGCACGTCGGCTAAATGCAGTAAATGTACCGTGATCATGTAACAACCATGGCTTAGTTCCACCTGCAGCTGATAAAACCATTACTGTAACGTTGCAGTAGGGGTTTACCTGAGTTTCCAGCGTGTTGTGTAAAGCAGTCTCCCTGCCTGTCTGTAGCCGCAGTCACGCTAGCTGAGCTGAATGAAGTAACGTTACGTGCCGGTGTTGCTCTGCCTCTGAGACGGGAACGTTGAGGTAACAGAGCCTGAACATGTCTGTGTGAAAAGCCACAAGCTGCATTGCTGGTGTTTCTGCGTTTATTGCAGGATTTCTGTATGAAGGCGGTTGTGTTTCGGATTATGCTTGCTAATGAGTTCAAGCGAGCACGTGTACAAGCACACGCCAGGTTGCAATCTTAAAACCAGCTAGTGGTCGCTGGAAACTCCATAATGCCCCTTTTAAAAGTAGCTGCTTTGAGGAAAAATCAACCAACAGATGTTGCTCACTAAAATCTATTTAAGCTCTTATTAACTTTAAATAATAATATTTTTAAATAATTCCCATGAATTCCCCTTAAAGGGATTCACCTACAATAAGAGAGATGTACAAACTGTGCACATAAATTTTTTACCCGATGTTGATGTTTAGGATGGAACAAGCTGATTGACAATAGATTTACCACTCTTGTCACTTGGCAGATAAATCCTGAGGCTTTATTAGAATCGGCTTTGATTGTCTGGTAGCGTGTTAGATTAATCGGATCAATGTTAACCTCCATTCAGCTCACAGGCTGGTAGAAGCCATCCTGATAATATTGGACTGTAATTGATATTTGTGGTCTGACATCTGCACGAGTCATTAAATTCTGTGTTACCAGACATGAACAAAATCATTCTAAGAGCAATTTCCCAACTGCCAGTGAGAACTGAATTTACACTGAAGAGGAACGAGCCTGGATGCCTACCTCTGTGGTTGTATTAATAGGCTTCATTTGCGTCCCTAGTCCACAGCCTACTACCTCACTCAGTTCTGATACTAATTCAACCAAAATTATACTGTCCCTTTAAGACAAACCAACTTATTGATGCTTTCCACCACTGATAAAAAGCATAGACGTGATTATCCTTTTCTGCAGTATGTAACCAGTGTGTCCCTTCCGCTCCCTCTAGGCCATTCCTCCATACCCAGGACATGTACTTTGTATTCGTGCAGCTGTTGTCCAGCGGTTCAGCCTGGTTTGCCATCATCATCATCATCGTAACTTGCCTCTTTCCTGATGTGGTGAAGAAGGTCTTCTACCGACATCTGCAGCCCACCAGCACACAGAAGAGCCAGGTAACATGGGGAGGAGGGACAGAAAGTAAGAATGTGTGATTAGGGAAGACTTCTACAGGTTATTGTCTGGGAACTGTTGTAAAGAAGTCCAGCCATTCCCCTGAAGTGGATTATACTTTCTTTGGTGAAAAGTACAAAAGAAATATTTCACTTGGCTGGAATTTAAGGAGCCTATTCCAGCATTTATCTGTATACTTCTCAAAGGTTTCCCTGTGTTTCAGATTACTTGCACCCTGCTGGTCTGAATCCAAGGTGCAGTGTAGTCACAGCAGTCCTCAAATCACTCTTTAATAATTTTTATTAAACACATTTTTGCACTATCCTCCATGTGTTCTGTGCGTCAACTCTCTCGTAGCTACACTGGAAAAGGCAGATCTTTTGTTGTTTGAAAGGCAGGATAAGAGAAAGAAGTCAGGCAGAGATTATAATATCAGGTGTGGAGAACAAACTTTCTACTACAAGAAATTGTCAGGAAAATGTTCTAGTGGAAACCAAAAGTTTGTCTGCACCAGCTTCTTCAGAAACATTTTGTTTGCTTTTTTAAATTAATATAGGACCAATTAGACAAAGTATGCATTCTCAAAAGTAAAACTCATTAAAAGTAATGAAATGGCACAGAGAAGGCCAAACACATTCCAGTAGTTAAACTGCCTTGTGTGTGCAGTGTTGGATTTAATACTTAATTTAATACTATCCCTATTTGCATCACAAAAATGGAAATTGTATTACCTAATGTGACAAAAGCCTCAAAGCCTGGTGGGAAAAAATAAAGTAAAATGTCACAGTAATTTGAATTCTAGATAGAGAAAGAAAATGTTCTGTTTGTCACATTGTTTAAATAGTTGATTATTTTTTCAGCTTCTACGGTCATGAGTTACCCGCTTCTTTACAGGAACAGCATGGTGTTCAGTTGCACAAACACACACTGCATGACTTATTTTTGTACACACACACACACACACACGCACATACACAAACACACAGTGTGCATGGTCACCTCTCAGCAGACTCCTGCTGTTATTGTATTTATTTGTCCAACTGGAGACTGTTTCTACCTTTTTTTCCCCTTTCGCCTCTCCTATAGTTTCTCAGAAAATCAGAACTGCCTCTTCCAATCCTGTGTGGGGTTTGTTGTTCTCCTCTAAATGTTGTCCTGTTTTGTCTGTGTGAGTGAGATTCTGAAAGTGAGCTTAGTATGCTTGATATCTAACCTCCTATGTGTGTCTCTGTGTGTTCTTCCTCCTATCCTCTCTGTGTATTCTTCTGGGTGTAGATGTATTCCAACCGAGTGGCGATAGGTGATGACTTCATCGCTCTGCAGCCTCTGTCCAGAGCCAAGAGCCAGCTGGGCAAAATTAGGTAGAGGAGATGAGATTCATTCAGCCCTGGGCTTAAAATATATCTAAAAATCAATTCAAATAAAACAAGTATCCCAGGAGTGCTTTATTCAAAAGCAATATTTTTAGATTCGTACTTTTTGGGATATATCTATATATTTTTTGTGAATAGTCAGCCATCATTACTGGCTTGTCCTGTCTCCCTGTATTTGTCCTGTCTCCCTGTATTAATGCTGCTCCTTGTAAATTTAATTTCACTTCCATTAGTTTGTTTAAAATATTTTCCAAACCACCACGGGGGCTATTGTTTCTTTATATATGTACAGTATCTCACAAAGTGAGTACACCCCTTACATATTTAAAAATATTTGATTATATCTTTTCATGTGACCACACTGAGGAAATGACACTTTTCTACAATGTAAAGTAGTGAGTGTACAGTTTGTATAACAGTGTAAATTTGCTGTCCCCTCAAAATAACACATCAAACAGCCATTAATGTTCAACCACTGGCAACAAAAGTGAGTACACCCCAAACTTTTGTGAGATACTGTATTTACAAAACACGGCTTTTCAAAATTAATAGCAGTTCTTTTTCATATACTCTTTAGGGCTGGCCCGAATGTCATTTTTTGAGCTTTGATAGTAATTAACGGTGAATAATCGAAGCTTTGCCGCCGCCGGAGGTGTTGATAAGCAAGCATTTCAAGTCATTTCACGAGCTACAGCTACATATTTCATAGATAGAACAGAACAGCAACGAAGGTTGAAGTTTTTAACTTTGTTATGGCTAACTAATAAAGGGAGGAGTTACAGAAAAGAGGAATATTTATTGCAGGTTTAGGGATCAGATGTTTAGCAAGGGAAGAGTGAGGTAGAGTGAAAATAGATGCGTGCCGAACCAGGTTGGTGGCTGCTGTGCAGAGCATGGGGAACTGTAGCTGAGAGTCCAGATTGAGAGAGGCTGATCTGAGCAGGTCCAAATATCAGATATTTGGGTCCGGCCCTAATACTTATCATGCAAGTTTTAGGCTTAACGCTAACTGTTCATGGTCAAAAATATATTGCTTTGAAAGGTTTTATGTCAGATAGTGTTTAGAATTTCTGTCTGAAGCACTTACTCATAGATTATTAATGTAGGTAAGGTTAAGATGAAGAAAATCAGGATTTAAATCTAATTTACAGCATAACATGGACAGCCGGTAAAAAGTAGAAACATTGCTTTATGGAAGAAGTGCTCCTGTTTATGACCATTCATACAGTACTGAAATGTTCTTTCTCCCAGGTCTGAACTTGATTTAGTCCCACTGAGGCCTGTTTCAAACACTAGCAGTGCACTGACTGCAGAGAAGTGTGCTGTTAATGTTAGAACAGTTTCTTTTGTGTCGTGTGTGACTGCATGCCCTGGACAAGCCAATCGGCATTCTCTGTGATTGGGACAGGGGGACACTAAACACATTTTGGAGATAAAGCTAAATAATGTGATATCAGCCGCTGCATGTGTTGTATTTTAGTGAGAGGATGATGTTGAGAATGTGTTCTGAGACCTCCACTCCTTCAGCCTGTTTCTGCATGGCATTGTCATTACTCCCCCCACTGCTACACCCCAACAAAGTCATAATTTATGAAGTACCTTGCTGACTGTGAAGTTCTGCATCTGCATTAGGCCAATATCAGAGCACCTGGCCAGACCTGCCGCCTGACCATCAGCTAGTGGTCTTATACAACCACAGTCTGGCATGTCACGCTCATTTTAAAGTGACACATCACGCAGTCGCATGGTGCAGTGCATCACACCACCCCTTTTATCTATAGCATGGTTCGTTCTTTTGACATATGCACAGCCAAACACCCTCAAACTGGATTCAGCACTGGAGACAGACCCCCCACAACCACCTGCATGGTTTTAGCAGACCCACAAAAGAAGACAGATACCCCACTACAGCTGCATGACAGATTCTTGGACTGGTCCGGGCCGCCTTGCACAGCAGCATGATGCTCTCCTGTTAGAAGCATGACAGACTGCTGTGTTATTATCACAGCTATTTTAGACTGATGACTTGAAGATTTTGTGCTGTCATAGCAGATATCATTATAAACACCCTGCAAGGGAAACGCTAACAATAGTGTGAGCCAAAAGCCCAAAACAAATCTTGATCTTGGACAGCTCTCTTGAATTTGGTGTATATATAACTGTCCAAGATCATGTTTGTAGATTTGTATTTTGTGTATGGTTAAAAGGTGCAAAGATTAGTCGACTAATTAATTAGGTGATGGACAGGAAATTAATCAGCAGCTATTATAATAATCAATTAATTGTTTCATGCTTCATTTTTTGGATTTGATGCGTTTCAGATATGATTGTAAATTGTAATATATTTAGACTGCTTATTGCATGAAACAAGCTATTTCAACACCTTGGGCTCTGGGACGTTATTATTGAATTTTTTCACAATTTTTTTACATTTTATAGACCAAACAAAGCAATTATCGACAGATTAATTGATAATAAAAATAATTGTTAGTTGTGGCCCTAATATGCTTGATTTCTTTTAAATGCCTTACAGCTATATGGCATGTTAATTCTGACTGTTCTGTAACACTTGCTGTAGGATATGTTTTATGTTTATAGTTGTTTACAAACCACCAGTATATACACGTTGCTAAAACTTATGCAGTCTAATACAACAGCCCTCCAATAAATCCTACCTTCAGAAAGGTTTTATTGCTTATTTTTTTTAAAACCAAACTGTTTTAGAGAGGTGTTGATACAACTTAATGATCATTTTGCAGGCTGTAGTTTGTGGCGCTGTTGAGCTGTATGGCATTCCACTGAGAGTTGTTTGTAATATTTTGTCGGCCTATAAATATCAATAAGCGTAGCCTAGAAACACCTCTGAACAACAGTTTCAACAGACATTGTAACCTTCATAAAGGTTGGGTTAATTGCAGTAGTTTTAGCTTTGTGTATCTAACAAAACTGGCAAATATGTGTAGATGCCAAGTCACTAATGACAGGCAACGCAGAGACAAACTGTAGACTGAGTTATCATTAAGCATTGTGTGCGCATTATGCAAAAGAGATCCCATTTCCTTTGAGTAATTTCTTGAATTGGTAGAACTACACAAGGTGCTCTTACTGGGTTCAAAATCAAAGTGTGCATTCATGTTAATGTGCTGTACAATAGGGGTGGGAATCACAAGAGGCCCCATGATACGATAATTTCACAATACTTATGTCACGATACGATATTATTGCGATTTAAAAAATATTGCGATATATTGCAATTTATTACCTTTTTTCCAACTTCAAATTCCCCAAAGCAACTGATTTTATTATTATAGTACCAAAAAGTAAAATTCTTGTGTACAATTTATATAATAAAAGATTCGATACTTGGCCTCCGTGTATCGATACATGTTTCGATTTTTTTCTCCCACCCCTACTGTACAATGCAATGTACAATGTACAATTATTATTCAGTCCTCTTGAAAGAATTCCACTGTCTTTCAGCGTCTTTTTTTTCCTAATTAGATTAGAGGGAGGTAATCACAAAAAAACCCTGGGGGCTCTCCTGGGTTTTCTGTTGCTTGCCTACTCTGTAGCTCTGATAGATTCAGCAGTAGGTTAATTGGTTTGGACACTAATAGATTTGCTCTTATCTGCACTAGAAGGATTCTCTTCCCTCGAGACATCTTTCATATGGCTGCAGCTTCTCTCTGCTCAGTTGTTGCTCAAATTTTAATGCTATTTCTGAGCTTGCCGGCCTTCTCGCCAATATGGTCAATTGTCACTGCTTTTGTGAGAAATTAAAGCCCTCCTCCTGTGACCTCATCACCCCACTCAGATTTTCTGAAGGGCTTCTTCATAAGCCGTGATTTATGATTAGCTCCCAGTCCCAATTAAAATGAGGATCAGATCTGTTGCAGGAGAATAAGACCTGGGATGCACATTAGTGTCTTGTTTGAAAAAGCAGGAAACAGCTACTCTTATTTGCTTTGTAAGCTGAAACTTTTCTCTCAATTCTGTTGAAACATTGTTGGTGAGGTCACTTGTGAATGCCTTTAAAAAGGGGATCAGCATCGATTTGGTCTCTATATGCTGTATGTATAAGTGTATTAGAGCACACTGTAGAGTGATGGTCAGAAATGTAATTAACTGCCTCACCTACAGTGCAACCTGGACTGACTCAGTGACTGACTACTTGCTTACTAACTGATTAATTATCTTGGTAGTTGGTGAATAAGCAGCACTGAAAATCACATCAGCTCTATCTGCAGTCTTTTAGTCTTATATTAAGTGCCCAAATGAAAATCGCCTCAAAACAACATTCTAATAATCAAATATTATTTTTTGATACCTATTAAAATGTCTACTTGTTTTTAGAAAAATTAGTTATCAAATTTAAAGACTTAATATAAGACAAAATGACTACTGTAGATATGTTTGCGGTGTGATTGGTTAGTTATCAGGCTGCCTTTACTGGTTATGTTGCTATGTCGATGTCTGACCAACCAACAGTCTACCTGGCTGAATGATGAGCTGTTTAACTGGCCAACAGGGCTCACTGTAAGCATCTTGTGTCCTTCAGATGGAAGAGGGTGAGGGTTCAGTCGGCCCAGAATATGACCCTGTTAAAGCCCAGCGGAGCCCAGGGGAGGACAATTGGCACCTGCTAGCTGCTTATCCTCCCCCTGCTGCCCCCGGCCCAGACCCCTGCTCCCCTAGGTAGTACCGTACTTCACTCCCATTGTCCCCCTCGCACTATCCCAGCATTATGGCTTCACCTGAGTACCAACCAATCCTGTGCCACCCCGTGACAACTGCAGTCAACCACATATGTTCTCATATTTGGTTAAGACAACCTACTCTTTCAGTCATTCCCCCATGGCTGTATGTTACAGCTGTCCCTGCACTGCCCTTTTATTTCATATGTAAAAATACTATTCCCGTATGTCTCTCTGTTGGTCTCACTTCCTCTATGAATTCCTATATGAATGACGACACCCTCTCCCGTGCCACCATGATCACACCCATACCCACCCTTCCAGGAATGAACCTCATCCTTCCCTACACAGATATTACTGACCCCATCCTCCCTTATCTATCTATGATTGTCCCCCATCCTTTCCTATTCTGGTCTCAATTCATCCCTCACTGTTATTGATCAAGTCTGGGGTCAGAGTTTAGAGATAGAGAATGCTGTTGGCATGCTGACTTCATTGTCTTTGTCTGTATTTTTATTCAACCATCTAATCCCACCATATTTACTAATAATACTCGGTATTAAAACCTGAATGATATATCATTGTTGGCTTGTAAGTATTTGGTATCTCATTTTTTATATATATATATATATATATATATGTGTGTGTGTGTGTGAGAGAGTATAATTTTTCTTCTGTAATTTAAGACTTTCACTGTTTTGTTTTCTCTGCATACAATGTGCTTTGTGAGCACGATATCATGCTATAAACCAAAGATCATTGAATTTACTTATGTAGACAGTTGCCAGAAAGATGTTGCCAAAGATACTTCACTCTCTCAGTTGTGTAAACCACGATAATGTTCGTCTAAATAAAAGGATAGAGAACATGAACTTTAGCTGAACTCTATAGCTAATATAGTAAATCAACCATGGGATGATGTCACCTATATAGCTGTCACTGAGGCCTTGATCATTTTATGACCAAACCATCAATTCAGGTTTTGTTTTCTCTGAAATTATCTGAACAAGATCATACAGTTGGCCTGGTTTCACATCATATTGCTGCTGCTGCTGCTCCATAACAAAAACTGACTGTTGTGTTTCTCAGAAACAGTGCAATTGTGAAACAGCCACAGTTGATTGTTCGTTCTTCGTAACATGACTGCCACTGAAACTACAGTACCTCAACTCTGCTTTCCAGTGCTTCTGATAGAGAAGCCCTGTGATGACTGATACCTGCTTTACAGATTGATGCGATTGGTTGCCGGTAATTAATGCAAGCAATATCAGTCATCATAGAGTTAATGAAAAGCTGGCAGTATTTATCACCTTTATGGTCGTACCAACAAAGATACGCTAAGGACACTTCAACAAATAAACACTTGTCTAGGATACATTACCATCCATGGCTACTGCAGTGGCTTGGTTCCTATCATTGATTTTACTGTGATTTGGACAGTATGTTGACTCCACTTTTCTCTGTACTATTGTGGTAGTGACCGTTGCATTGCTGTAACAAGAACTAAACTTTTTCTGGACCTCTTTTCAAGAGGAAAAAAACAATGCATTTATTATCGAGGGGACACATGACACTGCCAGGATAAATCATTTTCAGTTTGTCCTGTCTGTGTTTTGCTGTTGCCAGCCAAGAACCATACGTTTGGTTTCATGCCAACAGTGTCTCCAATTTCTGCTGCAGAGAACGGCAACAAAATAGGACAATTTGGGCTTGGGCTTTAATACGGGATCCAGCATCAAATGATAAAATTTGAAAGAATTTGTTTCCTACAAAAGCTGATTTTACCTTGACTTGCTATTCTAGACTTTAATCAAGCATCTTGGGGTTTATTTGGCTCTCCATATGCTGTAAGAAACTGGAGGGTTTAAATTCTGTGTAGTCGAAAAGCTGAGTTAAACTTTTAATCTAAAAAATATTAATTCAGAAATAACGCCTGTAATTGATTACAACAAGTACAAATTTAAGCTGATTTGTTTCCTCTTTGCCTTTATGCTCTTCACTTTCTCTCTTTTCAATCACACGCTGTCTCTCTCTCAGATGCTGACTCAGGTTAACAGAACCACCTGATCCTGCAGGTTTCTAGGCAGCAGTTTGATTCAGCTTTGTTCACCAATGTGTCACTAGCTCATTGAAACATCTGATTACTCATAAAATACATATAGAGACAATAGTCTCGTTATTTAGACAGTGCAGTACTTGTGTCAAAACAGCCATTATTAAAAACCTAGAATAAAGCCATTTTAGAAACTAAATAATCCAGATCATGGTCTCAAGTTTAACTCGGAAGAGATTAGGAAAGATTAAGAAATGTTCAAGCAAACCCAAATATTTGTTTGGCTCTTCAGTCTGATGTGATTCCCAAATAAAGGCCAAGTGCAGACTGTGAATCTGCTTTATTCCCTAAAATATACTGCAAATCATTCTGATTTATCATTGTGAGCTTTTTTGTCTGTTTTCTCAGATTTCGTTGTTTACAGGTTTTAGGATTTTATTTGCAACATCTGAGCCCCTTGTGTAGCATGTTTTGAATGTTTTTCCTGTACATCATTGTTCCGTGATAGCATGCAATATGTCATCCTCCAGTTGCCCTTATCATCATGTCAGAATGTGACAGTGAACCTGTATTATGGTATTAATATATATTTTTTCTTCTCTTTTTCCACTCACATCTCTCTTTCCTTCTTTTCTGCCTTCTTTCTTTTTGTCCTCTGTTCTTCTTACTTCTCTGTCATTTATCTTACCCTCTCTATGCCACTCCAACTTTTCATGTCACCCTTTCTTTCTCCTGCTGTTTCTCTGCCCTCCCACATTTTTTCTCCTTCCTACAGTCTCTATCAACCCCCGAGGCGCAGGCCCTCAGCTGTGTGGAGTCCCTGTGCTGCTACCAACATGGGCAGAGCGGCTGTTCCCGCCTGGCCTGCCTCCTGGAGCAAATGACCGGGCAGTGCCAGGCCAGCACCAACAATTGCCAAGCATCCAGCCGCAGCAACAGGTGGGGAGGATGACAATGTCAAGAAACATTGATTATGAATCCTGATGAACCTCCTCCTCTTGGTTTCAAAAATTTGTGCTGCAGCCCTGAGTTTTTTAGCCCCTAATGTGGTTGCGACTCTATTTGTCTTACTTGTTCAGATCTGTAGTTGAGTATACCGTTGTGGGAGAGCAGGGTTTCAGACAGTTAGAGAGACTGGTTTTAGGTGCGGCGTAGCATAACTTTGGGACAACACCTGAACAAGGAGTTAGAGGCTGAAAATGTGTGACTTCAACAACTGCACTATAATGAGTTTCTGGAGTCTGAACATTTTGATTAATCAGACAGAAAGGTGTGCTTTGTCTCGTATCCACAGTAGTGTACAGAAATATATCGGCACACCTTATAACCAAAATTATAGAGACCGATGACTGAGTAGATTGTAATGGCCATGCCTTCTACATAGCATGCAGATGTGGATGTTTCGCAGTCTAGCCAGGGGGATTTTGGATTACAGTATTTTTATTAAGGCCTTTACATTGGCGACCTGATGTACAGGCATCTAACCACTCTCAATATTTCACTATGTAACCTGTCTTGTCTGTGTAGCCCCTACATTAGGGCAGATCTGTCTATTAGTCCATGTGTCTAATCATCTATGCTATGATCTGTTGTTATGTCTGTCCTATCACTCCTCTGTTTCTGTCCAAACAGGAGTTTGCCTGTGTAATGCACTTTAACAGATGACACCAATGTCTATATGTCAGTTTTTAAGGCCCCATCCACACTACTGCGTTTTCGAATTAAAACAGAGACCTTTTGCTACGTTTGCACCTCCCCGTCCAGACTACAACGATGAAAACGAAGACCTAAAACGGAGAAGTTTGGAAACGCTGCCGACCCCGTTTTGCATTTCAAAACTCCGGAGGGTGTGAAACGATGACGCAGCCGCTCACGCTCGGCTCTCTGATTGGGTCTTGCAAAGCAGAAACACGATGCTGCTTACCAGGTTTTTGACATCATATTTTTATTAAAATATTCTGTACTGTGTATTTTCTGCCCCCACACTCCCGTGTTACATTCAATTCCAGCTCGTTATTGATCCATGCAACAAAAAAAAAAAAGTGGTCTGATGCGTAGTCTGTATTTATTTATTCTTTCACCAAATCTTCTGTAACTACGGAATAGACCATCTGCTTCATGTGTACACTGGCACGCGCATGCCCAGTGCACCTGAACGGGTCCTAGCTGTGCGTTTTCAGTCGTTTTAATGTAGGCGAAGATCAACTCCAAAACGCAGCGGAAACGCTGGTGTGGACGGAGATCGTATTCGTTTTAATTCTCCGTTTGTGAACTAAAACGAAGTAGTGTGGATGGGGCGTAAGTTGACTTGTTAGCTCTCGGTTGACTCCTATATTGGTGGTGGAATCGTATTTTAACACCACTTTTGGGTGTGCACATCTCCAGTAATGACCTATGATTGAAGAGATGTGAAAGTGCTTCATAAGTGACGGGTTGTGGAAACATAACTTTCAAGCTGCACTTGACAATTTTGCATTTTGGTGACCATAAATAGCAGAGAGAAGTATAAATAATGAAACATGATGTCAGTTTACTGCACTAAGTGAGCTATCTGTGATGTGCAGATAAAACTTCCTTCTCTGCTGCAGTTCCACTTTGTGAAAAAGGCAGATAAAACATTTTTTTTGCTTAGTGCAGCTTTAAAGATGAGTAAGCTGAGTTCACAGTTTGTTATTGTGTCTTTTTACCTGAATCCCAGCGGGGTCATTGATAAATTGACCTGATCGGCCCTTTCTGCTGAGCAATCAATACTCCCAAAACAGCTTGGGATACTCGGTATTGATTACATCAGTAATGAAGATGTAGCATTCTTGTTCTTTGTGTGTGAGTGTTTTGCAGTGGACCTTGTCGGGTAGAAGTGCTGTGGGCACGCATGTTTGTTTGTTCTTGACTTTATGTGTAAAGGCAATGATAGCATGCAGGTCAAATAAGGGATGAACTGTTCCTCCCCACCCTCCTTTCAGCCTCTCTGGACAACAACCTGCAGACCCTGTGGTATAGTAGAGGACTGTCATACCAGTCAGTCAGGCCTGGCGGATGCTGCAGTCTCATGAACAATCTCAAAGCAGAGATCTGAAATTGTGACTGGCTATAACGACACATTATAACTTACTTTATCCTGCGCCAGGCCTGTGTGCAAATAAATCGTATCATAATCTGATAATTTAAAACTTTGATTTAGCCAGTAGGGAGCGTAAAATATGTCCCACATTTTAATATTATACCTTTCATTATTCTTCAGAGTGGTGGGTGGGATATGCACTATCAAATAATCTATTTCAATCATTGTCAGGGTCAGTTTACTGGAAGAAAGGAAACTATTGCCTTGCTTCTGGGTTAAATTTCCACTAAATGCACCATTCAATTTAGATGACTTTCTTCCTGTGGGAATGATTGATTTGTTTTCTGACCTTGGCACAAAGCAAACAATTGGATTCTTCCAAATGAGCAAACAGCAGTCAATTTGTACTCCCAGAAGCATAAACATAAAACAATAAGCATGAGTAAAATGCTCTGCTTGGGTGTTCTTTATGCTGTAAATACAAAAAACACAATCAACTAATTGAATCGGTACTGAATATGCCAGCTTAGTTTTTATCCCTTATCCCCTTAAAATCACTTTCCCTGTCCTTCTCTCCATGTCATCTCCTTCCCTTACCTTTTGGGTTTAAGGAAATAAACCAGAAAACCACCAACAATGAATGAACGAGTAGTGAGACTCGGCCCACATTTGGCCTTAATGCTACAATACTGCCATAGGGGAATATAATATATCTATATCTACATATATATAGATATAGATATTGATATAGATATCCACCCAGTCCTATATAACATGCTCAATGGCTGGGATGGGACATATAGTAAGCATATTTACAAACGTATATTATACATAAAGTATTTATCTGTTATATATTGGAAGCCCAACTGTAGCTGGCTGCTTGTCTTGGCCTGTTGTTGCAGCGCTGAATGATGGCCACAACTGAATTAAAAAGCAGGAACGGACCCAGATGTCAGGAGTCAGAAAGATGTATTTCATAATAAATTAGATACACACACGTGTGTAATGGTCAGATCCCAGCAGCTGCATCTCATCCAAATGTCACAATGACACATTTTATTCAGACCTTTTAATTGTGAAAAAATAAAGTGCAAATGAGGTGGGCTTTTCTATTGGCATTTCCAAAACATGAAAATATATTTTTGCAGTTGAAAATAAATAATTGTATTTGGATGCACCAATTAACAGGCTAATATCCACAAAAGAATCTAAACAAACAAAAACACTTGGTAACTTTTATGCAACTAAATTGAACCAACAACAAACCTCAAGTTATCAGTTTGTTGGAAATTTGATTAAAAGTTCCGACAACTGTTATCTGTAATCTAAAATCCTTGGATAGAAACTCAGCTACTTTGTGACACCTCTTGCTCCTCCTCTTCTCCTATAACAAGGGGACCACACCCAAAATCAGACAGATTGATGGGAAATGTAGTCTCAGAGAGTCTGTTTTTTGTTTGTTTGTTTTTTTGCTACTTCCTGTATATATTAGTATTTTCTACTGGATCCTGAAGCCTTATATGTGCTTCTGAGAAGAGGCCAACTTTGCCGGCATGCTCGTTTTATACCCGGGGGTGTTTTAGGTGGGTGGAGTTTACCTCCTCCACAGGTTTATATTACACACAACTCCACCTGCCTTGTCCACTACAGGCTACAAAACAAGAATGTCCAGACTGTCGTGTTGCATGGGGGCTGCTGTTGCCTTTGGTACTCTGTATACAATGTAAACCTGTATGTATTTGTGCCCCTTCACACACTCCTCCTTTTGCACTTGTCTTTCCCTGTCTCTCTGTGTCCTTGTCCTTCTGTGTCTGAAATCTGCATAATGTTGTTCCACATTAATTATTCATGTGCCGTTAATGCCCCCATGAGCTTTGTCTTGTCAGAAATCTGCCTGTTGTGTTCTTTTCTTGGGTTCATGTTCCCACCGGCTTATACCAAAAGTGTTTCGGTGCTAACGTCCTCTTTGTTCTGTCGTAACCCGGAGAGCAAAGATGTGTTTTAGCACTGAGGTTTTTTCAGTTTGACCCCAGCCCTGGTAGACAGCCGGGCTGGTGATGTAGCATGTGAGAGTGCCTCAAGTCAAACCACCATTTGAGTCATCAGCCTATTTAAAGTCCCTGGGTGGCCCTGTTTTCCTGTTTACCAGGTCTTAAAACGGTTGTCTTCATCTCAGAGAGCAGCGTTATAATAAAGGTCATGAGAAATGAGCAGGGCAGCTGACATTTAGAAATCAAAAATGCATCTGTAGATGTGGATGGACAGGCGCAGTGAGTCTCCCTCTCATCGTGTATTAAAACTAAATGCTACAAAACTATTCAGCATGCAAAAGCTGCATGCACATTTCAGGCTTTACTTGTGCAGTCATGGGGAGATGAGGTTTAAACTGGATAGATGTTGATGGTCTCTCTGCTCCTCCCCGCTGGCACTTGGAGGTAGAAGCTCTGATCGCTGGCTTTGGTTGTACTTTGATGCGAGTCAGCATGGTGATGGTTGGTTTGTCGTGACATTTGAGACCTTTTCTAACAGTTGCAAACAGTGACTTTCATGACGTATCCAAATTGTATTTTTTTTCTAGTCCAGCCCAGTCACTGGCCATTTAGTTGGAAAATGTATTGAGTGGTATTTTGTACTAGATCAGTCTTTATTAGACATTTCCAAAGGATATCCAGCTTGCTATGCTAATAACAGAAAGGAAGTGTGCCTCCGCCATGTCTCTAAATAAAAATAGACCGTATATGCTAGATTTTATAATAAATGCATATTTGTTTTAATGTTGTGGAAGATGGTAATATACGTATTTTTCTAATAACTAAACTTAGGTATGTATATTTTAACTGCAGAAAATCAGATACATTTCCTGGTTGTCTTGAGTGGATATATGAGGCAAGGATGTTGTTGACGCTTGTTTATCACGATTTAGTTCTCTTTATGATGATTGTGTTGATTTTTATTCATGAGCTGAGTAGCTCAAGTCTCATCTCAACCTCCCTCCCTCCTCTAAGAACAAACCAGAGACAGATTCAAAGACATTTAATGGGATAGATTTGTGTTTTAAGAGGCACCAAGCATTTGTAGCAAAGAACCGTTACCATTATCTTTTTTTAAGTGTGAGATCAAAGACATAAATTACTTAAGGGCTAATGAGCTGTCTATGAGACAGCATTAAAGCCTGTGCATCATTTGCATTTCCAAGCACTCTGCTTTTTACACTTTGAAGCAAAAAAGAGATTATAGTAGATATACTTGTATTTTAACATGTGTTTTCATTCCCAGCCTGTTTTTTGTTTGATCCAGATCAAGGAAGGCCTAAGTAATTAGTGATCTTATTTAAATAATGCACTGACATGTTTTCTTTGTTCTGTGTACTCTTTAAGTTAAACCCAGAACATTGATGGTAGTAATATCTAGTAGTCATTATACCTGTTTTACTAAACACAGATAGACTTTAACGCCCCTCAAAAACATTTTAACAGTGTACTTTTTCCACATATTTCAACTTTTAGTTAAAAAAAAAATGTAATGGCTATCTAAAAGTACACAGTTGTAGTACAAATTGTTTTGACAAATCCTTAGTTATTCTTTATTAAGAGTATTTATTACAGTAACACTCAAACTCAGCTAATCTGCTTCTTCAGGACCGTGTAGGTGTGGTTTCAACCCCACAACTGTCATCACATTTTTATTCAAATGTCACTAATCTCTGATATATAGGTGACATTGCCTTTTTCCCACTGAGCCCCACCCTTTTCAAAACAAGGAAAAAATCATGCATTCTGGTAGGACCCCCTGCTGATTGGCAAGAAAAGTTTCTGGGATCTTTATAATTCTCTGAAACTAGAGTTTCCCTGATAAACCTGGATTAGTGTGAGTTAATGAGGAGAGACTTTTGATACTCATTACTAATTTCATCACACCCATTACTAATTCTTCTCTCTTCCATCCCTCACTCTTTGCTGCTTCTTCCAGCCTGATTATTTAGTTTGTAGTCGCAAAACTTCTGGACAACAGTATGTAAGCTAGTGACAGCCGAGCCCACTGTCCACACACACCCACTGTCCACACACACACACACTCCGTCAGTCTCCTAACCCTCAGTCACTGCTGCCTGTTTTCAGATCTTGGAGCGACACAGAGAACTTCTACTCCAACGATCGCAGCATCCTGACGCTGTCGCCCATTGAGGCCAACAATTGCTGACTTCCAGAGCCACTGACTGTAACACACAGAGCTGTGGGGTGGGTGGGGGTGGGGGCTACTACTCTGCCATGGGTCATAATCACACCCCCACCCCTCTGCCATTTTAGAAACTGTCTTCAATTTAAAGTCAGCGCCTTCTCAGCTGGATGCAAAGGAGACACAGATGGGAGCTGTCGCATTATGTGAAACCAAAGGACTCGACTCAGCAGCTGGCTGCTTTATCCTTCACCAATTTGTTTCCCCGAGTGAATCGATTCTTAGTAGAAGGGTTGAAGGACGTCATATGGGAGCTCTGACATGGAAGGAAATGAAATATGAAGTATGGAGCAAGTCAGCATGGCATGAAGCGGACATCTGTGGAGCTACTCCTGTAAAAAGACACTGGTGACATCTGAGCAGCTAAAACAACATCAGACTCCTGCTGCTTACAGGGAGTCTCTGAAAACATCATACTTAAATTCAGTAGCTTTTTAAAAGGTTAATGAAGACATGTCAGCCCCAGGTACATGAACTCTCATGCAGCTATTATCATTTCAGTACAGTTTCCAAACTTCTATTTTCTTGCAACTGACATAAGAATGACCTTGTACTGTAAGTCTAACACATTTGTTGACACAGAATGGAGATTCCTGACAATCTGGACTATTTGCTGCAGAAAAATAGATAATTACAAGCATCAGTCTTGCTCAAAGCATTGCAGCGTGAGGACAGTAATCGAAGGAGCTGGTTTGGACATGCTGACTAACCTCAACACAGGACTGATGTGGCTTGAAGACTCCAGCTACCAGGATCATCCATGTAGCACTAGGACAGAAGCTCCGCAAAGTCTGACTACATTAAGGGTTAATCTTAAGGTGTAGATTTGGAGCGAAGGTCCAACATCATGTTGCTTCCATAAACTGCTACATAAACTTCCTCTTTGGCCGTGCTGCACCTTTCATTCAGACGGAAAGGGAGAAGGCTAGACCACCCTGTAGCTTTCAGAACCTTGCTGATTCTGTTACTGTCTACACTTGTTTCCTTTGGACCTACAGCACTCCCTTGATATTGTACACGCAGATTCATCTCTACTGTGGAACCAAAGACCAAAGGAGTCAGACGGGAAAAGATAGTGTTTATTTTTGTGCCTAATTGTACAGAAGCTTATATTGTTAAGAAGACTATTATTATTGTTTGTGCTGCTTTCTAGTCTGACTGTTCAGGCCTCTGTCCCCCCAGGTGCATTGTTCTGAAGGAGGCCAGATTGGGTCTGTGTAAAAAGCCATACATTTTAAAGAGGTTATATTATTGATAGATTATTGAAGATACTGCAGATAGAAGCTGTTTGAGCCTGTTTCCCTTGAATGCCTTTTCTCTATCAGCCTGGTTAGCAAAGACATCTTAGCATTGAAGACCAATAATGCTCAGGAAATATTTTAAAGAAAGGTTTTTATAACTGGAGGTAGAACCATCCCTCTGTGTTGTCTAAAAATATTTCCTGAGTATCGGATCAGATAATGGTACCATTTATTTCAGTGAGACAAAAAAAAATGGCTTTAATGGCGAGATGCTATTCCAAATCACGGCTGACACACGTCGACCCAGACAGCAGAATGTCTCGACCTTTAGAGATGGATATATCCAATAAATATAATTCAGCTTCAGTAGAGATGAAAAGAAAAGCTTTGCACATGTCACATATCGAAATCACATTTAGTTTATTATTTTTTTGTTTCAAATCATTGCTCGTCTCTCACCATTCAAATCATCTGAATCATATTTTTGCTGTTACGCTGTGATGTGTGTTTCTATCCACACGTTGAAGGGTGTGTGTGTGTGTTCTTGGATGGCAGCAGTGTTGGTTGAAGTACAGTATGTAGCCGATTTGTAAGCTCTGTACTATCTCCGTGGCCATGCGCTGCCCGCAGTTCAAAGGTCAAATGTTTCTCTTTGATGCTCGGTTTGATCTCATCTTCTAAAAAAAGTGAAATGAAGAAAAGTTTGAACCTTATTTTTTTTTTGTGAGAATTCAGTTGACTGTAGAAGGTGACTTACAGCTGAGAGAAGTGTAATGTAGAAAGACAACCGTTTTAAACTTGACATCAACAACCACACAACAATGACCAGTACATGCCTCAGCTCACACAGGGAACACACAGAGTCATAGGATGTTTGTTACTGTTTAAAGACGTTAAGGTGTTTCTCAGCAGCTCAAAATTGGTCAGTAATGTTTTTTTGTCAGTCAGTTGATTGAATATTCTATTTTCTGTATGGTACACATTGTTTAATGCATACCTGGGCCTGTTATAACCTTTGTTCACGCAGGTGACAATGAAAATGTGTATTTATTATTGCAGTACTTTTTTTCTGTTTGTGTTTAACTTTTCTTGCATATCAATATAAACATGTGTGTGTACATGGCCTGAATGCAGCAACTTCCCAAGATGTTTTGCTTGGTCTTAGACCTGTAATCAGGAGGCTGAACCTCCTTCGAATCTCTTTTCTTTTTTTTGTCGACCGGAAAGGTGATGTGCAGCTGGGAGCCGTCAGCTGCAAGCCTGAATGTTAGTTTGTTACAGGACACGTGGAAACTTCCAGATCACTCCATCCAACAACCCAACTGTTGTTTTTAACCATTTGAGCTCATATCTGCTATTAAAATGTCTACCTGCATACACCTATGATACCTGTAATTTGTACCTGATTAGGAAAAATGCATACACATAAAAAGGTCAGTTTCAAATCCTGTGAAAACTCTTGTATGTCTACTGTAGCTCTGAAGGGAGCTGAAAAAATCAACCTTGATGTCAACTTGAGTTAGGCTCGAGAATTCAGAAAATTGATGGAAAACCTTCGTCATAAACTCGGGGCATGGAGTTCGAAAGATGACAGGTGTGTTGCATAGTGGGAACTGTAGGATCCAGTGATTTTGGAGCTAGACTCTTACAAGGGGCTTTGGTGTCTGCTGCATTCATTTTGACTATTCTTTTTTTAATTGTAACTTCATGGAAATGCAGTACTAAATCAGAGAGTACCCCTTTTAATACCTTAAAATAAAGGTTAAATTTGATGCAGCAGAGGTAAAGATATCTAAACAGCCTGCCGCTTTTGTAAGGCCCTCCCTGCCTGGTAAATGCCAAAGTCATTGCAACTACATACAAGAATAATACAAGAAAATGTGAAGGCTCAAGTCTGATGACTTGACTTCAAACTCTCCTCCAGAGCCACAGACAAGCTGTTCACCTGTTTTCACAGTAGTACTTTGTGTTTGTTTCCAATATTGATAAATATGTTACAGCAAATAGATGCAAAATGTTGTGAAAAGATAATAGTCATAATGACAGATTGTGATTCCACAGAAGGTCAGTAGATGACAATATTGAATCATCAACCAGCCCTAAAGATGTGATGCTCTTCTCTTGAAATCAGTAATAAACTCAGGAGGATTTGCAGGCATTAGTACCATGACCCTGCTGAGTTATTACATGATATAAAATGCAGAGGAGGGAAGACGAATACTTCCTGGCTAAAGGTAAATAAGGTGGAGCCATGCAGAAACACCTGCAGTGTTAGTGCAGTGCTCATCTACGGAGACCCAAAGTGTTCACAACTAAATAAATGACATGACCTCAATAATAATTAATACAAACAATATATAGGTGTGTCCTATATACCAGGGACATACAAATAAGCAACAAGTAGTTGTTAAATGATAAACAATCCTAACAGTAAAAAAAAAAAAAGAATTGCTACAAGACAAATAAATGAAAAAAAAAAAGATTTACAGTAGTATTTCACAATTTCTTGATGATAAATGTATTATTTTGAACACTTTTGGTCACTATATTCACCTTCAACAAAAAGCACCATCCAGTCAGTTTTGAGTCATAGTTGGTGGACAACAGATAAATGAGGTTAAGTAATTGCATTTATCATTCAAGTCATATCTTTACTGTTAGTGCAGAAAACCGATGCTTTATTTTTTTTAAGCTCAGATGTGATTTTAGTAACAACCACCAAGACCTGATTCTCTAAAGTATCACAGCACCGACGTCAAGCTTCATTAACAGAGAAACAGGGTTTATATACGAGGCCTCTGGGGTATTTCTAGAAGCAGGAGATTACTTGGCCATGTAATTTAAAAAAGTAATTAAATATTTTATAAAATAATCTGATGTGCCATCCCTTATAAAAGACACCAAAAGCTGGGAAACTCTGTCTACAGGTGGGTTTTAAACCAAGTACTGCTGCTTCTGGAAATATTGGCCACATACTGAATATGAGCATCAGCAGTACAATTATCAGTGACTAGACGTACTGTATGACATTTGTCTTGAAGAGGTTAAGAAGTTTAAGACAATGTTTTTAACTGAAAAACCTGCGTGAATGCTTACAGATGACATCAGTGCAGAGACGCTTCTGGAAAACTCAGCCAAGGTTTGCAGACTTGAATCAAATTAAGGTTTCCTTTATCAAATCAGCTAAAAAGGGGAATCTAAATTAAAATGTCAACCGATTGGTTTTCTGCCGCAGAGTGTCCTGTGACTCAGCATGAGCCAGGATGACACGAGGCTGCAGTGCTGAATGGTTTGTTGAAATCATTTATATTCTCTCCTCATCAGTAAATCATGCTGCACCAGGCAATTAATAAACCACCATCATCATCACTACACTGTTCCCTGATATCTGTTGCCCTGTCTGTCCGCCCTCCTCCTCCGGTCTGTAAATCTGTCTTTTAGCTGATGTTTATGAAGATGCTGTTCTATTTACAAAATAAATACATTTTTTAAAAATGGGTGCTTGTAGTGTGACTTCATTCATTTAAATGCTCTTAATCATGTGATAAGTAAACCGTAACTGACCAGAACCAAACAACAGCAAGGCCGCGCTTGGCTGACAACAACTCAAGAGAAATCTCCTTGCAAGTAATGGAAAGGACGGAAAACACAATTAAGGCTTTTTAATCAGGCACATAGCAATTAATGCACCAGACTCAGATTCACTCTTACGTGACGATCTGAAGAGCGCTGTTCAGTTATGTTGAGTATAAAACTTAATTTCTTTTACATTTTAACTCTAATTGTATGTAGTGCTCAAACAATGTAATTGACAAAAAATGAATTGACAATTTTGATAATTCACCTTTTATGTCACTCATCAAGCAAAACTGTCCAACTTTCTCTCCAATTTGAGATTTTGTTTTTGTTCCCGTTTCGTATTAGTTCTTTGGGTTTGGACTGTTGGTCAAACAAAACATGCAGTTTCGTTTGACCAAGACTTTGGGAATTAGAGATCCAAAGTGCTCAGTAATAAATAGTCATTATAAAATAAATAAACATGAAATTGAGATATAATCCAATAATTTTTCCATTGCTTTGGTTTAAGTGAGTAAGTAACTGACTTTTTTTAAAATTACATTTATTGGATTATTTCACAATCAATTCATGGATGGATATTTTGCCTGTAAACAATTGTTGTGACATTTGTTTACAGGCAAACTGCTTAATATACGAATAATCATAATCAATTAATATAAAAAAAATTGTTGCACACCTAAAAAAAAATCTTGCACTATAAAAACTGGGTGCAATGCGACAGACAACTGTCAGAACAATGTCCAATTTCTCAGTGTCTTATAACTGTATACAAAATAAACTGTGTAGGCTACAAATCTTTATAGTATACTTGTTTGCAGCTACTATACAAGAAAATGAACACTTTGTTTCACACAAACAGGAAATTATATAATACTTCAAAATGCCACCTCCAGTTAAACTTAAGAGAAAGCAAAAACATTTTTCCAAAGAGATAGTAGTTATTTTGTTCTAAGATGGCCCTGGAGCCGTTTCAGTACCATCTACAATTAGCTTTACTTTTCCCAGCTCTCCCCTCTCCTTGCAATATGGGAGTGTGCATCAACAACCCACTTAAAATTAAAGTGCTGTTCAGTCTGCATACCAATTGTTTAGAGTATACTATATTTTGTCTCCGTTCCTATTTGGGACACAGCTACTACAGTGAACTAAGTAAAGTGCCGCCACAGGTCATATGATACGCCCAGCAAATGCTCTGAGAAAACAACGATGAAAGGTGAGGGACAGATGTGGGGCGGTTAGCCAGACGTACATTTCCCAAAACAACCAAAGGCCGGAAATCACCTACTGGTACTTGACTGTGTGACGTCTCTGCTGTTGGGGTTGTAGAGGGTACTGCCCAGTCAATGTCCACAAGGGGGCAACAATGAGCAGATTCCACATTCTAAAACAAACTTAAGCAAAATAAATTGAGATTTATGCTTAATGTAGCGTTTTGACAACATTTTTTTAGATTTACATGAGACTTATGGAATGATATCCACACACACACACACACACCTGATCACTATTCAATGTTTCTAATATAAATGTCACTGCAAGGCCAAAAATAAATGCTGCTGCATTGCTGCTGATGTTCAACTAAAGCGAAAAGTTCTTCCTGTTTCACTGCCATTTACTCATATCTGTAGCAGACATGTGACACAACATTACTGGCTCTGCACTGCCACACAGCTGTCAGTCATTTTGAGGCTGGCTGGAGCTCAATACACGACAAAAGGTGTTAAGAGGGTGAGGGAGATGTCAGTTAATCACAGTCTGTACACACCCACATAGACCTAAAAAGAGAAAAATAAATAAATAATAAACAGTGTTACACCAAGCAACTCACCTTCAAACACTGAGTACACATGACATGGGGCTGTGCATCCTTTTGAAATAGTTTTATTACAGTATGTGACCAGTCCAATTTCATTATTAAAAAATCATCTGTTATACATCTACAAAATGAACATAGTGTTTATCAGTTTTAAGTTATAAGGCCTCATAACACACCAGTTAGTAGAGAGTGATCAGCAGAAACGGGTCAAGTTTACATGTCATCTGAGTGAGGCAAATCACTTGGACTGATGGCGGATTTACACAAAAAACCCAAACCATCTGTCTGTTTAAAGCCCTCTGTGACCGACATTTTGTCCTTTAAGGGTTATTATCAAATCAGAGCCAAATCCGGTTGCAAAAATTGGGAATCATTTGATAACGCTGGAGTGTTTTTCTGCCTCCCAATTTTGAAGATCTGTTTTTTTAATAAGGGCAAACACACTTTAGAGGTAAATGGAGTCAGTCTGGAAGGATAAACTGTGTGGATCTTGAAAAAATTTTTACATCAACAAACCCTAATACAAAATATTTTTGACACCAAAAATAAGTTTACACCCAGCCTCCTCTCTCTTAAAATCACTGTCCAGTGAAAACAGCTTCGAAGTGCCAGAACTTAAGGAGAGAGAATAACAGATGAGTTGCTTTAAGCTTAGTGACAATACAGTTGTAAATACTGGCTGGGTTTGTAATATTTACAAATGGGCAGGTCAATTTTCTACAGTTATAAAGCAGTGCGTGACCCTGTCAGAAGACGTCAAAACTTCACAATTTGAGATACACGGTTAGGGGGTAGATTTATTTATTTGTTGGGCCTTTTTTTCCCCTCCCAAGACTCTCAGTCACTCACTTGTCATCCCACCTGCTTATTATCTTCTGCCTCAGACATGCTTAAAAGCAACCATTTAGTTTTGATACTGTGTAAAGATGAAGTAGTACACTGTGTGTCGATGGAGACGACACTCTGCTGTCAACCTCATCCGTACGTAAGTGCATTAACCTCTACGGAAGCGAATACCCAACTCTTCAACTAACACTGCAGTGCTGACAGAAACACAGAAGGGGGGAATAAAATAAATATTTGCAAACACAGACGTTGCCAGAGCTTCACTGATTACTGCCTACATATAAACACACAAGAAAGAAAAGAAACAAGCAAAAGTTCTACAATCAACATGAAGACAATATTCTGATGTGTAAAAAGCCAACTGTACATTAGAGATTATTTGTGGTGTTTACCCACAGTATGAGCCTTTTCACTGCTGTCACACATCAAACTCAGGAACATTTCATGTCACAGTAACTTTTTTTTGACCTTCCTAAAAGCATTTTGGGTCCCCAGGGTGACCGATTTTGTCTCATCCATTCCAGACTGAACCAAACTCATGATGATTCATGTCCCGACTTTAAGAAGTATCAAGATCAAGTGCTGGTTGACTTACTTTCCCTCTGGTTGTCACAGGAACTAGTTCCGGCTCTCTCCTACCTGTCAGTGTGTAATTGTGGGTGGTGTGTGTGTGTTTACTGGCTGCTCCCCTCCTCCTCCTCTTCCATTTCGACCAGAGGAGCATGGCGATTGGCCTGAGAGCCCTCGCTGAAGAAAACTTTCTTGATCACACCTGACTTGGGCGCCCGGATCGTATGCTGCGCAAAACAAACAACTTCATTACAAGCGCAGCAGAGAGTTTGTGTACCTGTGATAGATCAAGTAAAGGTGAGAATGAGTGTGAGGAAGAGCCAGCAGGAGTCCTTCTCACCTCCATCTTCATGGCGATCATGACCATCAGTGCGTCTCCTACGGCCACCTTGTCTCCGGCCTTCACTAGCACCTGAACACAACATTACAAAAGATAGTTTATTAGGATTCATTTGGACATTCAGTCTTTGTCCATCTCAACAACAATAAAAGTCAGGCCCTTAATGCCACTCAAGGATAATGAGAAAGTTATTTAGGTCTTCTTGCTTACATTGCTGTAATTCCCTATTAAAATTTGTTTCTCGTCATCTTTAAATTATTTTCAGTTGCTCAATATATGGCAGTCGGTCTGCTCTTATCACTTCTGCTTTAGTCTCACTACACTGGCTGCCAGTAGATTTTAGGTAAACAATAATACACTCAGAGGTGTCCCTATAAATAAAAATAATAAGACATGGTGGAGACACAGAATCGCATTTCTTTCACAAAGTCAATTTCTGTATCAGCAGAGGTGATTTAGAGTGCTTACTGTACGGCCAATTACCATTTACACAAAAAGACATAGACAAGACTTTTTACATAAAAATCATAAATCATTCTATGAAGTCTGGAATGATTAAGGTTAGTTTCACCAGTAAGTTAACAGGAAGCATCGTATGAAGTAAAAGTATTATTACAGTGGTTACCAGCAGTTTTAATTTACCTTGTTGCTGATTTAGAGCAGTGGTTACACAAACTGACAACACTGAGCAAAGCTAATTCTTGACCTTGGAAACAAAAACACTAAAATAAAAAGACTGGAAGCAAGGGACTTAAAATGTGGAACTGCTTTTCCAAAAATTGTTACCATTTAACTGCCTCCGTCACTTTGAGGTGTCCTGATACAATAAATACTGAACAAAACAATCAAATCAATGTTATGTTATGTGTTTTTCTTTGTTTCCTGCAACTCATCCATTCTTTTTATATTAGGACATCTTGTATAATATTGGTTACACATCAGGGCACCTTAGAGTGTATTGTCCCTTACTTTGTACGGTCTACAATTATCTGTCCCATGTCCTTTTAAACAGTGGTTCCAAAACTGCAGAATAAGTCAGAATGGCTGAATTTATGTACATGTTCAATCTCAGCTATTTAAAAAAAAAACAACAACTCACTTTTATAATTAGATTGTCTATTTTTTATTCTACCTTCTGTAAACTGCTGTTTTTTTATGTAATAAAGTATTTCTTTCAAGATAATGTTATGTTAATAGCTAGTCATTGTTGTGTCTTTAAATAAGAAGACTTTTTACTCTTTTTACAACTAATTATTTAATATGATGACTTTAGTGCTCCAAACCTCTAATTCACTGCCAAACATAATACATACGCTAATACTGCCCAACTCACCTTCTCTATGGTTCCAGTCATGGGGGCCACCGCTCCACCCTGAGCCCCAGAGCTGCTCACACCAGCCAGATACTTGGGCACAGGAACAGACACTTCGGCGCTTCCTTCCTGCAGAAAAGATGTAAAGATGCAAGGAACAGAAGTGACAGTTAACTAGCAGCTGAGGTAAAAGGATTTAAGCCACCAGTCTCGAAATATGCTAAACACAGGAAATAAAAATAGCTTCTACAGTAACAGGTAATGTGTAGTCAAATTTGCTGGAAAAAGCAGAATTTACAGTTTTTACTAAATATCTTATTTGGGAAAATTAACCTGCAGGAAATTTACTACAAACAAGATGTATACTTTTATCAATAAATGAGTTTAAAGGTAGTTACTAGTAGTAGTAGTTTTTAGCTTTTTGATGATGGTTTCCAGGATAGTGTGATATCAATCTTGTGCTTTGTCATTTTACATGTACAATATTTTGAACTTTCATAATTTGCATTAAAAAAAGTTACCAAATTTACAAATGTATTTTTCTTGTTACTTTAAATATACCTAAATCCCAGTGCACCCAAGATGACAATGTTGATTTGTGCTTCACTGATTTGGGGAATATGTAAAATGTCCACACACCATAAATAGAAAAATAATGCATGTAAATTTACATTTCACTCAGCTTGTGTTTCTATTGTCAGCAGTGGTGGTTGGAACATACCGGGGAGAACAGGTGAACTGTGTTGTCCAGAATCACCAGTTTGGGACGAGACTTCACGCCATTGACAGAACAGTGTAGGAATGACACTCCACCTTCCAGCTCCACCTCCCCTGTGACATGAAACACCTCCTCACCAATCTGAAAGAAAGAAATACATTTATGCTAAATGTGAATGAGGTAGATCTACTACAAATTCACCTAAAACTCCTACTAATGGTGTTACTTTTCAAAAACAATCAATATTTAATTCCTGACAGTAGTTTGACAAAATAATCTTAACTCAAAAGTCCACTTACTAGCCATTTTTCAGTTTTTGCAAGCGCATTGTCACAGCCTTCATCAGTGAATGGAGTTTGCTCAGTATTCAATTCGCTGATAAAGGCCATGAGATTATGTTGTCAAACTACTGTAGTATAAAAGGGAATAAATTGTTGCATTTACTTATTAAATTGGTAAAAATTTGATTATAGAAAAAAAAACTAAAAAACATTCATACAATAATGTGGGCTACAATCAGTATTTAAAAATAACAAACTGAACTGCTCCTCTTTAAAAATATGGGTCCTTTTCTGTGACTACTGATGTAAGATACAGGACCTATTGCAGCTCACCTGCATTGTGTAGCTTCCATCTTTGTTGTACACGACGACCACATCAACTTCTAAAAAACACAAACACACAAGATGAAATGTTTTGTAATTATAAAAAGGCCAAATGGGTTTGAGGGGAGCACAGAAGCAAACAAGAGGAGACAATGAAGTAACTTAATGCGGAGGCTTTAGCTGAACATCAGCAGCAGCCAGGGGATTTATTTTTGGCCTTGCAGTGACATTTATAATAGAAACATTGAATAATGAAAATGAGTTAATTAACAAACTGTCAAAGACAAGACCGGCGCTAAACTTAATTATTCAAACACTCATTAAATAAATCAGATACAGTTATGAGTCGACCCTAACTGTACTGATCTGCTTATTAAAACTAAGCCAACATATGATTTAACCATCAATATATACCTCTAAAGCATCCAAAACACTAAATGAAAGTATTAAAGTTTTTGATTGACAGGTCTAATCATGTTACTAAATAAGTGACATACAGTTTGTATACGTTACTTTACTGTGTGTGTGTGTGTGTGTGTGTGTGTGTGTGTGTGTGTGTGTAACCACATGTATGTAAACACAACAGTAAACAATAAATACTCCCTTTGTGGACTTTATGGTGCATTTAAGACTACTTGCATTATACAGAGAGGTGTTTCTATTACATAGCCTACTCACGTTGCTATAAATGGGGTGGACAAAATAACAAACACCTGTCAAGAGTGTTAACCAGGATTTTGAAATGATTCTGGCAGCTAGAAAAGAAAAGAAGGAATTTCCCATCCTGCCATTATTGAAATTATAACTGAAGTTCATCTAAAGAAGTTTATTTCATCGAAAGACAATTAATAGACGGCAATACTGATAATGGATTAACAATTTAAATTGATAATGGATTAACAATTTAAATTGATAAACATTAAACGCCAAATGTTTGCTGGTTCCTGTATCACAAATGTGAGGATTTGCGGTTCTTCTTCGTTTATAATATTCTAAATTGAATATTTTTGGTTTCAGTCTGTTGGTGAAACAAGAAATTTGTAGGTGGTTAAGCAAATGTTCACTATGTTCTGGTATTTTAAAGACCAACAGATTCATTTAAGAATTTCGAACCATAAATTAAACTCCTAAAATGTAATGACAAAAAAGCTTCTCTGCAGTCCCACCACCTGTTGAGCAAAATATTTGTCTATTTGTCTTTTCTCCCTCCCTTATCCTCCAGCTTCCCTCCCTTCCTATACACTAGGGGGCAGTAAAGGCTCACCATCATTCTGTCACTTACTTTTGTCTCCCAGCTGCAGTGTCATGTTTCTGTTAAACTGAATGTTGCTTCTCCAGCCGCTGCTGGAGCCAAATGGGGAGAAGGGGTCTGAAAATCACACACACCATGAACACTTAGTATACTATTATATTTTCAGGTCACATGTGCAGATGTACATCGTTTGTCCTGAAAAGGTTATCCCCTCACCAGCAGAGGTCTGTGTGAACTCCTGTGTGTGTTTCCTCTCCTGCAGCACCAGGCCCAGGGCCGCCTGGCAGATCGTTTCCCCAGAAGGAGTTCTCGGAGTGGGGAAGAGGTCAGCGTAGTGCTGAGGGATGAAGCTGGTGGTCACGTTTCCAGCCTCAAACTCCGGGTGGCCGGAAAGACTCAGCAAAAAGTCAATGTTAGTGTTCAGTCCCACGATCTGAGGACAGTGGCAGTAGAGAGGACCAAAAGGATGCAAAGAAATTTGACACAGAACCATGAATTATAGGCATTTTGCATTTATATATTGTATAAATGAAATCAAATGCGTAAACATAGGAGCTTAGGGTTCTGTAACTACTGTTTTTAATCCTACAAGTGCAGTTAAACGCATCATTTGACGGGGTGTCTTACATTGTACTGTCGTAAGCAGTACCGCAGCTTCTTTAAGGCAGCTGATCGGTCTTCTCCCCACACCACAAGCTTGGCGATCATTGGGTCATAATGTGCAGACACCTCGTCCCCTGAAAACAAACAAGAACAGACACTATTGTCAGCTGATGCCAGTATTTTTTCCATTGTGGTAATTAAATTTATTTATTCTCATCCTTCATTATCTACACAGACTGAAGCGGTCGCATAGGTTTTCTTTCTACTTTCTTTATTGCAGTCACGTATGATTGGATAATCACTGATCAAGAAGTTCTCAAAAAGCACAAAAAGCACAACGAGATTTAAAAAAAATGGATGAGGACCTGACTCATTGCTTTGGTTTCTGCACTGCATTTCCAACAGGTCATCGTGCTTGGTGTTTTTACTTAATCTCTTTTCTTTTTTGTTTTATGTGCAATCAGCAAGTGCAGATAGTTTGATATATCAAGCAATGACAGAAGGAAGCAACTTGGACACTTAACTCTATAAAAAACACTGAGTCTTGTTACATAAAGAATGGAAAACAAACAACTGGAGTTAGATCTAGACTCCCTACCATCTCTGACTCCAGTCTCTATGCGTGTGTGTTGGTCTGGTGGAGGGGTGGAGAGATGCAGTAGAGGCCCCGCCCCTGGAAGGAAGTCATTGTTAGGGTCCTCAGCATAGATACGAGCCTCAAATGAGTGTCCCCTTAAAATTATGTCATCCTGGAGGAGAGGCAGGCGCTCCCCTGCTGCCACCTGGAGGATATTTACACCAAGAGAAATCAATGTGGCTAAAAGCAAAACTGCTTTTTCACAAAAGGTTATTTCTATTGATTAAAAACTCAGAACATAGTTTTTAAACTGTCTGCATTTCCTCTCTCCGTCCTCTCTCACCCTGAGCTGCCACTCCACCAGGTCAGTTCCAGTGATCATCTCAGAGACAGGATGTTCCACCTGCAGCCTGGTGTTCATCTCCATGAAGTAAAAGTTATGCTGGGCGTCCATTATAAACTCCACAGTACCTACACAGGAAGACAAACAATATGATGTCAACGTCCTGTGTGTTCTGGGTCAAAGGCATTGTGGTGAGGTGCCAGTGTGTGTGTCTCACCTGCCCCTACATAGCTGACAGCCTTGGCTGCTTTAACTGCTGCCTCTCCAAGTTTTCTCCGTACCTCAGGACTAATACCCGGCTGCAAAAATACACAGTAAAACATTCAACACAAACAAATTAAGTGAACACAGCCCTAAAATCCAGTTTCACATCATAGATAGAACTCTACCCTTTCTTCTAATAAGACATTCACACTGTCATGGTGATAGGCAGCCAGAAAAAAGTGTTCTCATTTAAGACAAAACTCTACCAACACAGAGAGACTGACCTTTGCATGGAAAGTTTTTTTTCCAGATTTTGTCACCATAGTAGTGAGGCAAACACTGGTAACTAAACGCTGAACTCAGAGCTTTCACTGAACGTACAAGTATGGGTTTGGGAGAAACAGATTTCCAGGTTCTTGTTGGAGCTCGTTCATAATGGGAAGAGTATGATAACCAGGTTTAGCAATGTTTTAAAGAAGACATTCTGAAGTACCTATAAGCTAATGGGAAATAAGATAATCAGTTCCGCTATGCCAGTGGTTCTCAAACTGGGGGGCACAGAACCACTGCAAAGGCGGCGTGGATGACTAGGGGAAAAATATGTAGTGGAACAAAGAATGAATGAACAGGATTCATGTAGGGAAATAAAAAAACAACCCTAAGTTTGCTGATGCTATCGTGCTGACCTGAGTCAATTGTTTTCTTTCAATCAAATTCAATTGGGCCTCCTTTTTTTATTTGTTGCTCCCTCAATATTGTTAATGATTGATGAGAATTCAATCAGTTTATGTGTAGTGGGGGGACATTAACTTTTTTCAGCTTCTGAAAGGGGGTCATGACAGAAAAAGTTTGAGGACCACTGCTCTATACCAACAATTACACCAGTGGATAGTTCCAGAAAAGAATCCTATTTTATCCATATCCTGAACTTAAACCTCAAGTCATGTTCCCATTAGCTATATGTGGGAAATCCAAATGTATCTTTCCAAGAGAAACTGATGTCAGAAGTTAAATTCACTTAAACTTAAATACTGTGGGTTTAGTCTGATTTGTGCACATTGAGTTCCTTGTCAGTCAAAATCAATTCAACAATACATCTACGTAACCACCATTGCTCACTCACCCCTGGTGCTTCCTCTATGATCTTCTGATGTCTCCTTTGGACGCTGCAGTCTCTCTCAAACAGATAGACAGCGTTACCGTGCATGTCCCCAAACACTTGAACCTCTACATGTCTACAGGAGACACACAGAGGAATAACAGGACAATTATCTTTTTACAAGGTGGTAGAATTGGCTGGTTAGCAGTACCTGACAGAGTGAATGAAATATTACCTGGGATCCTCTACAAACTTCTCAATCAGCATGACATCATCGTTGAAGGATTTTCTGGCTTCTCGTCTCGCCGACTCCAACTGTTCCAAGAAGTCCGAGTCTGACCGTGCAATACGCATCCCCTTTACACACACACACAAACATATACACCACAAACACGGTTATTTCATGTTTCCTGAAGTTCCTTTGTCAAAGTTACTTAGGCTTTTTTGCATCGTCTCACCTTCCCTCCCCCTCCACGGACAGCCTTAATCATCACAGGGTATCCTATCTTGGCAGCCTCTGCTTGCAGCTTCTCATTTGATTGGTCTTCTCCATGGTAACCACCAATGATTGGCACCCCAGCAGCTGACATTATGTGTTTTGATGTGCTGAAAAAAAGAGGTGTTTGCATACATTGCTATTATTGCTTTTTGTCCTAATGTATTTATGTTTCTATGTCGCTGTATCACATAAATGTTTGCTCCATAATGTCACCAATTCCTCTACAGAGATCAATAATGTTTCAAGTTAGTTATATTTGGTAACAAAATATATAAAATTATTTAATTAAATGTTAACAGAGAATATAAATGTATCTTGTTTTGATATGTGTGAATTACCTTTTAATGCCCATGTCTCGGATGGCAGAGGAAGGTGGCCCGATGAAGATGATGCCTTCCTGTTTACACGCCTCCGCAAACTCTGTGTTTTCTGACAGAAAGCCATAACCAGGGTGGACCGCCTACACACACAAACACATTTTCCAAAACATCACATGTCACACAATGTCAAAGCCCATGTTGATTCCCTGTCAAAGAAGAATAATTCAACACTTCATTTTTAAGTAGCTCAGGACTAAAGGAAAATCACAGCATCACGTCTAAACATCGTCAAGGAGAGGGTTACTCACGTGTGATCCAGACTTCTTGGCCACTTCCAAAACTTTCTCCATGGAGAGGTAACTCTGCTGGGAGGGTGGAGGACCAATGTGGTAGGCTTCATCTGCCTACAAAGAAACCAAAGTTTCCAATTGAACATAGCTAATGCAAATTTGAAAACACCAGTTTAGCATGCCGACATAATGTCTCGTGTGTTTTTTTTTAAAGCAGCTGCAGAAAGCGTTGAAGAACACAGGTAACAAAGACTGAGAAGCAAATGACTACAAACACTAAAAGGACACAGCTCCTTTGCAAGAGACAGAGCAATCCAGGACCTCACCATGGCCACATGCATGGAGTGTCTGTCTGCATCACTGTACACAGCCACTGAGCGGACGCCCATCTTCTTGGCCGTGCGCATCACACGACACGCAATCTCTCCTCGATTGGCAATCAGCACCTTCTCTATTCTTCCAACCCCTGTAGACGACACGGCAGACACTAAAGAATTTTGTTTTTAAACAGTGACAACAAAATGTTCTTAAAATTAACTAGTTGACCTGGAACCTCACTTATTAAATCAAAAGTGCAACACGTTTTAAAGGGCTTTAATCATCATTTTCCAAGGTCTGTGGCAATAAAGCTGTACTTTTAGATGCAACACCAACATCGAAACAACCACAGCACAGATGATGGTTTGGGATCCATAGTGCGAGCCAGATAATATTTATAGAGTTGAAACAATTAATAGATCAGTCATGAATTTAAATCAACAACTATTTTAATAATCAATTACTAGTATCATGCATAAATGCCAAATATTCTCTGCCTCCAGCTCTTCAAAAGTGAGGATCTTGCTTTACTTTGTTTTATATAATAATTGAAACTTAATATTTTTGGGTTTTGGACTGTGCAACATGGATTTGTCTTTCTAGACTTCTGCACACTTCTCCTGGGCGATTTCCTCTACTTTCTGATATTTTATAGAGTAAAAAATAAATAAACAAATTGATAATTAAATAAGAGTTAGTTGCAGCACTAAAACTTTACATTGCCTACATCATGTATCAATGAGGCAGGCGCTCAGGAGGAGAGACAACAGTTTTAATCCCAAGCAGATAAACATCTCTTGCACTGCAACTGGAACACAGATATCACCCAACTCGGCTATAAAAGACAACCCTAACACATGTTTTCAATTAGAGTTTCAAATGCAACTAAACGATTTCTGTTACATTTGCTTATAAGATTGCAAGAATCATCTCCTTCACTCACCTCCTGAAACAAGCCTCACGCCTCTTTTGGTCCATGACAGTTTTCTGAGGAGAGGAGAGGAGATCTTCAGTACCATTAAAATTTCTACATGGCTGTGAACGGCAGAGCAGATGCTAGATGTACGAAATGCCGGTGGCTAGTTTATGAAATAGCACGTACACTTACTATACAACAAACCCCAGCCTAGATAACTGAGTACTCAGTGAAAGCACAACAGTGTGCATGTTGTAGTCATGCTAGCTGACAGTGTCCTACCTTTATTTAACCTTGCTCAACTCTTATCTGACCCACTAGCTCGCATAATATAAAACGTTTTCGCCGGCACGTTAATGTTGAGTGGAGAAATAACGTGTTTCTGCCCAGGTCAGCAACCATGAGAACAAGCAGATAATTTACAATGTGATGTGTGGCAGTGATAGTAGTGATCTGTCAGGTTAGCTCACACGTAACGTTAAGGTAAAGTCAGCGTTCACATTGGTCGCCTTGCAAACTTCCTAGCTGTATCATAACATAAAAAAGAAACACTCTGTTTGGGTGGCACCTTGTTGAAAATAATATAATATCAGCCATGTAGGTTAACGCGTTGATGTACTCACTGTGAAAATATCCTCAGACCCTGCAGAGTTGGGAAACTCAGAATAACTGCAGCCATAGCTACCAGCTGCTAGTTAGCTAACTGAGCAGGTAAAGGCGAAGTGGTAAATACTAAACAATCATTTATGACCTTTCCAAGGACTCGTAGTGTCGACCAGCCAATCACAAAGAGAGAAATGGAGGTGGGGATGAAGCTGCATTTACCAAAAATAACCAGAAGATGGCAACGTACACATGTGGGGAAGAAATCACACAAAAATAAAACAAAACTCATTTTATTTGATAAACGAGACGAATATATACACATACAGAATATTCTGAAATAAAGACATTGGTTGAATAATTAGGCATTCAAAAACTATACTAGCTACATTATAGTATTTTTTGAGTTATTTAATCTTTGCAGTTAAAAAATAAAATATGTTTTATTCCAAAAACACCTTATTACTCGCTATAGCCAACATACTGCAGACTGATAAAGTGTAATTAAGCTACATAATTTGAAGTAATTAACTTAATGTTTATCTTGCAATATCCCTGTCTTTTAGGTTCAAGAGTTATACTACGATAAATCACATAATGCAATAATTTTGTTAATTTATTGCTAGTGTAATTAAGGGTTCAATAACTTATTTTCAGCCCCAATTTATTAAATATATAGATGGCTATATATGTATATTTATTACAAGAAATGTCACTGAACAAAAGTCACTGAAAGAATGAAAATGAAATGACATGCTAAAAGGTAACTTGGGTACAAAGAGAGAGAGAGATAAAATAATAATAATAATAATAAAGAAAGAATTGTCAAACAAATAAATGTAAAAGCATTCTTTGCATCTATAGTTTAAATATCAGACATTAGATCTCTTTTTTTATTATAAGAAGCAAAAAGGTGCCATGAGCAAAAAAGTGAGAACTTTTTGTAACAGTATGAAATATTCTTTGAGATGGAATAAATCTATATTCTAGTTTTGAAAATAACTCAGATCCTGTCATATCCTTGTCTGCGTCTGTCTTTGATGAACAGGAAGGTCAGCACAGCGATCAGAATGAGACAAACCACAGTGGCCCCGATGACGATGGGAATAACCCGCTTGTTATAGTCGGCCCAACACTCCACCTCTGAAACATAAGGCAAAATGCAGGAAGAGGAAGGAGGAGAATTGGAGAATGAGGACCATGATTTCAGTAGAAATATGAGGAAAACATGTCAAAAGGAATTCTCTATCACATCATTAATTTACACAGACTCTGAAATGTTTTTATGCCATTATTTTGAGCACAGACACTAGTTACTTTTTGATTATCTAATTCTTGTTTATGAGTTTCATTAATCCCTTGAACCTCAGGTATCCAGTTCCAATAAAGCTGTAGCTCAGAGATAGGTCCACTGATTTCAGAACTATTGTCTCCCATTGTGCACAGCTTCACTAAAGCATTAGTTACATAGGGATTTACTGTTCTGCACCAGATTCTCCCTGGGCTTAAACACAGTCAAATGGGACAAATTCATTGATTAAAACCATGTCTGATTCATAAAACTCTCGTGCTTAAAAATGGGAGGCTCACAGTATATCCAGACTGATGTATCTTCTCAGTTAAAAAGCTCACCAACCAGGTTTCCATCAAATTTGATTTATTTTTATATATCTGGCACAACTTTCTGCTTCTGGCGCAGATGTCTGATATTAATAAAGACAATAAAACAAGATAGAAAGCATGGATTGCAGCCATTGTTTTTTAGCTTCCTGTTTCAGAAATTGAGATTTATCACAACTTTTAATTCCCTAAATGACTGCTCTATTGGACTGGGATGAAACTAAACAGAGTGGTACGTTTCTCAAAACTATAGCTAGTAGGTACTTTCAAGTGTTTTAAGAGTCCAGCTGCAGAAAACAAACCGAGAACACACGGGTTTATTGATATTGAAATGTGTATTTGTATGCATGAAAAAAACTGGAGGTCATATTCATTTTTGTGTGGTGTTTTTACTTGGTATCAACACCAGAGAGGAAGCAAAGGCAGGCCCATTATGCTAGCTGAAGGTGTAGAGAGTTATGTGTCCAATAAATAGAATTATAAATCACTTAACTTGTGTCTTGATTTACTTTATCTGAGCATTAAGGATTTTGTCTTTGTCTTCCCAAAACATTAGAGTTTCAGCAGCTTATATACAGTATATATACTGTATGATAATATGACTGTAGTTCTACAGCAGTACCAGAGTAAGATAAAACCACCTACGCTTATTTGTAGAGTTAATTTACCCCTGCATCACTGAACCAAAATGATTAGCTCAGTCACCTTTTCCATACTGTCCTTTGGGCAGAGTGAAGGCCTGCATCTGCAGAGGAACCAGCTTGATCCGCAGCGCCGGCGACATCAGAAGCAGATTCTCAGATTTACAGTTGAAGCTCTGTCCATTAGCTGCTGTGAACAGCTTCTTATGGTCTACCAAACCTGAATAAGTTTTATCTGGGAAGAAGAAGACATAAGACAGGGACAGCGACATTCTCAGTGTTTGTAGGTCATTGCTCCAAATCAGAAATACCAGTTATGTGTTATCTGTCTTCTCTGTTTTTCTCTCTCTCTATAGCCTTACTGGCACATCCTTGGCAGACAGGCAGAGGTGACACATGGGCAGTCAGCTTGGTGACGTAAAAAAGATTCTTTTCCTGGAGACAAAAAAAAAAAAAACAGGGATTGAAGCTGACTCAGAAATCCATGAATTCTGAACAGACTCACACATTTTTCCAAATAAACAAACATAATTTCAGCAGTTGTTGTGAACGTTTAGATCTAGATGTAAACCAGGAGGACTCACTGACGTTCTGCGTGGATGGAATATGTTCCTATGACATACATTAGTTTGAATGCAATTAACATGGTAATATTATATTTCGCTATATTTCACAAGACAAAGTGAAACATTTTCTTCATCAGAATGATAATCAGAAAGAGCTTTGTTGTACAAGGAATTTGATTTGGTGAAATAGGTGCCAGGCATGAACCTATATACATATAAATACAAAAATGATACAAAAAATAAATACAAGATGTGAAAGTTATAAAAGAATAATAGAGACTATGTGCAATAAAAACTAAAACTAATGAAATGTAAATTGATACTGTTTTTCTTGATTTAGCTGAATTTCCCATCATGTGATGATCTGAACTGTTAATGTTTTTTCATTGCACTTTTGCAAGAAGTTGTTTTTCGAGTAGCAGTGGAAGAAGAAAGCCTGTACTGTACGTCTCATCTATATTATTTTCATGATGACTACATATCTGAACATTTCTCGGGTATTTAATTGGACGTGTTCACTAATCTTGGTATTTTCATGTAAATATGTTAAATCTTCTGACCTGCGACAGAGCTATTATTCCTTATATTATTATTATATATTGTGTGTTTTCTGCACTTACTGTAAACTTTCCAGTTAAATAGACAGGACTAGGAGAAAACATAAACTACTCATTAGCATTATTATATGTGCAGCATGGTGTTAAACGTCTTTTGACACCCTTTTGACATATAGTCAGACCACTATTCAGTAGTTTAATCTAAAGTAATGCTTCATATTCTATAATATCATAATATGATTGTAGCATCGCTGTCCTGTGAGAACTGTGCTGATGCATTTTTCAGCTGATCTAATGGGGGTTGTAGATAATTTATTTAACTTAAGAAGAAGGCGAATTTACTCAACCCATCAAGGAACATTCAAGCTTTGTTTTTTCTCCATGTTACTCCATGTATCTCCAGATTTGGAGTACAATATTTGCCTCTAAGTAGAAAATTGCATAATATTAAATACTCAAAAGTACAAGTACCGCTAATTTGTACTTAAGTACAGTACTTGAGTAAAAATACTCAGTTCCATTCCACCACTGTCTGCATGACTTTGGACTGTGGGAGATGTCGAAGATGCAACGAACATGCAAACTTCACACAGAGAGGAATATGTGAGTTCTGATGTTAAACGTGTTGTACCTTTTTGAAAAAGAGCTGCAGACTGGCAGCGTTGGCTGGCAGTGTGAGAGAAAGTACAGCAGTTTCTTTGCTGCAGTAACCACTGATGCTGACCCTGGAGGGGTCCAGGTTGAAATACCAACTTTTCTGAAAGGGCACAAGAGAGAAATATTACTTTATATCGCCAGACAAGTCAGTGTTTCTTCTCTTTTTATTTCTGACTGTATTAACGCTCATTCCTCACATTGGAGACACATAAGGGTATGAATTTACATCTCAATATGTCAGTTAAGTCAACCGCAGCCAGAGGACACACGTCTTCCATTTATTTAAAAGAGCTGCTGGCAGTTTTACATTTTTACAGTTTGAACAGTGAAACAAATATGTGACACCTCACAAAGAGATGCTGACACAAACACACACTTTCTGCAAGAAGTGCTGAAATAATAGAAAATTACAGATACACACTGAAGCAAACACACAACACACTATTCACAGATTAAAAACCCTGACAGATGCGCACACAAACACACACACACACACACACACACACACACACACAGAGTGCTGAGCAGGTCACAGCCTCTAACCTTCTTTTCGATGACAATGTACTCTACTCCCATGGTGGCTTTGATGCAGGGATTCCCAACAGCGTTTTTCAGCATGTAGGTCCCTGTGCACACAACACACACACACACACACACCAGACAAATACCACATGTAATGTCTGTTTTAGAGTGGACACAAATATTATGTAATATCATCTATAACTTCCAAATATTCTAGTTTGTCACTTTTATTCATTATCAACTGTCACACCTCAAGTTGTTCTCTATGACTCATGAGGAAAATGTGCATGTGCACACTGATTGTGTGCCGTCAAATGTTTGTTTGTTTGTTGTTTTTACCCTCTTTTTATATTGTTAATGTTCAACTGTAAACCCAGTTGAGTTAACCTTAAAATACAAGTACAGTAACTGTGGTGCAGGCAATTAATGCATCGCAAGGGAATAACCACTAGCTTTATGTCCTATAGTAATGCTGTAGAGGGCATTCTGATTCTGGCATTGTTAGCCTGTGTCAAATATGCCAAAATGTAAATTAGTTTATTGATCAGTTGCAGAAAAACAGGATATTTTATTATTGTATTTCATATTCATATATGAAACAAATTGTGTGTAATTCTTAATAAAGTGAACTTTAATGATATGGGGGTGGATAAGACACCTGCCTTTGGTGTGAGAGACCCGGGGTTCAATTCCCCACTGTGACCCATCCACCATTGTGTCTCTGAGCAAGACAATTAACCCCTAGTAGTTCCAGAGGCGTGCAGCCTCTGACATGTATAACAACTGTAAGTCACTTTGGATAAAAGATACTGTACATTGTTGTAATATCTCAGCCATACGAGTGGAAATATTCTGAATACAATCTAGGTTTGCATAACATACTCTATACTGATCTGCCATAGTTAAATTCTTACAGTAATAATGACTTTGTATGAGTTATATCTTCATGTTAGTGCTGGATACACTTATTCACTCCCATTGCATCTCAACCATTAAGCTACTACTACAGTTCTGATTAATATCAGATCTCACTGATCTCACTATCATGTGCTGATAAAACCTGATTCAGCTTCCAATAACAGCTTTCACAGCCTTTAACTCAAGGTAACTAAAGCACATTAATGAGTTTTTAATAAACTCACAGTGTCAACAGTCTTCAAAAAGCTTCATAAAAATCAAGCCAATCAGCATGACAGCTGACAGCAACCACAGGTATGTTCTTCAAAAAATTATTTTAGATGTCTCATATGCTGCATCTATCCTTGTTTCCATCACTATTTGTGACGTTTTAACGACATCTTATTGATTTCTTCAACAATAAATGGGTGACAGACAACGAAACATGAAACTGAACTGTTTATATCTTTCTAATAAATCTGCCCTTGTGTTAGTGTGTACCTATTGGAGGAATGGCCTCAGAGGGCTGAAAGACCGGCTGGTAGATCTGAGCCTTAGAGGGCGGCTCAGAGTTAGAGGCAGGCTGGATGGAGCTGCCATTTCTCTGGAGGTGGAGACCTGGTGGAGGAAGAGACATGTTACTGTCAACGTGTGTCTTCTCCTGATTTTTTCACTGTTATATAAAAAGATAGCATTTCAGAATCGACAAATCAATACCACTTGCTATCCTTTGGTAGAAAACTGTTGCATTGCTTTATTGCACAAAACTGAATGTTCTGGTTACTTCGATATGCTGGAATAATGCCACATGGCTCCAGGTTCTCTGCATTATAATCTGACTTTACACAGGAATATTCACCATTAGAGAACAATAGATTGTATTTTGACACAGGAGCCCTCTAAAACACAAGCCCACAATATTAGGTAATAATGTAGATCTCGTACCTTAATGTCTAGACACTCAATAGACTACTTTTTATGGGACCCAAAAGAACTAAGTTCACTGTTTACAGAAACTAAAAAAGGTGTCTGCAGTTTACAGAAACTACACCAAGGTATCACAGTACAGTAATTTAACAATGGCACATAATAAAATACAGCTTGAAAGTTGAATTGAATGTTTGTTAAATGTTCTGATACAAATTTCTTCTCTTTAACAACCTGCATTTACAAGATATTTCATAGCAGCAATGCTATGCTACATGAAAAATGGCTTCTGTTTGCTCAAGCCACAGACTGAGAAAGACGGAAAGTGTGGAACCACTAAAGACCACCAAACTAACGATCACTGTGTGGGACAGGAAACCTGAACGGCCTCAACAAAAAGTGTGAAGAGAAGTTAAAACAGAATTGTGAAGTGCACCATTTAATTTCAAACTATCAAAGATAAATAAATAAATAATCATTAGAAATGTTGCAATCCCAGATTCACTCCCATCATTATCGACTTGTGTGCACACAATCACAGAATGGAGGACTTGATGAAATGTTTTATTGTATTTGTAGATCTGTGACAAGTCTTAGTTTTAGTTAAAAGTGAAACAAATTTCAAATCTTATAATCTTTTCATGTTGCTGAACAGAAGATGAAATTGAAAAGCTGCATCACCCACTGCACGTACTTTGGGACTAAATGTGGAAACCTTCACTAGTCGTCCCATTGAACGCTGAATCACAGAGAAATGACAAAGAACATTCTGCCGAGAGAGTTTAGAGTCCATTATCTGAGGGTGAAATGGGATTTGATTATTATCAAACTTACCGGGAATAATAGCAGCCAGGAAAAAAAGAAACCATTCACCTGTGGGACCCCTTAGCATCATGTCTGAAAAAGAAAAGAATCGAGTGGACAGATAATGGTACAGATGATAAAGGCTGTATGAGAGCTGCAGCTGTGGTCTGACTTGTAAATGTGAAACTGTTGAACACCTAAACACATAATTTAACCGTGCAGAGGAAGTGAAGTGTCACAGGAGGCGGTGTAAAGACCACTGCTTCTCTCAGCACTGAAATAACACCTCTGATGGGAACTTTATGTCAGTTTCAGCAGACAAACTGCGGAGCCTCTCAGTCTGTGGAAAAAGCTGCTGAGTCAAAGTCTTCACTTAACTATAACTTTACAACACATAATAAAATTGTGAAATAAACTCCAAATTAAGTTCCCTAATGTACAAAAGTAATAGCAGTCCAAACACTGCTTCATAGGGTCAAGTTGAAGGATAAATGCTAGTAAATGTACATGTTATATTATTAAATATTATATAAAGTTTCTTAGAGTTACTGTGTTACTGTGACACAACACAGCAGAGCGATAGCTACACAGACTGAGTGGTTTCTTTCAGATCAGTATCAACTGTGTTTGCTGAGAACACCAGTTGAGTGACTTTTAGGACCTAAATAAGAGATGAAATGGTTTAAATGTTTGTGGGATAGTTGTGTGGTTTATCATTGTCTTTTAGAGCATGGGTGCTTAACAGTGTTGCTTGTTTTTATATTTTATTTATAATAATCTCATTGTTGCTTTATGCACAGACACTGAGTGTACCTCAATAATGAAATGTGCTTTATACATAAAATTGCCCTACTTACTCAACCCATCCAAAACCTCCTAGTAACTTAAAACAAATGCTGAGAATTACTTCAACAAATTACTTCATCTGGTTTTCCTGGAAGTCTGGAGATTTTCAATGCTCCAGTGGCTTCCAAATCTATATATTAGTTAAAGGGTCAGTTCACCAAAGTATTTCACTTACCTCTAATCTAGCCATGCAGAATCACTGGTACTATTTTTCACTAAAGAAATTGTATCTATAAAAACCTGCAACATGTTCTGGATGATCCCGAGTAATAAGGATGCTGTTTTTGAATATAGGTTAAATTTTCAACATGTCATATTTCAGTGTGGTAACCACCACATGAGAAGATTGACATAACTTGCATATCTGGTATATGAAGCTACATCCAGCAGCCGATTAGCTTATCTCAGTACAAAAACTGAAAACAGGTAGAAACAGTTAGCCTGGCTCTGTCAAAATTAACCTACCAAGACCTCTTGCTAACTTCCCAGAGACTTGTCATCAATTTGAGTGGTAAACCTAGTATATCTTTTCATACAGTCCATGCTGTGAATCCACAATTAGCCAATTTTAAAACTTTTCTTTGACATAGTATACAGACCAGATTTAATGTGTTAGTTAGTGAGCTTTGGAGCTGCTGGCAGTTGGATTTTGTTAGTGAAGAGAGCCAGACAAGCTACTTCCCAGTTTCAATGTATGCTAAGCTAAGCTAACAGAAATCTGGCAGTAATGTAGCTTTATACTTAACAGAAAATGTGAGAGCTGTATCGATCTTCTCATCTAGCTCTCAGCAAGAAAGTGAATAAGAATATTTCATAAAGCACAGAGCCACTTCAAGGGGGGTCATGGATGTTCAGCGGACCTGAAGTTGCATGAATGATTTGTGTGGTGACATAAACAAACCAAAGTGCTCTGACGCTAGCAAGACTATTTTGCTAACCTGAATCTTGTTTTTTTCAATCGAATGTAGTGTTAATGATTGATAAAAATGAAATCCTCTTTTGCTGGGGTGGGGGGTCATGAACTTTTTTTCGCTTCTGAAGGGGGGGTCCATGACAGAAAATAATCTGACAACCGCTCCACTGCTCTAAACAAAAAGTAATGTACTTACTTGAATATTTTATTTGAATATTTCTTAGAGTCCTGAAGAGGTAAAATGATTCAATAATTCAAGGCAAAGATCATAAAATTTGAGGAAAGTTTGAAACAAAAAAAGCATAAATCTCCTGCATCTCATGGCCCGCACATTTAATTTGACCCCTATGTTGGGAACCACAGGTTTATAGGGTTTATAGTGTAGCTGTGGTGCCTTATGGCAAAGTATTTCTAAGTTCATGTGTTACCACAAGAGGGCAAAAAATAAATCTGCTGTGTCTAGATTTTTACACAATCAAAAAAAAACTTCTGTGGTCTCAAAATAGTAGGTAAGAACTTACGTTGTATCTGTTATTACAGAGCTGTACTTGATGGAACTAAAGTGTTGCCTTACATGCAACAGAGCCAATGATCGGCCAGGGACACATGGACGATTTTGGCGTGTTGTCATCAGTTGACCTTATTGTACTGTGTGAACAGGACAAGGCAAGTGCGTTGTCTGTATGATACATCTATAATATGGAGTGTAACATCTGACCACATTTCACCTCATTTCCCAGAGGAGCAGTAGAGAACTCAGAGTGGTAATGGCTAAAGGTCGACAGGGACAAAGTACCAGCCAAAACACACAAAACAAACACAGAGCGCACACACTGTGGCTCCAAACACGTACAGTTAGGGAATTCTTTTCTATAGTCGGTGCCAAACAACTCTACTAGTGAGTTTCTTTAGTGAGAATGTGTGACTTGAGGTAGGAGAGAGTTCACTCTTTAAAAGTAACTAATGAAGGAAGTTAGTAGATCTCCTTACATGCTCTCTTCTCTCTCTGATACTGACTGTTGTATTGACTTGACAGGTAGGAGGGCAAACAAAAGAGCAAACATTTACTCTCCTTTCGTGTGTCCTCAGTGCCCTGCTGTCCTCTGTGCATGTGTCTATCGTGTGTCATCATTTTATCTTAGGATTCCCATACGGTTTCAGGAGAACTTCACTTAGTCGTCCAACCCTTTGTGAAGAGGAGTCAAGTTTTTCCTCTTCAAGCCCAGCAGGATCAACAGCAGGCCTCCACCTGCATAAACTGTAAGTTCTGAATCACTGAGTCTTTACATTAAGGAACTGTTTGGAATTTTACAGCCACAAATAAGAAATCTGAGATTGATCCAGCTAAAGACGACTGGGTGTAGACATGAAATGCACTCACATTAAGTTGATACACTGTGGTCACCAAGTGTTAATCGACTGTTGTAATATTTGCCATTTCCTTTTAGCAGAGCAGAGCCAAATATCCTTCAGATCAGACAATGAGAAGCGGAGTGGGGCTGTGTGTGCTGGGCCTGCTGTGCCTCCACAGCTCAGTCTTTGGGCAGGTAGGGGGAAAGTTTCAAAAATCAATGTCCTTTACTGAAATAAAAGTAGTAATACCACACTGTAAAAAAATACTAATTTCCAAGTAGTAATAAGCAAGTATCAAAAGTAAAAGTACTCAAAATGCAATATGACCGCTGTTAGATCGTTATATTATATATACAGTATTATAGCTTTGGGAACTACTTTAAGATCAAATTTAAATTTCAAAAAATGAAATAAAAATATAAATTGTGAATTACAATGTAAATTAAGTTTCTCAAAATTGTAGTATAGTTCACATTTACTCAAGTATAGTACTTGAGTGATGTACTTATTAGTTACTTGTTTCCACCATTACAAGCATGATTTATCTGACAGCTACAGATTTGGATCGTCATGTGTCATTCCCAACCTGGTTGCCTTGTGACCCTTTAAAATGAAGCAATTCCCACTTACATTTTAAGTTTAACTACTTAATATACTTTGGGGCAGTTTATCTGTGGTAAAACATTGTATTCCATAAGAAGATCATATGTTTTGTATATGAAATCAAATCTGTGAAGTAAGTAGCAACTAGAGCTGTCAGATAAATATAGGTTGTAGGTTGTGTATGTTTAAGAGCTGTCAGCACTTTAAGTGAGAGTACTTTTCTTCCTCAGATGGTTTAATAAAAAAAAAATTATAAGCATGAAAATTTCAGACTGTCAGCATTTCACAAGAAAATGCAAAGATTGGAGTAAAATCAAACTTATGTGCATCAGAAATGCATTTTCTTCTGTTTCCTACTTCGTTGTAATTCTTGTCTTCCAGGGGCCAGTAGAGGTCCAGCCCGGAGTCCTGATCTTCTGTGACGACCCATCTGTAGAGAAGGCCGTCAGCAGCGCAGTGAACAAGTTCAACGAGAGGTTGAACGCCGGAAATAAGCTGGCCCTCTTTCAGATACTGACAGCCAGCAAGGTACAGTGACTGCAGAAAGGATGTGGCTATCTGTATATTCACCTGACCTGCTTTGTGTTGGAGTACAGTCATCAAGACCCCTTATAAGGTCTTAAAGAAAAAAGACTGCAAACTGATATTCCTATGATATATGAAAGTGCATAGTGCTTGAAGGCGTACTGTAGGTTTTTTTTTTGTGAATGGTTGTGTTGCACCCCACCTAGTGGAAACCTGAGTATAGCATAAATATGACTCCCCCTTTATCCCACTCCCAAGGATGACCAGTGCCACAGCTGATGCAGTCCAAGCAGAAATACATATAATCAGCAACCTGGGTAAAAGACAGATATCAGGAAGATCATGGCAAGAACAACAAACAAAACAACTACCACATCTACAACACTACCCACTCACTTACCTAACCAAACCAAAGAACAAAAGAAAATATAGTCCTCTTACCTACCTCCCTACACATAAAAAAGAGAAATATGTCAAAAGGGAAACAGAAACACCCCCCACCCCCCGCAGGTTACCAGGACTGCTCTTTAGAGTTTATTTTATATTCTTTACAAAACAGGGTTTAACACAGCGCACAGTCACTAAACAGCACAGAGCAGCACAGCACAGTCTGGTTGGGAGCCAGGAAAAAGGAGAAGGTTTCCTTTAAATAGGTGCCATCAGTCTCCAGCCCAATCTGTAGTCCATCAAATGCAACTCCACAAACTGGGAAAACACAGAACAGCACCACCCTATGGCAGGGAGGAGTCATACTTTCACAAACTATGACTCAGGGTCATAACAGGTTGCTTTTACAGTGTTGCATTATTTATCCCAGTTGTAGCCGTTTTAGCTACTAAGACACACCCATTGTTATACCTATAAAAGAGGGAAACAAAATAGCTTGTTGCATGTTTTTCCTGTATAGGCTTAATACTACTACTACTAATAATAATAATAATAATAACAATAATAATAATAATAAAAACTAATAGCTCCTGTACCTGTCAGACAAATATGGTGTACAAATGTAGTGTGTAAAAAATGCAACATTTCCATCTTTGTGTGTCTCTACAGTCAGAGAATGGCTCCGACTCAGTGTACTCACTGCAGTTCAACACCAGGAGGAGTGACTGTCCAGCTGACAGCAACAAATCCTGGACAGACTGCGACTATGATGCTTTTGGACGCAAGGTAATAATGACGAGAGGAAATACAGCTGCTGATATTCAGGTTCTTCACAAATGTGAACTCAGCAGTGACACACACAGTTTTCAAAAATGTCCTCCATTCATGTCTGTGGAGATAAAATGGATATTAATCTCTATTGTAGATACGTACACTTAAACAAAGTTGCAGCTCTCCTGTATACTCTAACACTGGGAGACATTTAAGGAGAATGTATTGATTCAAAGTTGGCAACAATAGTTAATGTTATGGTTTGGATTGTATACAGTATTAACAATACAAGTCTAAATCCTATCATCATCTATCCTGTTATTCCCCCAGAAGCCTATTTCTTGCAATGCCACAGTCTACATGACAGAGACCGAAGCAGACACTAGACAGGTGGACTGTGTGCTCGGTGAGTGAATTAATGAACAGGACATTCATTAGGATTTTGGTGTATAAACCCAGGATTTGAAAATTGTTTGACACAAGTACAACTAGCACAATTTTACTTAAAGAAATAGTTCAACATTTTGGTTAGATGAGAAGATTGATACCACTCTCATGTCAGACACTGGGGCCAGCAGACAGTTAGCTTAGCTTAGCTTAGCATAAAGACTGAAAACAAGGGGGAAACAGCTAGCCTGGCTCTGTCCAATGGTACCAAACCAGCATATTAACCAAAATGTCAAACTATTCCCAGAAATATTTCCAAAAGTACAGAAAGTCTGAATATAAGATAGAGCCATCTGCTTGCCTTGTCTCATGTTTTCTGCAGTGTAAAATAATCTGGGGAACTAAAGGGACAACTGATTTTGCTTTGCCAGGAACTTGAACAGAATTAAAAGATTCTTTCAAAACACTCTCAATAAGAAAGAAGAAAGACACAAAAGTGTTTCAGTTGGGACCTAATTTAAGACATTAACCACAGAACCAGTGGCTCATTAATACTTATTACTGTCTTGTGAGGCCTCCAGTGAGGGGACTTTTCGAGTCTCATCCCATATAATGAGAAAAACTAAAACCAGTCCAACATGACTCTGTTTATCAGAGGAGAGCATTAAGAAAACAGTGAGTCGTTAAGGAAAATTTACAGTGGTGGGTGCAGAGAATACAGAAAGGGGCTGATTGTGTAATATATCAACAGAATCTACAGATAGGGAGAGCACAATATTAACTTATCACACCATAAAAGGAAGGGACAGTCTAGACTTTAATCTGTTTGCCTAACCAGCTCACTGTCTATGTTTTCTCATCCAACTTCCAAAATGTTTTGCAACTAAGGCTCAGCATGGAAAATTCCTTTGTGTATTAAAGGCAGTATTTGCCTGCTTCAATGGGGTCTGGCCTGAAAGAAAAAAGAAAAACAAGACTGTGGTGTTAAAATAAGTTAAATAAACAGACTGGATCCAATAATGTTAGTCTTCCCCAAGATTTCTCCCTATATGAATAATTATGTATAGTTATAATATTATTTGACAAGACAACATACAGTAACATCAATTATCACATATGCTCAACGCTGATTGTACTGATTTTTTAAATTTCAACGATGCCCAAATGCCTTTCTTTTTTTACTTTCCTTCCGTGAGTCTGACAATATTGTAGTGCAATGCTAATAGGTGGAGTACTCTTTTGAATTAGGGAACTATGGAGATTACTATACTAGACCCCTAGAGCAAACAAGAAAACACATTTCTTCTAGACTAGACTATATGGTTGTCTGGAGGTCATTAGAGGTGGTTGAACTCTAGTTTCAAAAAGCATGCCAGCAGCTTTACTGAAATATTATATTTCCTTCTAAGAGACATTGCATTCATCTCTATCATTATGGTTTATTGTGAGGCCCTTCACTGGTCGCCCCCTTAAAAAAAAGCTTCATTCAGAACTCAGTTACTTTCTTGTAAAAAAGATTTTAATAAAATTGGATTCCAGCAAAGCATCATCACTAAGTTAATTGAAATGCGGCATTTAATTTTTTAGTACCACAGTGCTGATGGTATGGGAATATTCCTATGAACTTGTCTTTCAGGTTGCAAAAAACAACATTTATTAAAGCTGTTTTCTTGTGCAGAAAGAGCTGTGAATTGACTTGGGCCACATTGTATTGCAGAATTTGAACATTTCCATGTTCCTTCATGCACATTCAGCCAATCATCAACTAATCTATTCAAAATCACTATCCCCACTCACAGGAAAGCTGAGAATGTGGCTTTCTTTAACTAAAGATATTAAAAAAGCACAACACATAATTCAACCTTGCATACATTAGCGTTTCTCCATCACCCATCTGTTATTTTGTTACATTTGGTGGACTTTATCAATTAAATTTAAATATAATTTTCATTAATTGATATGATTGTGCTGGTGTTAACCTTATTTACTGTCTGCTACTACTGTCCTCTTATCTTGATAAATCTATGCTAATCAGTATCCTAGCAGTATCATGACATGAGTACATTAGTTGGTGTAATATTATGCCTGCATGGATTAAGGCTAATATCAAAAATAATTCGAAAAAGCCCAACATTTATGATGTGATCATGTCATGCACGTCCTGAGCCACAAACCATCTGCTGTCTCCTCCCTTCTGCCTTCTTATTTAATCTGTGCTCACAATCGTTCTCCTCTCCAGATGATTACATCATTCCAGAGAGAGCTTCCTGTTTGGGCTGCCCTGTGGATATTGATGAGAACTCAGAGGACCTTAGGGGTCCTCTTTTGGCCTCCATCTCCAAGTATAACTCCATCTCCAAATCTACTCACCTCTTCACGCTGCACACTGTCGGCCATGCAACCAGACAGGTAGAGACTGGGTGATATGAAGGGAGAGAAAACGGGAGCAATGTCAGGTGGAGTGAACTTCTGTTTCTTTCCTACCTACTTTCTCAATGTATCCCTGTAGGTGGTCGCAGGTTTCAGGTTCAAGCTTAGATTTGATTTGAAGAAGACCACCTGCGCCAAGGCCGATCACAAAGACCTCAACGAGCTGTGTGCCCCTGATGAAGAAAATTTGGTAAGCATGAAAACGCAACACATATTACTGCTGACATAATGTGATCTTTTCCAGGCTTACTTGACCTGATGTGTCTCCCTGTGTATTTCTGTGTGCAGGAGTTTTCTAACTGCAACTCTACAGTGGATGTAGCACCGTGGAGACTTGAGCCCCCGCAGGCCCAGATACAGTGTGAACCAGGGCTACTGCCTCCCACGGTGAGACCTAATTTTCACAAAATAGTCAAACACCAGACAGCTTTGTGCCTCTTTTTGTCCAAATCCCCACATAAGAATGCAGTAATGCTTACGCTGGTAATTTAAATAGTAAGCTAGTTAGTCAGGCATGCTAACATTAGTAGCTTACTTTGGAGCAGACAAACACACAGTTTAATGCTTTCATTATATTTATGTGTGTGTGTGTGTGTGTGTGTGTGTATTTGGCTTTGGAAAGGCTTAAAGACACCACTCTCCAACCTCTTTGAATACTGAGGGTGCCTCTCACCATAACCCCAAATCACACTGACCAGAAATAAAGACTTTACTACTACTTCTGTGAATAACCTGGAGTGCTTGGAGTGAATAACCAATAATTAATTAAGTGAGAGTGAATTTGAATATCTGTACTTTAATTTGCTAAAATGATGGACAGCTGAATGTTGAAAGGGAAATGTAGACATTAAAGTCTATTTATGTTCCAAACAAAAGCCAACTGATGTGAAAGGTCAGCTCTGAGTAATTAATATATCTTGTAATAAAATATCAAGACGTATTAAAGAAGTACTAAAGCCATAAGCAAAATGAGATTTAGCAAAAAATTGATACTTCTTTGAGTTTTGGAAACTGATTTGAAGTTAAGCTTTGACAAAAATGTGGCACAGGATTTAATTATTTTTATATTGTTACTACAATTCTGTATAGGATTGAAGAAAAATAACTGATTACAAGGAACAGCCAACAAAGTTAAATGTTAGTTTGGACACTGGAGACCAAGAAAGGCATACGCATTGAGTGACTTAGCAATTAGATGTTCCGATGACATAACTCTGCTTTGCTGTCAACAACCAGTCGTCCTTAATGGCAGGCTATGTTACACTTTACGAATATGACGAAAGTCAGGTCATTTGTTAATCCACCCATTTATCCACGTTGTACACTGTATTCTTTTCTTCAGCTGTTGACTAGGCGCCGTCCTCCTGGCTGGTCTCCACTCAGGAATATTTTGCTCACCAATCCCCCCTCCACATCCTCCCCCAAAGAAGAATCTTCTGAGGAGGACACCACAGCCTCCGTCTCCTCTGATGTGGCCTTGGAAGCTGGGAAGGACCACCCCTTCCACTGCCCGTCCAAGCCCTGGAAGCCTTTCAATCCAGTCCATCCTGCGATGCCTGCACCTCCTACAAAGGATGGGGCTTTCAATGAAACAGACCTGCAGTTATAAGTTTTTCCTCAAGGGAACCACATTTATATTATAATAACAAAATTATCTCACAAGCTTTTTCAACAGATTATTTTTGTTTATTTTGTAGACTAGTTCTTAATTCTACTGGGGTGCATGGCAGGAACAAACATCTTCATGGGTGTTGTGCAGATTTAAAACTATAAATGCAAAAGGGTTAAAGTTAATAAAATGACCAATTAAAAAAAAGGAGAGAAAGCAACCGATTTGTGAGCGCTGTCACTCCTCACAGAGCACTGGAAGGACTGAAATGATGACAGAGCTCAATACAGTTTATATTAATTGCTGGTTAAGTGAGGAAAACCAGTGTCAGTTTGATGTCAGTTTCCTTTTAGTAAATCACAGTAATGAGCAATTAAATGCCCTCAGAGTCCATTTATTAGTGTTATTGTGAGAAAATGGGGAAAAAAAATACATTGATATCGGTCATTCTCAAAGGGAAAATAAAACTATGCTCTGTGTACTGGTTTTATGTGTGAATATAATTGCAGCTCATCAGTAATTAATATCACTGTTTTTCTTCCTGTGAACATCTCCTGTAGTAACCTCCTTTCACAAACAATATTAAGTTCTGTTTTATCACAAGTTAGAATTCACACTGTTTTTCCCCTGACACAGTGTCCAATGACTTCCTTTGACAAAGTCACTTTCATTAACCCAAATAATCTTTCTGGTTTTATAATGTCGTTGTTTTTTAAAGGGATAAACATAAGTCTTAACTGTGCTGAAACAAATGCAACAAATGTGTGCCACATTTTAGAATTAGTGACATTAGCAATAGTCTCTGAAAGTCCTGGTCTTCGCCGCAAAACTATCAAAATTCTGTAAAATTCCCTTTTCAGGAGTCTACTTTTAAAGAGACAACAGTGGGAACCTTGGAAATAAATACACAAAATCAAGAATTTAAGTTGTTATGGTCGAACACAGTGGGAAAAAAAATTCACAAAATACTTGGTCAATTACACATGACATTATTCAGTACAGTATGATTTTGTAAATAGGCTGTAATTCCAAGAGGGGATAGTGCAAAAGCAAACACAGCCTGGTGAATGTTTAACAAATTTATTTGTACATCTTCACAGAACACTCAGATGACCAGTCAGTCAGGGAGCCAAAATGAAACACAATATACATTTATAAATAAAAATGCAGATTACTGAGGATGAACTTGTCCTAGAAATTGTCCCTACATGGAGCAAACTTAAGGCATTCATATATAAACATCTGCATGGCTGCTTGGCAGACTAAATAAAAAAAAACAACAAACAAATAATGTAGCAAGAAGAATATGCATCTTTACCCCATCTCATGCAGGTAGGCTGTGAAAAACAATACATTGGCCCGTTGTACATTCATTCATAGTATAGGTTAAGGTTCTGACAGCATGGTATGTTGGAAATATATTAGTAACACAATCAAATGGACTTAACATAAAACCACACACCATTTAGTCAATATTTCTCTTGGGCCATTTTATAAGTCTGAAAAATGTAACGAATGATTAATAAGAACTGATTAGTCATATTTGTTCTTCGATCCTATGCTGTTGTTTTTCTGCAACTATAAAAGTTTAAAACCCTCAAAATTAGTTCTGTTTAAAGCACATTCAAAGGCTTTCTAAAGACACAACCTGTGTTAACACGAGGACAGTCCTTAACTGTGGGTTTGACAATTATTTCAACTGCTTTACAGAAAGAAACACAGAAGATCTACAGCCGTATTCACTAAATATCAGGGCCCATTTTCATACAGGTGGTGGACACAATAACATGAACACCTGTCCAACAGTAACAGAAAACACCTAAGAATAAAGAGTTGTCTGATGCTCATCAAAAACGGAAAACTATATCTTCACAAAAGTAGTATTTACTGCATGGATATTGCATTGAATTGCATTATATACTTTGGGTGTTCATGTTATTATGTCCTCCGCTCATCATAGCTCAGATCATGATTGTATTAGCAGGTGCAAAGTGAAGAGCAGATCAATGCCAATGGGATTTCCCAGCTCTCTCTGTTAAACTTCAGAGAAAAACTATACTTATTTATCTGCACACAAGAGGTGCTTAAATGAGATAAATATCAACTTCATCTTACTTAGTAAAATAGCAGGTACAACGATTATATCACCATGTGATACGCACAAGCAGGCAGCAACCAAACTAAATCAGTTTACCTGATCCTGTGATAAGGAGTTTTATAAATTTGGGCCTGTGTTTTCATTGTTGAGCTTTTTGACAGTTAAAAGGGATAAAGTACGGGTGCCATCAAAGCCATCAAAGTTTCATCCACTTCAGGGAGGAAAAACTAGTGCAACAATTACTGCAAAATTCCTGCACCAATTCAGAGCCAAAGTTGACTTTCAGATAAACAAACATGCTCTGACAAAATGTGACTCAATTAGGAGCTCTGTGTCATTCTTATGATTTAGAGGCTGAAGATTATCTAAGATTATTAAATCTTATTAAAGCTGGGGTAGGTATGTATCCAACCGAACAAACCCCCCCCGTCCCTTCATGTGCAGTGAATGCACGGGCAGAGTGCGCACAGTTAGGTAGGTAGGTAAACAGGCTGGTAGGCAGATAGGTAGGTGGCAGATAAGTCAGCCAATCATTTCAATCAAATTTCAACCAATATAACAAAAAATGGTTCTTAAATAAACTGCCTACCCTAGTTTGAAATCCTGTAAGATACTTCACCTTAGTTCTCACAAATTTAGTCCTTCGTTGATTCGAGAAGTAAATGTGTCTCCACTGTAAAATTCAGGGCTTTAGCATCATTAACAAATTTACTACCATTATCACACAAACAGCTGTGCGCAGTTCTTCAACCTTCGCACTCACGCACGCACTCACTCACTCACTCAGTACTAAATAGACACCGCAGCCCCCATAACAACTTTAAACCAACAAAATACAGCTGCGGTTCTGATTTGTGACATTTCAAGTAAAACATTTACAACTTTTAGTTCCTCCATTTTTGCTTTTCTTCTCTGGCACAAACCAGCCAGTTGGTGGGGGAAAAAAGGCTTACAAAAAATTTAAAGACACACCATCACTTCAACAGTTCAAGTGTCATCACACACAGACACATGGGCATGTACATACATACATCGTGTGCGTTTTCATTGGGGCCTGCCAATGAAGCTCTGTAACCTGTACAGAAAGACAATTAATGCATATGGGCCCACACTATCAGTTTGGAGAATACATGGGAAAGCATATTGAAGATAACAACACAACATGAAGCTTTAACTGTACATACATACTGCTTATGTTGCTTCAAAATGTACATCATACACACGAGTTATGCTGCTTGACACACATGCACACTGAGCTAACTTTCTTCTTACAAAGTCCTTTTGGACATAAAGGCATTGAAAACTACATTTTGTAAGTGCACACTCCTACCTGTGTCTTTTCTCTTTTTTAAGTCTGTAACTGATATGCCTTAATGCATGATGCAGTTCCAGCATTGACTTTAACAGGCCTCAGTGATGCCTGGTTTGGCGCATTAAGAAAAAGAAGGAATAGTGAACAAGAAAAGAGCTCACTGCTGTATGTTTAGTGGTGGCACTGTATCTGCCTTTAGAAAGGAGACATGAATGATGCATAAACATAATAAGATGGGCGCACAGAAGGTCCATGTTAGCAATTAAATAACTTCTACACATTAATGCTGCAATAATAGGACATCTAACACTTTGCGCCACATCAGAACAGACCCACAACTTTGGTTTTTCAATACAATCAACGGTTGAACTGTCAGATTGAGTTTCATACTGTAGGGCTACTACAATAATAATTTAGCTATGCACACATCCAAATGTCTTTCTAGGTACATTGTGAGAGTGTCGGGGCTCGTAAGGCTGCTCTGAGGCACCTTTTCTTATAAAATACTACATTCTCTCCTCAACAAAGCACGACGTACGAGAGGCTCTCAATTGAACTGACAAAGCCGTTTACTGCCACTCAGGTTCTGTGTTTATGATTAAAAACACCTTTTTTTAACAACAACTTTTGAGAAAAATCCAAAATAATCCATCTCAGGAGACAAGCCGGCTGCAATCTATTTTAAAGACACAGTGAACCAAAAATGCATTTTCAAGTATTTCTATATTAAAAATCCCCTTTCTCTTTCAGTGAAACATTCCAATATTTCGGACGACTCCACTCCGAGGCGTATCCACAAATGGATCCATTAAAATGTGATTGTGACAATTACCTAACCCTGCTCATCATGTCAAAACCATACTAAGCATTAGCTAGTGGCTCATAGTAGTTACCAAAGTGATGTAATAGTGGAATAGTGTGTTTGGATATCAGATGGCCAAAACTGTTCAACAAAAGAACGTAGCTGTACCCTAATCCTCTGCCTCCTGACCCAACAAAACAGTGTGGACGGAGACCAATAGACCTCTTACAGCTCCGCATTGCTCTGTTTTTGTCTTAGACTTTCTTAAAAGCCATTTTGAAGCTCAGTGCGGTGGCTCTGGCATTCCTCATCTTAGAAGTGCCTGATTCCGCCTAACTCTGGGCAATTCAAAAAATGGTCAAAAAGGTGGCTTGGACTGAGCCCCACGACACTATTGCAGCCACGATTTGTGTGTGATATTAGATTTCTCCAGAATCGCACTTAAGAGACAAAAAAGTTTTAACATGTTAATGTTTGCTGTAAAGTTTGGCAATTTAACATGAGGGTTTATGGGGATTGACCATGGGATTGACTTGCTTCTGGAGCCAGCTTCAAGTGGCCATTTGAGGAACTGCAGTTTTGGGGACTTGGTTGCTGATTGGTATTTATTAAGCCATGGCCACTTTTACGCAATCAAATCAAATTTGAAAGATTTATTCAAATCCCTCCCTGTTTCACTTGATTCTCTAAAGACACTGTGATGGTCATTTCACTGTGACTTTAAAATGTTGAAAAAGCTTCATGCTCAAATGTTTCTGATGGGAAAATCTGTAAAATCTAAGCTTCTAGCCAGAAAGTGTAGAGCATGGCTTTAACACTGCCCGGGAATAGAAAGCGTGCCTCAAATACTGCCATGGTTATGGCCTCAGTGATAAACACAACTTAAAATGCACTTTGTCCTGAAAACACTATCAACCTAACATGGTTAGAAATACAAATACAAAGAGTTTGTAGGGATTAGCAGTGAGCAGTGTGCAGTGTTGTGCTGTGACGCCAAGGCATTTTATC